AGTAGGACAGAAATGGGACAGGGGCATTGCTTTGCAATTAGTAGCCTCCTCAGGTCATGCCTGCCAATGCTGTGGGGCTAAAGGAGCCGCCATGTACACAGTTGAACTCCTGACCTGTTTAGCCTGCTATAAATGTATGTTCCTGTGCAGATTACAAATGGTTAATATTTTCTTTCTTCAACTTCTCAAATCAGTTTCTTCCATCACACACATTACTGAGTAGAGAGACCTTAAGATTTTATATAACCACACACAGATGTTGTTGCTTATCAAATGTCTCAGATTTGCTAGACGTAGCTTCTGATTAGCGTATGACTTCTCTGCAAAGCCTGGCTCTGCCTTGCACTGAAAAACAAGTCTGAATATAGTATTATTATTTTTTAAGTTCCCCAATTAATCTATGGAATCCATTTGCAACTCCCATCGTATCCGGCAAACAGAATTATTTATATCCTAATGGAGAGAAAGTACAAGAAAAGGAGAATCGTTGCAATGACATCTTGTAATGTTGCTCCTGTTTTTCATCACCATAATATCCTCCCCCCGATGTCAACAACGGAGCGTGAATTGAACAGGGCCGCTTGACACCTTGCTGAAGAAACTACTTTGGCAAGAAGGTGGTTTGCTTTTCATGTTACATATTATATATTTTGCAGAGTATATGTCTGCACTTCCCTGCCAGTGGTGGCACCAAAAATATATTAGGAGGGAAGGTCAGGGCATGGCAAAGGGAGAGAAACAGGGGTGAGATTCGCTCCACACATTAGATTTCTGAAAGGGAAACAATATATTTCCCATTAGTGGTTTGATCCTAAAGGTAAAGGGGCAGAGGCACTCCTTCCTGACCCAGTGCTACCTAGGCATTCAGCCGTCTCCTAGGTTTGCTCTACCCCGGCAACTTGACAATTCCACAAAGACCGCTCAAAGTCTATTGCAAGTTAAAAAGCCTGGTTATTTTCCAGGGGTGAAGGTGTGGAGTCCCAAGAGAGAAAATGCCTATGCAGTAGGTGCTTCTGCAATCCAGGATATCACTCCTTGCTCAGTCTCTTTCTGGCAGGCTGCCTGCAAAGTAAAAACTCTTCTCACTGTTTGCTTCCAGACCCAAAGGTGGCTGACTATTCTTACAGGACTTGGGAAGGAAGCCTTTTGAGAATCGGGTTTTTCAATTTGTTGCCTACAGGTGCCTTTTGCTTGCAGAATCTCCTCCAGGGGAAAGGCTACCAAACATGGAGTGCAAAGGAACAGAGAAGGCCACTGCAGCTCACCAATTTTTTTTTTTTATGTATATATATATATAAAAAAAAACAGAAGGTCCATGTTCTTTATTTTGCATTAATACACGGTAATTGCTTTTACAGAGTCCAGCATACCAACTGCGTGTTGATTCTACAGATGGATGCGCCAAAAACCGGCGCTGACCAAACTAGTGCATTTCTCCCAAAGCGAAGACTAAAACCCTTTTAACTCTTCTTAAAAAAATACATTAAAGAACGTACCACACACACATATTGCACTTGTCTCCATATGAAAAATTTGTTTAACCCCCCCCCGCCCCATGTACATCTCACCAAAGTCTCTTCAAAGGAACCTGTATTAAAACTAATAAAGCTAGTAATTGTTATACAGTAGTATACACAAATCCTCTAACAACAGACATCAACAGCAGACTCGACAGAAGCGGCTATTCTGAAGGAGTAGTTGAGAGAGAGAGAAAGACGGAGAGAGAGAGAGAGAGAGAGAGAGAGAGAGAGAAGGCAGGCAAGTGCGCTAAGGATATGTAGAGTTAAGAAAAAGGGTTTCCTCTGTTGTAATATAAATGACAACAAATGTTCCGAAACACAAGCTGTTAAGCAGAAGGGGTTAGCTATGCCTGATATAGTTCAACATTCAGAACTTCTGCCCCATCTGCTGAGGTACAAAGTGACTGCCAAGGAAAGTGATGCTTATCACTTCTCTGCACCTGGATATGGAGCTACAGCCACCTCCTGAGGCCGGCTACAGGTTGTGCTCTGGATGCCCCCACCCCACCCAGGGGAAGGAAAAGCTGCGCAGGCCAAAGCTGCGTTATTCCTTGGTGGATCTCTGCTCTTCGGCTGCCCTCTGCAAGGACGTGAGCTGGGATCCTAACAAACCTTACTCCCAGTCGCCACGGAGTAACGTCTTGCAAAGGAGATGCCAGCTCACGAATCTCCTGGGCGTTAAGTCAAGGACCACCAACATACCAGCGCTTATATCTTCCACGCACAATGAAAGCCTCCTCCTATTGTGGGAAACAGCTCCGGAGACTAAGAACATGGGGGGTAGAGTAGACAACGCAAGGTCTGAACGTGGCGTCCAGCCCATCAAGGTTTTGGCTAACATAGACCGTTGCTGCAATGCCCCCGGTGAAAAACTTCTGTGGGTTGGACAGGGTCCAAAGGCTGAGGTTGCCTTCTCCACAGAGCAAAGGGGAGAGGAATGGCTGACCTAAGCTTGCTCACAGCACCACCACCATATGCAAACTGAATAAAGGAAGAGGTTAGCAGCTGGGTGGGCAGGTCTCAAGGGCCAGTGGGGGTTCCTCCCACTGCTTACAAGGAAATAAGGCAGTTGGCGTCAGCTTGGCTGACCTCTCCTCCCCACCCAAAGTGCATAGGATATAGCAGGAAAGGATTTCCTTGCGGGAAAAGCACCTTAAGTCAACGTGCTTCAGCAGTTTACAAGTCAACGGAAGGTTATTAATTCCTGGCTCGTCTCTCAAGAACCCAAAGGTCCCGGTTCCTAAGAGCAAGGATCGTCCACAGAAAGGAATTCCGCAAGGCAAGAGGTCTCTTCAGGACACAGCTCCTTGCTGAATCAAAGCCTGTCTCCAAGTCACTCATTTCTCTGAGAGTTCAAAACTTAACTGAGGCGGGGGGGAATTAATGGCAAAGACAGCAGCTAGGAGCAAACAGTTGGTGTGGCAATTAAAACGGGAAGTTTAAGCATCGCACAGTGTGAATGCGGCACATGGACGAAAATGGGTCGGGAGGGGAGGGGTAAAGTTTCCCCTTGAAGAAGAGAGGCACAGTTCTCACCACCAAGCTGGGCTGCACCATTTCAGACTGTAGGTGGGGGGCAGGGCTGGAGGGGGGCTCACAGGATGGAATGTTCCGCCTTACAAGCCCCCTCCAAATTAGGGCTGAACTGGAAGTTCTCCGTTGGGAACCTTTTGTTTAGAAAACTGGGAAGCCTGACAAGGCACCATTTCAGCAACTTGGGGAGCGAGAGGGCTTGAGGTTTGTGCTTCTTTTCTTTAAAGCATCTGAATATCTTGAAAACAGGTGGTAGCTGCTGCAGAGGTCCTATTGCCAGCTGCTTCCTGCCAGCTGCCTTCCCTCTGCTGCCCCACACCCAGAAGGGCCCAGATGGGGCACTGCCACACCTGCAGCCCAAAGTGGTGCAGCTCAGGCGCCAGTTGAGCCCCTCCGTTGAGAACCAGGCCTACATTTGTCTTCAGCCAGATCGACTTTGCTAATCCATTGTTCTTTGTGCTTAAAACAAATCTGTGTTGTGCTTAAATCTTCATCTGCTCCCAGCAGGATGCTCAGTAACCCGTAGTGCCTTTCCTAACACTGTCACGGCATTTATTATTATCTAAATCCTCTTACGTGACAAATTCAAGGGATCCTCTGTATTCTTTCCTATGGTTCTGTGGCCAGCGTGTCATGCATCGCAAAAGGTCTCGGCCAAACGCTTGATAGAGCAGATTGCCTGTTGAAGTGGTTAACAAGTCAACAGTTATTGATCCTAAATATTGCTGTAATACTTTTTAACATTTCAGATATACTAATGATGAACAAGTCAGAAACACTTAAGGAGAACGTTAAACTTGCATTCCACATGGTGGAATTTGAGCTCTGAAGGGACTTTGGCGTCAGCATGGACATAAACGGGGGATATTTTCTACTTCAGAAAAAGAAAAAAAGAAAAAGCGTAAGAGTCTCAAAATGAACCCAAAAAGGCACAGCACTATCACTTCACATGGGTTTTCTGATAAGCTCATTTTGTTTCGTCCTTAAAATGCTAATTCCCTAAATAACTGTCGAAATATACAAAGCCTAAGAAACCAAAAGCAATACACACTGCTTAGTCCAAAGTAAAGTTGCTTCTTCTTTTAAAACAGAAAAGCAACAAAGGGCAGCTTATAACTACTTCTCCAGTGATCACAGCTCCCCCAAGGGGCAACATTGTATAGCCTCCCCACACACCCCAGGTCTTCCCCACCCCCACACCTCCACCTCCCAATTCTTGTCCATTGATCTTGGAGGGGCTTCCAACACACTTGTAAGTTCTATGAAAATCCTGGACGTCCAACTCCAGCCTTCTTTTGACAACGGTATATGGACCCTTTCATCACAAGATCCAGGGGCTTGTCAGGGTTCTTAAAGATCAGGAATTTCCTGGCGAGAGTCAACAGAAGGAAGTGGAGATTGTGAGAGGCGCCACGTGAGTCCTCTGAGGATCGGCTGCAGTCAAGTTCTACACTGGCAGCTCAGAGAAAGGCTGTTCAATCCCCAGCACGCTACGTTCCTGATTTGCTTCAAGATCAGCACACAACTTTGCAGCGTTCCAATGAAAAATGTATTGCTTTTATTGCCAAGTAGCATGGTGTCGTCCCATGTTCGCTACTCTTCTTGATCCCTTCCAGGCTTCCTCCGACAGGGGCTGCGTGGTTTGCAGATCTCCTTCTTCCCTGCAAGTGTCTCGCCTCTTTCCTTTCAAAGTAGTCCTCTCTTCTATCGAAAGTGCAGTACCTTGCCTCCACAACCCCTGCCATCGAGTTTCCTTGTAGAGCGAGTGACGCTCAGTCATTTCCCTGCTAGTACCAATTTAGGAGGGTTTGTATAGTCATCTGTTAAGGTCAAGGGTTGGGTCACAAACCATGAATTTTAGGGATGGGACGTACATGGAAATCCACATGCATTTCCGTCCTTCACTTCAAACAATCCACCTTCCATCCGCAACACTCCAAAAACTTGCTAGTTCACCAAGACGTAGCCACCATGTTGGGGGTCAACAGTCTCCATCATTTCACAATCAAAGAGCCCCGGCAGCTCCACCAGGCCTAACGCCTCGTAGCTAGACTGGGATCCAGGAGGGTCTGAACTCCGCCGGCTGTCGGTCATTGCTACACTGCTCTGCTGGGTCGGGCCCAGGGGATATTGATGCTGGCTGGCATAGTCTGGCTCGGACGAGGTGCCAACGGGCAATTCGCAAGTCTGATAGGGATACTGCTGCTGCTGCAGGGGGATCTGCGAGGGCAGTCGAGAGGAACCGTGGATCGGGGGTGAGGGTGGCTGGTCAAGTTGAAGCTTCTGGTATTGGCTAAGGAAAGGGTCGTATTGCATTTGTTCGGCAGAAGGCTCCATGACGGGGCTCAGGGGCTGCACCAGACTGAACTGGGGAGGGGGGGGTGGCTGCTGCTCCTCATGGCATGTGAGGGACAGCTGGCTTGGTCTGGGGTAGGTACTCTCCGCTATTTGCATCTGGTTGAAATACGCCTGCAGCTGGGATTGCTTCTGGAGAAACAGCCGCTTCTGGTGCAACCTGGATCGAGAGAGACCGAGAAAAGTTGGTTCAGCCAGTTTCTTAAAAGCCATGCCACTTTCTTCTCCTCTAGAGGCAAGGATTTTGGATTGCCAAGCTAGCATCAGACATAAAAAAAAATGACATCCAGTCTAAAGCTTGGAGCAAGGATCAGAAAACCTATCAGCTGCACTGCCCCCAAATTAATTCAAACCAAGTCTGTTTAAAAACATACTTCAGTTTTTGAATTATTTTCTTTAAGGATCAAGGAAACCAAGATAGACAAACGAACAAACAAACACCGCTGCTCTAATTCTATGCAGTACGCACTTTTAAGCACAGATTTTAAAAGCAGGAAAATATACAAAATGAGCTGAAGGAGGCTTTGGGAGAACCTTGGGGTGACAAATTTTGCATTGGAGGTTTCCAGGTCCACAAGGCAGAGCCATCTCAGCCTGAAGCAAGAAGCAAATATGTGAATTCCTTCCCTGCCTTTCGGACTGGCTCACAATTCAATCTGGAGAGGAACACTGCTGACAAGGAGAATGGGGCAGCACACCTACGACAATTCAGTGCTGCCCGCATACATGCACTGAGCGGCAACTGCGAGATCACCTGGGAACCATCCACCCCTCTTATGCTATAAAGAATTCCATTCTTGTGAGCCCTCATCCAAAGACACATTAATCTGGAGGTGGGTGGGAAAGCATCCTAATTAAGCTCCCCCGACTCTTAAAGCAAGCTTATATATACAAGCAGGTCCAAACCAGTGGGCGCTGCTGCCTTCTCGCTCACCTGTGTTCCTGTAACTGCTGCTCCAGGCTCCGGGGTAATTCCTTGCAAAAAACCTGGCAGGCGTTTTGAGCTTTTGAAAGCAGACTGGGCTTCTGAAACAAGGAAGACTCGCTGTATCATCATATACACAATACTTTATAGTCCTGCTATAATATGTTAGTTGGCTACTGAAATAATGTAGGGACTGAGCTTGCTGGTAAGCCCATCACAACTAGTTTTGCCATGATATGTGCAGCCGGCCACGAGAGCCCCATGGCTTTGTTATTTGAAACCCTGGAGGAGGGGAGAGTAGTGTGTCTTATATCTCGACCCATTATAGTGGGGAGACAAGAGAGAAGGAGAGGCAGCAGCACTCCCTATAAACGTCTGTGTTGTTTGAAGTGGCCTAACTCTTCCAAAGGTGGCACCGTACCTGGAGTCTGTGCTGCAAGTACTGCGTTTCTAAGCTCTGCCGCCTGGAGAGCAACTGGGGATGGATGCCGTTAGCAAAAGCAGAGGCAGCTTCCTGCTGTTGGGGTGTTTCCTCCTTGGGGGAGAGAGAGAGACAGACAGACAGAGAGAGAGAGAGAGAGAGGGAAAGGATGAACGTGCTGTAGAGACCTTCTACTGATCCAGAGGCCACATTTCCCACTTAAAACTCTGACAAGTAGCAAAGTCCATCGAAACGAGAGCCGGATCAGGAGCCGGGCAAATGACCTGAATCCAGGTCCAACCCTCTGCCATCCAGCCAGGCTGGAAAGAAGTTTCCAAATCCCCAAGTGCGGTCAGCAAGCCTGCATGTTTGTGAGTGATGCCTGCTTCCTAGAGAAATCACAGGTTGCTGGTGTTATCCAACTAACTTCTACTTAGAGTAGCTCCACTGAACTTAACGAGCCTGTCAGCCACATCTATTAATCTGAACGGATCTCCTCTGAGTAGGAGTCTTTTAGTGGCTCATGTGTTGTATAGGCCTGGCCTGCAGAGCTCCCAACCCCTTCCACACAGACCTGAGGTCCACAACCTCCTCATTCCTATACAGTACTCTGAACGCCAATCAAACCCACCCTGGCATCAAGAGGTTTCAGATTTGGAAATGCAGAACTTAAGATGGTAACAAAACCCAGATGAAAGCTAAGGAATTACACCCAGCTCAGATTTGTTGGCTTCTTGTGTGGCAGGTGCCCCAGTTAAGTTTGCTCTCTCTGCCTACCGACACATTCTGACTTCTCTGTGCTGCTTCAGCTGGAGGAGCTTAAGGAGGGCTGCAGGACTCCATGGCTCACAAGAGATATGGCAAACATGCCCCAGAAATGGCGTACCTGCTGGGGACCACTCCTGAGGTCTTGCAGATGGGGAGACGTGGAGGCCAGGGCAGGCTCATCTTCCGACCTCATCTGTTCATAGAACAGCTGGACTTTGTTAAGCTCCAGGATTCCTTTGGTTCGGGCTAGATTCTGAAGGTGCTGCCTAAATGCCACAATTCCTGGATTGAGGACAAGGCAGAGCAGTTTTTAGAAGGAAAGCAATCCCTGGATGTTAAAATTGTGAGCAGCTCTCTGCTTTGAATTGTTAGTTTATTTTGGGGTTTTGCTCATTGCACCTGTGATGTACATGTATTTCCAGGGCATCCACATACAGTTTCTACAAAGCTGAAGGTATATATAGAGCAGGGTTTCCTAACCTTGGGTCTCCAGCTGTTTTTGGACTACAATTCCCACCACCCCTGACCAATGGTCCTGCTAGCCAGGGATGATGGGAGTTGTAGTCTAAAAAACAGCTGGAGACCCAAGTTTGAGAAACCCTGATATAGAGGCCCATGTGCACTAGGGAACACCAACAGGTTGCACAAAACAGATGAATATGTAGGCTGCAATCCTAAACACCCTAGGAATAGCTCCAATTGAACTCAATAGGGCTTACTTGTTAGCAGGTTGCACTGTGAGACAGCCCCACAATCCCCTCCTCTCCTTCCCACCACCCAAAAAGAAATATGGTGGTAAATAAGAGCATAAGAAGAGCTTGCTGGACCAGGACTGTGGCCCATTTAGTACAGCATCCTGCTTTCACAGCGTCCAGCCAGATGTTCACAGAAAAACTACAAGCAGGACCTGAACACAAGGACGCTTTCCCCTTCTGTGGTTTCCAGAAACTGGTATTCAGAAGTTCTGCTGCCTCTGAATGAGGAGGCAGAGCCGAGACATCATGGCTAGTCGTCATTGATACTTTTATCGTCCATACGTTTAGCATCTTTGTTGTATAGCTCTTGCCATATGCTGAAGTCCTATCTTAACTGTCAGTTTAGAACTGGGGCAGTTCAGGACTTCCTGGCTGCCAGGACAACCATGGGGCCACCCCAAAGCCATCAGCCTAACCCAGGTAGCAGGGCACACCCCACCCAGACTGCCTGCCCCAACAGCTGCAGCCCATACACCTTGATTTCTTAACAGAAGGTACCTTGCGTTAGGGATGTGTCTGAGGCTCTGCGCCCCTCTCGGAAGCTGACAGGGGAACGGTTGTGGGCCTCTCGTTTGTGGGAGGCCAGAGCCTGCATGGCGGGATTAGCGGGTCTCAGGCCTATGAAAGGAGGCGTCATCCTAGGAGCTGGCTGATTGGCAAGTACCATTTCTTTCAGGGAAGGAGTGTCTTCTAGAAAGTTGAGGTCTCTCTGGATGGATCCCATGTCATATTCAGAGTCGACGCTGCTCAAGGACTGGTTCTCATCCATGGAAAAGACTTTCCCTTTAGAACACAGGAAAATCCATAGTAAGTGGAATGAGCAATCACCTACCAAAGCAAACTAAGCTGCTGTGTCTAAAGCCATGTCTCTAGTGGCTAGCTGGAACATGTTAAGATAGCCTCCAAAAGAGGAAGGCTGCATTGCTTTAGCCCTTTTCCAACACTGCAGAAACAGACAGGTTCAAACAATGATGGCAGATGGCCGTGTGAATTGGAACAGTCAGACAAAATATGCTACCACCTGGAATTTTTTATTTTCACATTTGGAAAGTGAAAAAGCCGCCTTTTAAGGACAAGTCATTTTGGTTTTCTTCTTAAAATTGCCCAAAACGCACTGGGAGCTGAATACTGCTTTTCTACTACAGCAATTGTGAACAGATATGACACATATTTGGAAAGGAGCACACACAACCTTCTCACGTTTAGAGGGAAAAAATCATGCAAACACTTTCGCATGAAGTCACAAGGGGCATTTGCCAGGCAGTTGCTTCTCTGCGATTCCAGCCTTGCTTATCGCAATATATACACACACTGTGTACGTGGCGAGGCTGGAACGTAGCAAGGGCATCTGAAGGTCGATGCTCTAAACATTACAATGAAACTCTCCTGTATACTGGTTTACATTATGAACCTTTTGGTGTCTCCACAGATGCTGTTTGCTCAACAGCAATTTTGGCAGAATGATTCTTGCTGCGTCACCACTGTGATTTTTTAAAGCAGATTTGAGGGTGGAGGAATTCCACACACACACCGCAGTTACTGAACAAGCACCGATAAGTTCTCAAGTGATGGTGGAAGAGCAGCCTCCTCCCATTTGCACAGGAATGATGGAGAGATGTTCTCATGGGGAGAACCACTGGCTCCCAGTGCTATGAAACATTCACTAACTGGTGGCTCCTTAGCTGACACTGTTTGCTCTTCCCAGCCTTTGAACACTGTCATGAGATTGCTTGGCAAAACAAGCAGAAACCATCTGTACATTTATCATTCTTATCTTCCTACAAAGCAAATTCATTGTTGGCTCCAAGGTAATAACTGCACCCCCCTGTGCACACAGGGCTTGTCTTTGTTGGCTGCTAAATTCAGTGAGGCATGAAAATTAGGCCAAGACCTCAAAATCCCCCCACCCTCTGCCTCAAGTTGCCTTCAGTGTATAACCAAACTTCTCTCTCCCTGGAAGTCCACCACAGGCCCCTTAAAATCATAGAATCAGAGTTGGAAGGGACCCTGAGGGTCATCTAGTCCAACCCCCTGCAATGCTGGAATCTCAGCTAAAGCATCCATAACAGATGGCCATCCAACCTCTGCTTAAAAACCTCCAAGGAACGAAGAGTCCACCACCTCCTGGGGGAAACTGTTCCACTGTCAAACAGCTCTTACTGTCAGAAAGTTCTTCCCGATGTTTAGCCAGAAACTCATTTCTTGCAACTTGAAGCCATTGGTTTGAGTCCCACCCTCCAGAGCAGGAGAAAACAAGCTTTTCCCCTCTTCCATGTGCACCTGCTCTCAGTCTACAACATACCACAGTTGGAATTAGGTGGATTCACATAAGGAATACTATCCTGACCTAGGGCAGGACTGGACCAGCCCAACCAGCCAGCCAACTTGGTGCCCTTCAGATATTTTTGACTACAACTCCCATTAGCCCCAGGCAGCACGGGACTTGTTTGGATGGGAGCTGAAGCCCAAAACATCTGGAGGGCACCAGGGTGGGGAAGGATGAACCAGCTGAGCTGTGGCACCACTCCAACTTCCTAGGCTCCAGCCTGGACCACTTACTTACCTGTGCCCGGCATGACAACCAGTTGATTGGTTACTTCTGCCAGAGTGTGACGCCTCTTCCCACAGCGAGTGGCTTGCAGGGCTGCAAACGCTTGAGCAGGATCCTCTTCCGACTCTCCCTCTGTCTCTATCCCTTCATCAATGGAAGTCTCCATCATACTGCTTGGCAGGGACTGGCATCCCTTCCTCCCCATCATTGGGGGGATGGGATCCAACAGGCAGCCATTCACCTAATGCATTAAGAAAAGGAGGGTGAGGAGAACCACAAACATACAATATCTACTTAGTGGCACTTGTATGCAGAGACTCTATGACATTTGAAATCTCTGTCAAGTGAGAGACAATTATGATACTGAGCAGCATCCGAAAACACAGTAGAGGCAATCTGTTGATTGAATACAACCAGAGTGCTACAAACCATGATGCTGCTTGATAAAATGTCAAGAGCAGAGCTGGCAAGACACACCAGAGAAAGAGAGAGAGAGAGAGAGAGAGAGAGAGAAAGAGAGAACGAACAGTGAGAGTTGGTCTTTTCTTACAGGGCCATCTTTTCCTGGTGAAAACAGGAACACTAACTCAGGAGAAATCCCCCACCCTACTCTTAGGCAGGTAGCATAAGTTAAACTACTGACAGACAACCCTCTCTCTCCATTCTCTGGGGCTTCTCTGTGGCAGCTACCTTCCAGAAAACAACCACCTCCCATGAGCATATGTCACAGCAATGAAAAGGTCCAGCAACTTCATACCAGCTCAGGATTACTAGCTAGCTAGAGAGCTGCGCTGCTTCCTCTCAGGGGCTACGGACTAGGGCACAATTGAGTAGGAACTCTTCTGTGCAACCCCCATGAACAGGCTTAGGTGCTCTTGCCCATTTGGGCCTTGCGGAGGAGATGTTCCCAGAATGCTGTGCCCCAGGTGCCCTGCTCTTCCAATAAAGAGGCCTCCCAGCCAGCTGATGAGTGACCTTGCTGCTCTTGACTAATTCCCAGACATTTAAGCAGCTGTTCCTGAATTCCATCAAGAAATCTGTCTCAGGGGATCAGCTTCAAAATTAGCTAATTGCTGAACTGCTGAGGTTGGGCCAAGTTCCCGTTTCTCTAGGAGATTGCACTGATACCTAAAAAATACATGGGAACATATCTTGGATAGGGCTCCAATTCTGGGGTGAGGGGAGCATGTTCTCTGTGACCCTCCCCCCTTGGAGAAACACATTCGGCGACCTCTAAAATGGAGCCTTGGTGTTTTTTTAAAAAAAATGACACCCCAAAACATCTTAAATGATGCAAAAAAATAAAGGGGAAAAAATAATAATTTGCATCAACTTTGTGCATCTGCGCCCCCCCCCCCCGATTTCACATATGAACCTGATGACAAATTGGCTCCACAAGGGAGCACTGAAGGTTGATTCTGCAAGGTGTGGAAGCAAAAATCCAGAGCAACTCTGCACCTGATTGAAGGGAACTTTCTCAGGTCAAATGAAACTCTATGTGTTTTACCCAGACATTTGTGTGTTGCGTCAACCCCAGAAATACCTGTTGGGCTGCTCTGGCAACAGATTTTGATGCAAGTGAAAGTACTTCAGATTCTGCCTTATGATGGAGCTACTTTCATCTTTGCTTACGTGCAGGATGTTAAATGCTTTGATATCGTTACTGATTTCAATATGGTAAATCAGATTTCTTCTTGTTGCAGTTGCTTAAAAACCCACCCAGGTTTAAAGGGGTTTTGAAAATCACCTTGCAGAAGACCTTGCATCTGTTCAGGCTCCTATAGCTGGTGGCTACCTCCCTAGGATAGGCAGTGCCACAACTCCCTTTGAAACATATGCAGGGAACCTGCTCATCTCCACATGTCATCTCCACCAGCACCAGCAAATGCTCAGGGGTGAGAGGAGGTACAGTCTCACAGGACCCAGCTAACAACAGTAGATTAAAGACACTGGTGTCTCGGCCAGATAGCACAATAATGTCCATACCATGACTTCCCTTGGACCCAGAAATGACTTTTGTTTGTTTCCTATACTGAGACACTGAAAGACTAACCAAAGCAACTTCCATGTCTAACAGAAGGCAGTTTTGCAATCTGCCAACTGCAGGAGACAAGAACATTTCAGAGGCAACCCTGATCCCACAGCCGGGTTACGGGAGCGCCGCTGTTTGTTTTACCACAGGACGTCTAGCTGACACTTCCAGCTACAACTACATTCAGGACACAGGGTTTTGTGTGGTGTTGCCTGCACTGGCCATAGCTTAGCCTCTAAAAAGGAACCTGCGCTGGGAAGAGCATGCATGCAGGCGTCTCCCCCCTCTCCCTTAAGATATGAAGGGTGGCCTCTGCCTTCATCTGGATTAAGAGTTGCAAGCCTGTACATGTGGAGACATCTCTGGGGGAAAGCTCCTTGCGCTGCTGTCATCAGACCAGGGAACGAAGCCAAGATACACCAGCCCCATGGTGATGACTGCAACAAATACGGTAAACCGTGTCAAGCCCCGCTTGCTAGATTGGATTTGACAATCAAGCACAGAAGAAAAACAGGTTCAGGACAGCACCTCCTGTATAAGCAGGTCTTAGTATTTTAAGAAGCACAGCTGTAAAATGAGAGGGTGAGCTTCCATGGTTCCCTACTCCTCTGAGGCAATGCTTTCTCTTAAGCCCTATAGCTGCTAACTCAGCAATGGAGCTGTGTGTTATGCTGGGCAGGCTGTTTCCTGGAACACCAAGCCAGCAACAAAAGTTTTGCGGCTGGCACCACGCTACCACCTGCATCACAACAAGAATCAAGTTATCTGTTAACAGCCGGGCTGGTTAAGCAGCAGCCAAAGGCATAGACAACTTAATTCAGTCAGCAGACACGACACAGGACAAACAATTCAGCGGAACTAAGTGCCAGTGTTAAGACAGGTTTCCTAGATTTTACTGTTCAGGTTGCTTGGAGCAAGTAAAAAACAACAACAACCTTAATAGCTGCTATAAGAGAAATCTCCTGGATTAAAGAGGGAGGGGTTCCACAATATGCCTGAATGCTTTTGCCACTCCAAACTGTGCATGAGATTAGACTAGAGTTTGCCAAGAATCAGGGTATTGTATAGTAACAGCCCTTTTCACATTTATCCAGCCTTATCAGAGGCAGAAAGCTATACTACACCTCACTAAAACTAACTGCTTACAGATCTCTTGATCCTTGTGTTTAGAAATGGTGGTAAGGCTCTAAATATCGCATCCGAGGAGAATAATTTCGGTGTCAGGCATGCTGATTAGAAAGGGTATTCAGGTGTCGATCCCTCCTGGTCCCAATGGAAGACTATGGACTGCCAGATCACCTTAGGCAAGACCCTCTGAAAGAGAGGTAACTGACCCCAAGATGCATTTTTGGGGGGGGGGGTTACTTCTGATGCCTGCTCCTCTTATTTTAGCACCGCAGCATGAAGCTAGCTGTGCGGGAAGCAGCCACATTCATAAGCTGTCATATAAAAAGCACAGACGCGTATTTATGAATGATGAAAGAAACCGAACTAATAATTATAAGCCTCTTTTGTGTCATCTGGTGGTACAGGACGACACTGGGCTAGACGGGCCAAGTACATGCTGCTCTTATATATAGAAGTCTCCCATCCTGGCAAGCCCTAAATCAAGGGTGTCATTTGAATCTGATGGCATAAAACACACCAATATCAATGAGGCAATGACTGTGCAAGAACAGAACGTGTCATTACGTAGGTATACACACACCACAGAAACGTGTTTCTGGCCTATTTTGTGCTCTTGTCGTCACAAAGGCTCCGGAATATTTTTCTCCTGCCAGCTCACATCCATTCTGGTTAATTCCCACTTCCCTTCAAGACCCATCACCACAGACCTCTCAGCTTGATGTGTGAATGTGCAAAGCTCACTGGAGCAACTGTACCTTTGCACAATTGTGGATCTGTCACATCCGATTAGTCAGGTTTAGTGCCAGCCTGTTAGCGGCAGAGGAGCACGAAGTTTATACAAGTTTTCTTGTATTAACGACAGGAGCCAAAATCTAAAGGGACTGCAGCTGAACTAGTGATTCTCCGGAGCAGATTGTGAATTTCGACTTACAAAGTGGGAGAATAAAAAACAAAAAAACCAAAGGCTTTAGAGACAGAAGGTCTCTAATATTTTTTGACAACTTGAAGGTCCCAGCAAGCTTGTTACTGCTCATGAAGTGAACTAAAAGCAAACATTAATAACACCATTTCAATTAAAGCATCTTGCTGCCTGCCAAGTTTCCAATATCACATAATGTAAACAGGCAGGAAAACTGCAATTACAGCTGAAAATTAACATGGAAATTCTCAGCTTACAAGGAAATTTGGGGGAGGGGGACTCATTTTGCAACTGCAGTCAAGCATACCTGCAAGTTTACATAAAGAAGTCTAAGGCTGGCTGCAAATAAGCAGCCTCAACACTGTGAGTGTAAACTAAAACTCATGAGGGTCCTTGTCAGCATAAACAGCAACAAGCCTTGCAGCACCTTAAAGACTAACAGATTTCGCTTATGCCATAATAAATCTGTTAGCCCTTACGGTGCCACAAGCCTCTTGGTTGTTTATGCTGCAACAGAGATTCCGCACAGCTACCCCGCTGGAAACTTTTCAGCAGAAGGCTTCGTATCTGCAAGGACTGAAGAAACCTCTATGTGACAAGAGCTGGTTAATTTCTACTAAGTAACAAGGCTGACTGGGTATCAGAAGCTGTAACCAAAAAAAGTATGGCAAACTCCCTCCTGGCCCAGCTTAATATCATCATCTCACTGTGTGTAAAAGGTAGAGCTGTCCACTTGGGAGAGGAAGCAGTTTGCAACAGGCCTGACTTCTTAAGAAGCTGTTTTTTAGCCAGTGAAAACCGGTGCTGCAGCTGCCCTGAAGTCAGCTGAGTTGTGAACACACAGTCAGCTGCTTCAGGCACCCTGTTTATCTTGTGGCATAGGAAACCACACCACTGTGAAACGCAAGGGCCTTTCTGCACTGTCCACCCTAGGAAAATGCCTGCAGGTCTCCCACACTTCCTGCTGCTGTGAAGTAGCCAATAAGCCCAGTTCACACAGGCCTCTGTTAGCTGCCCACTTCTGATAAGTGGAGACACCTCTGGTGGGAAACCACAGTGAGGACAACAGCCACACAACCGCCATCAATAAATGGGGAGCCTTCATGCACCACCACAAGCAGACTGCGAAAGGCAAAAGCAAACACAGCCCTCCCCATCCCTCCAAAACACAAAAACCAAGAACTGACTTTTTGCTCTGAAAATTTCTAGGAAGATTTCGTTAAAGCAGCTCATGGGATCAGTTAATGCCATATCAACAGAAAATAATAAAACATATAAACACTACTAAACCTAACAGGAAGTGTAGTCAAAATCTTTAAATACCACTAAATTCCAGGGTGAAAAAAGCAATACGAAGTCGGTGCCTAGCAGGTAGATATAGGGATTTCCTCAAATGAGGGGCCACCACAGAAAAGGCATTCTCCCTCAAAGCCACTCACCAATTTTTTAAAGCGGGGCAGGCAGAGCAGGGGCTCTGATGAAGATCTGAATGCTCAGACAGAACTTTGCTCAAAAGTAGTAGCCAGTGAAGATCTTTAAGTCATACAAGTTCACAGTATTAGTTGCTATATTCTGCATGAGTTTAAGTGCCTAAACTATCTCTCCTACAAATGCATTTTAAAGGACATAGAATGCTGGTCAACTAAAGGCCCGGTTGAAGAGGAACTTTTTCGCCAGGCGCCTAAAGGTGTATAATGAAGGGACCAGGCTACGTTTCCTGGGGAGAGTATTCCATAAATGAGGAGCCACTGCAGAAAAGGCCCATTCTCTCTCTTTTTAAAAAAAACCATTAATTTTTTTAAATACTTATCCATCATACGAACAATCATTGAATAAAATGAACAAATAATACAAAAACAGAAGATACAAAAACAAAATTACAAGGATGTAAACATAATAACATAAACTACAATCAAAAATATAAAACATTATATTCTCCTAAAAAAGGAAAAAGAAGAACAAAAAATAATATCAAGAAGAAGAAGAAGAAAAATTGACTTTCAACTAACTCCATGTGGATCTTTATTCCTCAAATCACTGGTTGTCTGTAATGATTAAATTTTTGGAGAAATATTCTAATTATCGGTACCTGTGAGATTTTTATTCTAAGCTAAACCAAGTATGAATCTGGGAATCAGTTCTCTTTATATAATTTATAAAGACTTCCCACTCTCTCCTTATTTTCTCATTAGAATAAATTTCTTATTAAACCTGGAAGTTTGGCCAGCTCAAGATATTCTGACAGCTTAAGAACCCATTCTTTTTTTGTCGGTGTTATGTTACTTTCCAATGTTTAGCAATTATTATCCTGGCCGCCGTTACTGCACACAAAAATATTCCTTTGGTTTCTTTTGGGATGTCTGTTGTTAATAGGCCCAATAAAAACATTTCCGGTTTTTTGGGGGAAAGTATGTCTTAACATTTTCTTTAATTCTTCATAAATGGTATTCCCAAAATTTTTAATTTTAGGGGAATGTCTACCACATATGGAAGAAATTCCCTTCTTTAAGTTTGCACCTCCAACACTTTCCACTAGTGTTTTGGTACATTTTAGCCAATTTTGAGGGTGTAAGATACCATCTGTACATCATTTTTTTTTAAAAAAAATCTTTTATTGTATAACATGTCGTAAATCTTATGTCTCTTTCCCATAAATTTCCCCATTTTTCTAATTCAACTGTATAACCAAAATCTTGTGCCCATTCGCCCATGACATCTTTAACCTCTTCGTCTCTTAACGCCAATTTAATAATAGTTTATACATTCTGGATCAATTTTTTATCATCATTTATAATCAATTCTTCAGATAATTCAGATAATTTCTTATCAAATCCTTTTACTTTCTTGTCTTCCTCAAAAACTGCATTTAATTGATGGTATTGTAACCAGCCTATTCCTATATGTCTTCTTGTTTCATATTTTTTCATTTGTAATCTATTATTTACTTCCTCTAAAAGATCTTTATATGTCAACCAATTTGAATCCATATGTTTTCTTTTTACTGCCTCTACCTCCATTGGTTACAACCATCATGGGGTTTTTGGTTCTAATAATTTTTTGTTCTTTTCCCAAACTTCATGTAAGGCTTTCCTAATAATGTGATTTAGGAATCCTTTGTTAATTTTTACTTTATTATAACCCAGGCATCCGTGCCACCCCACTATATTATCCCAGCCCTCAATATCCAATAATTTGGTATTCTTGAAGATCATCCATTCCTTGAGCCAGACCAGGCAGACAGCTTCGTAGTAGATCCTAAAATCTGGCATTCAAAACCCTCCTCTGTCTTTGGTGTCTGTTAATAATTTAAATTTAATTCTAGGTTTTTTGTCCTGCCAAATGTATTTCACCAAATACCTGTGCCATTCCTTAAAATAATTTAAGTCATTATGAACTGGAATTGATTGAAAAAGGAACAGTATTTTTGGTAAAACTACCATCTTGATTGTAGAAATTCTTTCACACAATGTGAGTTTTAATTTGCTCCAGATTTCTAAGTCTTTCTTAATTTAATGTTTTTCATGGTTATCCAAAATCCTAAATACTTTGCTCTGTTGGTGATTTTAAGTCCTGTTTCTATTTCTAACTTTACTTTTTCTTGTATATCTAATTTTTTTTTACCAAGAGTTTTGTTTTTCCTTTATTAACTTTAAATCCTGATAATTGTCCAAATTCCTTTGTTTTCCCCAATACTGCTACAATACTCTCTGGTTTCCTGTTGTAATTATTAGATTGTCTGCGAAGGCTCTTACCTTAGAGGCCCTTTGTCCCAATTTAATTCCTTCTATTCTAGGGTCTTCTCTTATTGCTTTCAAATATACTTCCAGTAAAAAAGAGGAGAGGAGAAAGAGGGCAGCCCTGTCTTGTTCCCTTAGAGATACTAAAAGCTTCTGATGTTTCACCACTGATAGTCTGGCCTTTTGGGAATTATAAATCACTTTTATACTACTACATATTTTCTTGCCCAAACTCATAATTTCCAAAGTTTTTTGCATGAATACCCACGAAACATTATCAAATGCTTTCTCTGCATCCACCAAGGTCAGGGCTGCAGAAAAGGCCCATTCTCGTGTTGCCACCCTTGGGACCTCTCGTGGAGGAGGCACACAATGAAAGGCCTTAGGTGATGGGCCTCACTGGCACATGGTCCCTGGAAGGATGCCCACAAGGGGATTTGGCCCTTGGGCTGAAAAAGGTTCCCCACCCTCGATATAAGCCTCTCAGTCTTTTGTAGATGCTTCCTGTGCTAACAAACAGCTCACTATTAAGCTCCTTAATGCTAAGCTCAGTTGCTTCAGCATTACTCGGCTCAGCTATGAATCTAACTCCTCCTCCAAGCACCGATCGCGGACAATTCCAAAGGTCTAGGAGACTTAAATATGGCATGTGAGAATTGCAGAGCTTACCTTTGGTGTGTCGATTCTCTCTTCCTCCATGAAAGCCGATTCTGCCTGGCAGGCGGAAGGGGGAAAAGAGAAAGCTTCAGCAGTGGAAGTTGGTGGGAGGCCAGGAGACCTTAGCAGCCTGACATTCTGGGGGCGCAGGTTGACAGGAGCTACGGAAGCCTGAGCCTACAAAGAGTAAGAGAAACAAAGAACAGTTTGTTAGAAGGCATGCAAAGAAAACAGAAATGAAACCAGGAAGTATCGGACATGGGATGGAGCACAACAATAACAACCCCTGGAGAATAATAGAAGTGGTGGGATCTCAACCTGTGAGGCAAAACTAGCCTAACATAGGCGGGGAAAGGAGAATGACCAATACACAAGACTGAACTGCTCACACCAAACGTTTCTCAGAGAAGAACAAAGAAGGGAAGTGCTGGTCTTGCGTTTTAGAGCCAGAATGCTTTTAGCAAGACCTTCTTGCCCTGCCTAGAGCTACAGAAGGTTCTGCACGTCAGACTGTGCATGCCTAGTCACACTTGTGGGACTGTGCGGAGGCCACAAGGAAGAATGAGGGCTTCTCCAAGGGCTAAAAGCTAGATTGTGCCTTCACTGTTATTTTAAGCGTGTGCTGGTTTAATGCTCACTTTATTGGCGTCATGCTGATTAAATAAAGAGTCAGAGGCTGTGAGATGCCTGCCAGCAAGGGGATTGCAACATCCACAACATTAACCGTCAGTGTATATTAAACATCTCAAACTGCCAATGCTAAGCACAACATACTTGGTTTCTATACATTTAAACACAAAACAAAACATGGGAGTTTGCAAAATACGAGAATATTTGGGGATGTGTTGGGAACGACAAACTACTGCCATTTATCATATTCTACAAAGGACAAACTTCAAAATAGCATATTTGTGTGTGTGAGTGAGTGAAGCTCTGATGCCACCCAATGTTTTGCTCCTTAAATGTCTGAGTGACATTCAGCTGCAATCTTATCAGGGCTTCTGAAGCCAAGGCAGAGTCTGCAGGAACACCGTGATAAAAGTTCCACAGTGCCATGCAGTCAACTTGTTTTACCAATGAGTTTTGAAAGCACTTTAATGGCTTGATTGCTTTCCAGACCACCAGCTGGTTCGTGAGCGTGTTAATGTGGGCCAGTGCTTGGTCTGTGGCTTCAAGATCTAACATTGCCTGTGACTTGCCAGTCAGGAGAATCACAACAGCTGCCCAAAGCTGAGCATTGGCATGGGGAAAGCCATCAGCTAAATAACGCCAAATGAATACTATGTGCTCAGATTCACATACATCACAGTCATGCTTAGAATGATCCTGTATGGAAGGACAGCACTGCCATTCCCATATTGCAGATTATGGAGAAGGTTGGTTGGGTGAGGCTGAGAGAGATATTGGCCAGCCTAAGGTTAGTGAGTTCACAGCATAGGCAAGATGGGAGACTTTCTGGTTTGTGCTCTTAGCCAAAATACCAGCGCTCATTACAGAGGAATGAAACAACACTTTATTGCCTTTGCTCAAATTTTGATGCATCTGATCAGCTTCAGGCAAAATCACCAAGGAAAATAACTGCCTAGGTCCCCCTCTTACTGATTTTCCTATTGCTGCAGCAAACTGAACCACTTTCTGGAACTGGACTGTTGTGACTGACTTTTCACCCTTCTTAAAAAAGAACCACAGTCAAAGGAGGCTTCCATGATATGCAGGCACTTTATATATTCAACTAGGTTCCAGGTCTAAAAATACAGGTCGCTGGTGGGGGGGGGGGGTGTCTGTCTGGGTAGGAAGAAGAGCTCTGTGACTGAACACTGACTGGCTTGTGTGGTAACAACTGTGCCTAGAACAGGGAGTTACCTTGGCGACTGTTTGCTCAGCGATTGTGCTCGGTCGTCGCTGGCGGGAATCGAGCCGCTGCTCCACAGGGAAGCTACTGCGATGTGACTTGAGCCTCTCTATGAGCAAGTAATAGATAGCAGCAAAGTGGTTGTAGCTCTTGTCCTGCAAGGACTGAGAAGAGAACAGGCACCCAAAGGTTAAATCAGGACAAATACAGTGCTACCTTGGGTTACATACGCTTCAGGTTACAGACTCCGCTAACCCAGAAATATTACCTCGGGTTAAGAACTTTGCTTCAGGATGAGAACAAAAATCGTGCTCCGGCGGTGCGGCAGCAGCAGGAGGCCCCATTAGCTAAAGTGGTGCTTCAGGTTAAGAACAGTTTCAGGTTAAGAACTGACCTCCGGAACAAATTAAGTACTTAACCTGAGGTACCACTGTAATATCTGTCACCTTTCTCCAATGTGTGAGAGACTGCCACAGCTATATGCGTACAGAGAGGTGCGGTGTTCCACTGAACAACATTTCCTTGGGAGGAGTGAGAGTCTTTCTTTTTCTTTCCCTAGAGTCGAACTGGGCTGCATGTTTGGGACTGGGAGGGAGTCTTCACCTAGTTGAGATAAGCTGGCGAAGGAGGGAGGGGAGATGCCTGCTGTGTGTTGATCAGCTCTTTGATGGGACTGCATAAATATGTTTTCCATAAGCACATCCTACAGTGTCATTCGGGCGACTGGGTGGCAGAACAAAACACGTTTTAATCCCTTCTAGCTCCAAATTCTGTTCCCAGCCCAAAATGACAATGCTAATTGGGCCCTGGGACCTCATATTGGCTTTAGTGCAGTTTTACAAAAGTGTCAGTTGCACAAATGAACTGTCAGCAATGCGTGTGTCTGTGCCTGTTTATTAACCCTTAAAAAACAAACACAAAACAGTACCACCTAGCCCAGGGATGGAGAACCTTGTGGCCCTCCAGATATTGCTGGACTACAGTTCCCATTACCACTGAGCCCTGCTTGATGGGAGCTGAACTCTTGGAGGGCCACAGGTTCCTTAACCTAGGCTATTCCACATTTTGAGCCACAATGGGAAATGGAGCCCTGAGCGAAAAGGCTCAAGGCTTCATTGCCCCCTGCCCTCCCTCCTGCCAACTTTCTGGCAGGAAGCATTAATACTGCAGACTCCACACTGGCTAAAAATATCAACCATTTTGAAGGAAGTGATCACACAGACTCCTCAGGGAGCTTTTCAGCGTTTATTTCTGGTAAGAGGCTTGATTTGGAATCCTAGCCGAGACACCAAAAATAAAGACAACTGGCTGCTTTTCTAAGGGTTGTTTTTTTTTCTTCACTTTGTCAGATCTCACATTTTAGAAGCTTAAAGCAAAGTGAGGTCCGTTTCCTGTTTTGCGCCCCTTGTTATCCTCAAATTTCCCAAAACTTGCCCTGTAAATATATAATGAAGAATAGGCACATGTGAACATTTTCACCACTCTAGGCTATAAAAGACAGGAAGGCTTGGCAGTGAAAGTTTAAGAAAATCAAACATTATCTCCAGAAAAATATGAATTGTATTTCTCACTTTAAAAAAAGAAGGGGCTACAATATTCCACAGTACAATCAAAGCTGAGTGTACCTTGGCAAAATCAGCTGTGGGAATTACTGGCAAAGTGTCCCTTTCCTGATGGTTTGAGATGTGCATGCTAGAATATACCCATTAAACTCCACCAGGTGGTTTCCCACTCCTCACTCCCTCTACCCTGCAAATTCATTTCCCAAAAGCATTAGGCTCATTTAGTCTCTTGCACCATTATGTTACTGGTTTGACCTTCCCACAATAGCTCCAGCAAAGGTGAAAAACTTGGAAGATACCAGACAGACCTGTAAAGTAGGGACTGTAAATGAGCTTCCAGCCGAACAACAAAAGACTGTGTTACCTCAATGGTTTTTTGTTGGTCTATTCCCAAGCTGTGCATCAGCCGCAGAACTTGTTCATTGTATTCTCCAATTGATGGCTCATTCTCTTGTCCTTGGGGATAGAGAATAGGTCTCTGAACAGGAACCTCTACCAGCATCCACTTGTGCTCTTTGATCTGAGCAATTGTCAGCCTCTTGGATGGATCCAGGACCAGCATCCTCCGGATAAGATGCTCACACTCTACATGGACAGAGTAGGGGTGAAAAGTTCAGACTGATACAGCTAGTATGGGATCTATCTGCATTGTTAGCCTGTGTCAATGTAAGCTGGGTGACTATTAGCAATAGGAAACTGCTTAATTCAGATGCCAAATACTACTGCTAAAAATAAAAATAATCTTGAAAGAGGTCTTTAATTTGTATAAAGAACAAAACCCATTTCTCCTACAGGTGAGCAATTAGGGGAAACAGCACAATTATTTCTAACTGCAGGCACAATAAAAGGAATAATAGTAATTCTTCATACCCATGGGACTGACTGAATTGCACAAAAGGGCTACGTTTGCATTAACCAATGAAGTTTCAGAACAGAAAAAAACTGTTTTGTTTTTTAAGCTTCCCATTCCAAGTATGTGTTCTTGCAGTTCTGACTTGCTTGTTGCAGTGCCTACTACAGCTGCAAGAAATCACTGCCCCCTGCCCAGTTGTTATGGAAATTGTGGAAAGGAGCACCATCATGGCATCGTACCGCAATATTTTATTTTAAACATTTTTGTGCTGCAGGCCACCAAGGCAGTTAAAAGGAAAAGGAAATACCCACAAACCAGTTGAAACAATAGCAGAATTAAAAACAAGAGTAATAAAAACCAAGATGAGTAGAGGGAAAACCTATGGTCTCCAATTAAAAACCAAGCTGTATGTCTCTGTCAACTGTCTAAAGTCCAGGGATGGGAGCACTCTGATCTCCTGAAGGAAGGGATTCCATAACTGGGATGGTTGCAATAGAAAAAGTCCTGTCCTGCAACCCTACTTACTGAATACCGAATCTCTTTTTGGTAGCAGGACATTCGACAGAGTATAGGAAGATGAGCTCAATGAATGGAGAGGTACGTAAGGAAAAGAGGCGGTCCTTCAGATTGGTCCTGGTCCTGTTAAGAGCTTTATACCTAACCACTAGTATCTTGAATTAGGCCTGGAAACAAATTAGAAGGCTGTACAATCTACCTAGGACCAGTGGTGTAATATGATCTTGAAAAAATGAACACTAGAATGGCTATTGCATTTTGTTCCAGCTGTAGTTTCTGAGCATCGTTCAAATGTCCAACATGCTCCCCACGTAGAGCATGTTCCGCTAATCTAATCAGGTGAGCAAAGACATGCATCACTACGGCAAGTTCTGCCTTTTCACAGCTCGCACTGCAGTCACAGCTGAGAAAAAGCACTCCTGAACATTGCAGTCACCTGTGCATCCAAGGACCAGCAGTGGAACCAGGGTACTCCCGAACTGCAAGCCTGATCCTTCAGAGGAAGTCAAATACCATATACAGTGGTGCCTCGCAAGACGAAATTAATCCGTTCCGCGAGTGTCTTCATCTAGTGGTTTTTTCGTCTTGCGAAGCAACCCTATTAGCGGCTTAGCGGATTAGCACTATTAGCGGTTTAGCGGCTATTAAAGGCTTAGCGGCTTAGAAAAAGGGGGGGGGGAGCGAAAAAAAATCTCAAGACTTGCGAGACATTTTCGTCTTGCGAAGCAAGCCCATAGGGAAATTCGTCCTGCGAAGCAACTCAAAAACGGAAAACCCTTTCGTCTAGCGGGTTTTCCGTCTTGCGAGGCATTCGTCTTGCGGGGCACCACTGTACTGTATTTTTCGCTCTATAAGACGCACCAGACCATAAGACACACCTAGTTTTTGGAAGAGGAAAACAAGAAAAAAAATCTGAATCCCAGAAGCCAGGACAGCAAGCGGGATCGCTGCGCAGCGATCCTGCCGGCTGTCCTGGCTTGTGGGATAGCCATGCACAGCCTCTTCCGGGCAGGGAGAGCCTTCATCCCCCTGCCCGGGAGAGGCTGCGTGCGGCTAAGTCTCCCCCAAGAGCCGCGCTCCCTTTAAAGAGCGTGCGGAGTGTGTGTGCGGCTCTTGGGAGAAGGGCTGTCCTTTTCCCTCCTTGGGGAAAAGCCCCCAAGAGCCGCAACATGCTCCACACAGCTCTTTAAAGGGAGCGCTGAGCAGAGCCTCCCGCCTACATTCACCCCATAAGACACACACACACATTTCCCCTTACTTTTTAGGAGGGGAAAAGTGTGTCTTATAGAGAGAAAAATACGGTATGTTGTTTTTCACAAGGCATCTCATTGTTATATGATATTTGATGTTCTGCTTTATCTCACTCATGTTGTTTGCCACCCATCCTATCAACCACCCCATGTTTAGTGATGAATTTGGATGGCTGGGAACGACATGGAAGCTGTCTGTTCACTTGGCACAACAAGTGGCACTGACCTAGGGTCTTGGCCACACAGTTAAGCCTGACATTTACTGCTTCCCAGGATTTCTGAGTGACAGTGGAGGGCTGGTGAAGCTGTGCTTAATTGACTAACTTCATGGTCAGAAACGACAGAAAGTTGGGGAGTCCTACAACACCAGCTGGTAAGCATTTAAGCAGTGGCTTGGTCTTTAGGTTCTCCAAAGTTTTATCCCTTGGATACCTGACAATGCCATGTCTACACCTACACATCCAAAATGGCTGTTACTGCACTAAGATTTTATTTCTGCATTCACGGTACACTAATATACAGCAAAGTTAACACTGACATTGTGGAGGTTGTAGAACGCATAGACCATGTAGGGGACTAGGATGCTCCCAAATGGAAGTTTATTGTGCTATCATTGCTGCTCACGTTTAAGAGTTTTTGCATTGTTTAAACAATGTCTTCCTCATCAAAATGTCACCTTTGTACTCCCCATGTAACCCAGATTTCCTCTTAAGTAAAAATGACCAATTATACCTGCTGGTATAGAAGCTCCTTTGAGCATTTTTCTGACGGGGGGGACTGGTTTGTATGGTGATGTTCCTGGCTGTGGCTCCTACCACTGCACCCCTATTTCTGTTTGCTCTTCACCTGAGCAAAACCTAGCCATTCTGTTTCCAGCAGCACAAATAACACAACTGTGCCTGCTTCCACTAATAGCTGCATGTGTAGTCACATCGAAATTTCATCAACTATTCTTTCAAGGTCTTGATGCATGTAGAAGATTACCTTGGAGACTAATCACAGTCCCCAACAGGACTTCTTTCTATTTTTAACCCAAGTCATGTGCAAGACCACTTTGCCAGGATTGCAGTATAGCTACATATCTGTCTTGCACAAGACATCTATATGACTCTTTTTTAAAAGCCACCAAATGGGAATGGATCCTCTCCCACAAAGCAGAAGTATCCAATTTGTCCATAATGAAACATGACAACTAAAGGCTGGTTCTTGCACACCTCCTTTGGAGTAAAAGCATTTAAGATCTGTACGCAAATGTACAGAAATACCTGTCCATGCCCACAAGGGGAAGAGGTAGTGAAGGTCAGGGGAGTAGTGACTGAGGGGGTCAGAAAACATAGCACAGAAACATTCCATCAAGAACTGCTCAGTCGTGTAAACAGGAAACAGTGGAATGCCTATGAAAAAGCTAAAACTAAAAAATATTGTGTGGATGGTCATGTACTAATCACACACACACAGAAAAATCAGATCTGAACAATCTATGGGCAACATTAATTCCCTTGATGGTTTGACACCAACACTAAGAGCTATAACAAAGATTTTGATAGGAGGCAGATTTTGGGTTTTTCCAGAAACAAAATATGAAGACACCGCCACACTTTTCAGCTCAAGATGAGCAGAAGCATAGATGAATGAAGAAGAAATGGAAAACATGAAGTGAGGAGAGGGAGAAATGTCAGAAGGGAAACATAACAAGGTGATGATCACATTGCTTTAGGAGTTTTTCATGCAAAGAAGTGCTGTTGTATTTTGTTTTTAAAAGCCACAGTACTGGAAAGACTACAAGTGATTAAGATTAAGCACACAATGGACATGCAAATAAAGGGATATGCATGTAGTTTTGAAGTGAGTTAGATAGGTCCATTCATTCCTGCTTAGCATCATGACATCCTAGCTGCATTCCATGTCACATCAAGCAGCTATCATATACCAACCTAGAAGACTTAGCAGTGGCTAGAGCACTGCTGCTCTAGGATGCTGCTCTGGTCAATGCTAAAATCATGGGACAAACATCCTCATAGCCTATTAAACACACATTACAGCTGGTGATGCGGCCATCCAATAGCATTGTCTTACATACTGATGTTTAGGCATCATCAGGTTATCATGTGTTAATATGGCTGCATCACTAAGCAATTGGATAACAACTTCCCCCATGTGCAAGCAGCTATATTATGTACTATTATTGTATACTCAAAGATGGTTTTCAGGCAAATTAAGCCATAGTAACTGTGAAATTAGAAATAACTTGCTGTTTTAGTCTAAATCTCTGCACTTTTTTGCCATAGGACGGAAACGAATATTTCTTTAGGACTTCTATCACCTTCATCACCAGCAGAATACAGGCAATCCTTGCTTTGCACGGCGGTTACGTTCTGAACTCTCTCTCTTTTTAAAGATTTTATTGGATTTTTACAATTTATAGTCAATAAAAAACGCAATATAACATTTGTCACATAAAAGAAAAAGAAAAAAAACCCCTCCCCATGACTTCCCTCAACTTCCCCTTCTGCTTCTTGAAATATTTACTACTTCTGCTTAATTATTATCTTATTTTTATAATCTTACACCTCAATACTCTTATTTTCTTATCAGTCTTATACCACATTTTCCTTCATGTTTACATATTGCAGTCAATTTCATTCCATGTTATCCTTACTCAACCTTTGATTTTATTTTCTGACTTGTGTTTAATCAAACCCTGCTAGTGAGTTGGTATCTTTACAGTATTTCTGACATTCTGAACTCTCTCCACACAAACATACACTGCACATTGGTGGGGCCCACATAAAGTGTTCTGCCCTTTTAGTGATGCTTTAGTGACATTTTCGGGTCACTTTCAAGTTCAGCATCGTGTGTACATGGACATGCATCAATCAGTCATTGCCTGTATTATAAACAATAGGAAAAATTAAGCCAAAAAGCCTTACACAAAACTGTTTAGGGAAGTTTTTAATGTTGGATCTTTTACTGTGTTTTTAATATCCTGCTGTAAGCAGCCCAGAGTGGCTGGGGAAACCAAGCCAGATGGGCGGGGTATAAATAATAAATGATGATGATGATGATGATGTTACCTTCAGACATGAAATAAGGGATCCGGAACCTCCCTTCCAGAACCCGTTGCCTCAGGATGGGCAGTGTAGGTCCGTCAAAAGGCAGTGCTCCACATACTAAGACGTACAGAACTACACCCATGCTCTGAAAGAGAAAGAGGAGTTTTAGATTTGACTCTCAAAACATGCGGACAACTGTACCTTGCTCCATAGTGTGCTGGTAAAACCCTTATATACTAATGTTTTCTTTCCGGTGGCTTTTCACTACATCTGAATGTTTCAGTATGTAAGCAAGGTATATCCAGAATTTATCCCATATATATAACACAGACTAGGAAGGCCTACAAACTGCTGGTAGCAATAACACCATTAACCTTTAGAAGCCCATGTCTAATTTTTCATCAGATTTATTTAACACTTGATTGTAAGAGAACCTCTTATGTGGTTTAGAAAAGCATATTAAAAAAAAAACACTTTAAAATTATTGATAAACAGTTAAGAGGTATTTTAAAACATACAACAGTAGCTTTAAGAAAAGGATAAAACACATGTATCATCTGTACATGTCAAAATATACTGCTTTTTTGTCTTTCAGAATTCTGCAAAAAGCCTTTCTATACATTGTACCAATGAAACACATTTCTATAACTTGGATGCAAAAGTTGGGATGCTGACTTGTTGAGGAATCAAAATAATTTGGCCAGGACTGTATTGGTGAAGCATCTCTTGCTTCAAGCATTCCTACTAGGGAAACAGGGAGCCAGTTTTTGACACCAAGCAGATAAGAGAGGAAGGAATCCATTCCAAGTCACTATGGCTGAACTGCAAACCAACTCAGAACCTAGTGTAGTGACTTCCCCATCGTCTGCATGTTTGTGTTCCAGCAAGCCAACCATGGGTTCCATTTTATCAGCTGAATATGTTTAGAAATTACTTCTCGATACTAGTTCTCAATTGCAGAGTTATGATTTTATTTGGAATTATTATTATTTGCCTTCAAGTTCTTCAGTTGGGCAACATCCAACTGAAGTTATGGGCAGTAAACTGCGCACCTCTGGAACCCGCACCTTCCTTAGATCACTTTAAAGGACAGAAGTTCTATCTGCAACTCTGGAACTGCAAACAAGACAGGACCCTGAGTGAGACTGATAAGGGAGTGTGGGATCTACAAGCTAGCTTTACTCAATAACATATAAACGACCTTCAACAGATGCACCAATATTCTTAATAAAAACCCCTCCTCTCCCCCCTCTTCTGCCCCGACCCTATACTGCATACAACACTAATGTCTCGTATCAAATGTAACTGATTTGTAGAACGGACTACAACCTTAAAAAATGCACATACCAAGAAAATCTTGTATAGAAATTACTTTTAAAAAATAAAATCTGAATCCCACCCTGAAGTTTGCTTGAATTCTCCCTGCTCAGAGCACAAAAGTGTGATTCTCCCTAGTTCCCAACTTGCAAAAGCTTACGAGAAGAAATCCCTGTGAAGGTCAGGATAAGAGCCTCAGATCCTGATTCTATGCAAAGCCTGTTAAGATTTATTATGTAAGACGGGGGAGGGGAAAGAACAAGGGAAGAGACAAAGTCAAAGTAGCAGCAATGTGCTAATAATGACTGAGCCTGCTGGAAAGTATGCACAGTATTTGGTAGCATTAAATCTGCTGAACAATGTAATGCCACACAGAGACTGGGGTAACGCAACAACAACAAAAGATTTATCTTTTCTCCTTTAAATGGAGAGCATCTGTTTCCCAATGGCAAATTTTGGGAGCCTAGGCAGAGCACTTTTCTGAGCTGTTTTTGCCGCTATAGATTTTGAGGGGGAGGAGAAAAGGCACCAATCCCACCATAATTGTGAGAATCACTGACCAATTTTGTAAGAGGCACAAATTTATTTTTCAAAAGAACATTTGCATTGTACAGCCAGTGCTTTTCATCTGGTTTTGAAAGGTATTTTTGTTAGCAACCTAACAAAGTCAATAGCTTCCACAAATATTTTTCAAAACTCCTGTTGATCTGGCACATCCCCACACAGTATTAGGTGCTGTAAATCCTTGGGTGTGTTTGAGGTGTGTACCGAGTTCATCTGGAAGTTAGAGGACAGCGGGCGCAATGAGGCGGTAACAGTTTCCTCATTAAAGGGGAACTCTTGTTGAGATGTGTTTATTTGTAAAACAACGTGGGTGTCTTCACAGAGAAGAACGCAGCACTAACGTCTGCACCCTGCCTCCTTTCCAAAGAAAACCAAGACCGAGGGCCAGTTCCAATATGGCAATTTTCACTGCATCCATAGTGCGAATGATAACAAAAATATAAATATAGCAAAATATGCTTGCCATAAACAGTCTGAAGGTATAGACTAGGGTTGCCATAGTTCAAAAGGTGAAAATCTGGACACAAAAGTTGTTGAGGTTGGGTTACCATACATTCAGATTTTTGTGGACATTAAAGCAATTTCCACCAGGAAATTCTGGACGGATGGAAACCCTAGTACAGACCAGGGGTCAGCAACCTTTTTCAGCCGTGGGCTGCATAGACCTTCTGATGTTACTGTTTTCCTCACTGAAGTAACTTGTAGGCTCAATCCCATGACTGAAAACTGGTGCCATAAATGCTGCGGGACATTCACACTGACAGGTTTTAGCCCCTAAACTCTGGCAACACAATGGACAGCAAAACCATGCTCTGGAAACATTGCTAATACCAGGAGACACTAAGACCCAATTACTTTCCCGCCGCCCAAAAAACTGGAGAGCAGCAAGCCTGGCACTGCATTAAAGGAACCTGGATCAGCACATCCTCTCTCCTGTATGTGCTTTGCAAGATTTTCTTGTCACCTCCATGTGTCCTTTCCCATTAGAGTAGCATGAAGCAAACACACACACACACTCTTTTTGGTTCAGCCACGGGCACCTGCCTGCAGCAGAATTGTTCAAGGCAAACTGTCTTGTCCTCTCAACTGAAAGAGAGGATGGATAGCAGCCATGTGCAAATGACTCAGACAATCCCTCTGGCCATACAGAGAATTTAGAATCTTAACTTTGGTTTGAACTCCCAAGAAGGAGGAATTAGCAAGCTAAACTGCAGCATAGACATAAGTGCATAGATTCAGTAAGAGAGGACCAGATTTCTCCATTGGCCAAATTGTTTCCTCTAATACAATAAAGACAAGTTTCAAAGTAACTCTTGCTTCCCATTCTCAAAGCTACTGGGGCCTTTATGACTTGTCTTTAAAAGCAAGACCAACTTATCTACCAATTAGGAAGAGCAATATAACATGTTAACTAAAATTTAGCAGTTTTTTAAAAGGGACGCTCAATTTAATACAGTTAAGATACCCATATATCCAGCTGCGGACCCTCGTACTGCTGGCCTTCAAACACCTCAGGGGCTGCATATGGGGGGCTTCCACACCATGTTGTCAGAGGCTCACCACTTTTGTAGAAGTTGCCAAATCCAAAATCTGGAGAGAGAGAGAGAGAGAGAGAGAGAGAGAGAGAGAGAGAGAAAGGGTAATTGATAATTTAGCTATATTTTTAAGTCCAGGCTGAATGTATTTATCTGGTATGCTCAACAAAACAAAATGGAACCTAATGTATATTAAGCCCCCAAATCCCTGTGAGCTCTTTGCATTTGTGGGGGCCCTGGTTTGAGCCCAAACGATATACAAAAACACTATATGTCATATGACATATGCTCATGTCTTAGCAGCTTGAGAGAATTTCTCTAATGCCTCAATAAGAGTTTGAGCTCTAGCAAAACAGTTCAAATCCCGAGGAAGAAAATCCAGGAGCAGACTTATCCCATCATGGCATTTTAACCAGACCCCACACCATCAAGGCAAGTCATATTAACTTCATACCAGGTGCACCGTGCCCTGTTTTGCCACTTGAGGCGAAATGGCAACATGCCCCTGCCGCCACACTTCTCTTACAGCAGCAGTGGTGCCTTCCACTGAGATCTTGCTGGCATCTCATGCCCTCTGGAAGTGGTAGGACGGGTAGCAGAGGAGAGGTCGGCACCACCTCTTGGGCTTCCACTGCTTGGGGCGGGTGCCTCACCCTGCTCTGCCTTATCAATGGGCCAGGCCTGGTTCCTACTAAGCACCATCAAAGGTTAGACACAGAGTAGTACAGGAAAGACATCTCCTTCCCTTCCTGTTACGAACTAACGTTAGGAGCTGCATTGAACATTTGTAGAACAATAGCAGTGTTTGGTTCTTCCAGGCCTTCAGTTTATGAGTTTCCATTAAAGGCTGCTTGTGCTGTTGGTGCTGCTGCGTACAATTAAGTACTGTGACTTCACTGTGTGGGTACTACGTATAGCCCCAATTATTTTTATATATCAATCAGAGATGTGTAAGATAATTAGCCTAAAACTATAAAGACATTGTAGAAACAGGGTACAATTCTACACAATGGCGTTGTCCATGGTCACTCATTTTGTTTGATCCTATGAAAAAGGTTTTTTTCTGGAAGGCATGGCTAGAACAATCACAGGTGTCTGTGATGATGGTGTTAGGAATCTGAAAGCAGTTTTTAGCCTTGATCCTGAGAATGCAGGTGGTCTGGATTCCTGTTTTCCTACCCCCTGCTTGCCACTCTTCTCTGGGTACTCCAAGTTCTGCTCAGCATGGGGTCTCTGCCATGTGATGAAAACTCTCAGCAGGAAGTTGCAACTGCATTAACTACTACCAGCCCACCTATATGCATTGCAGATCCATTCCCAAGAAGCGACTGAAGTTACCCTTACTGTGAGAGCCTTAAAAGGAGCTAAAATATAACCTGCATAGTAAGAACAGCTTCAAGGGCAGAACTCACAGCTCAAGAGCAAACGCAGAGGTGAACAATTAAGCAGCTTGGTGAAGAGGACACAATGGAGTGAATGCAAGAGCCCATTTGTACTCTTGTACATTTTAATGTCACCTGCAAAGCTGGCATGATAGTGGAAACAAAGGATCCTAAGGGCACCAATGTATAGGGCACCAGTATAGTATTCTTGGTTTAAAAGGCTCCAGGAGACATGCTAGTGTATGTTTCCAGTTCTCTCAACACTTTATTCCATCAAATACTGCTGTCAAAAGTATAACATACAACGTTTGCATAGTGTTTGTAATGCAAGATTTGTACAGCATGACTTCATGCACACTTGCTATTAGCATAGTAAGGTGCACGGACTATTACTTCATAATGGCCTCTCTAAAAGAGCTGCTCTTACTACTTTTCCGTGGAGCACAGAGGCACACAAGCTAGGTTTCCAACTGTGTCGTTGCAAAGAATCACACCTCAGACTAACAAGCCTCATATATTCTTGAGCGTAATTGTTCACTTGTGAAGTTCCAGAAACTTTGAAGCGAAACTCAAAGCGAGTTTGGTAACAGATGTTTGTTTAGTCTTATCTCCCAACTGCATAGTTCTAAGCCAAGGCATGCAAGTGCCATGTGGCATTGGTCAGCAGACAGCATGACTGGATAAATGCTGCAGTTGTACAGGCATCATAGAGACTTTGGTCCAGTGGCGAACACGCTGCATTATGCTGGAGAGCGAGATCCCAGTTTACCTTGCATGACCTGTGCTACTAGAAGCAGCTTGACATGGACTCCTAGTGTGATACGGACAAACTCTGCCTCCATATTTCATTCAAAGGTAGGGGCCTTCAGACGGCCCTAATCACACACCTCAGGGTCTAACATGTCCAACACTGGAAACAATATACAAATGAGGAACTGATTTCCAAGCAGTTCTGCACCTGCACCTCAAATATAGGAATACAGACCTAACCGACTTTCCACTTAAAAACAGCCATTTTAAAAACCATTCCAAGAGTACAGTACACATCACTATTTTCAAATTTGATATGTCAGAAGAAAACTGCCAGTGGCGCAAGAAAAATCATCTGATTTTGCTGCTCTTTGACCAGATAAGCAGATGGCCTGGTGTGCATGTAATGCTAGACCAAAGTTTAGCATTACAAGAATGAGCCACACACAGTGAACCTCAGGCTTGTCTCCTCCTTGGGCATGGTTGCGAAAAGGAGACTGGAAGGTTTTGCTTACAGGTTTTTGCCTGCTAACACAGTCAGTGGCAAGCAAGAGTGGTTTTTGCTTCACTATTTTTCCCAGGGTATGTAACTGCTTGCTTTACTTTGGATGGTGACTGCTGAGATTATGTCTTATAAATTTTGTGGCCCACCTAGAGCCTTAAGTTTGAGTTATTTAAGAATGTTAGATATAGATAAATCCAACGCAAAACCTAAGAGGATAACAAAAGGCATTGAAACTGTTTTAGCTTTAAAAGAAGTGGGTGGCTGAAGGGGCAATATGCTAAACATTCACACTCATAATGGCTGCTTTAAGGATGGCTATAATAAAAAGGAATGTCAAGAAAGGAAGAAGAGCCACAGAATTAATTGCAAAAGGGATCTTATGAAGTCACTAATAGAATAGAAATAAATTAAATACTTGCTGAGGGCTGTAAAGGTATTGATCTTTTTAATGGCAGGGGACTGGCTAATTTACTTTGAGGTCCTTCCCAGCCGTGAAGTGATAATCTTCTAGTAAGGAAGAAACTTGTTCTCCTTTTATTTGAACACTGCTGGGAAACCCAGATGGCTGTTCATGTCACATTTCCCCATTCATTCTATCTTCCCTCACCCTAGAAGCTAGAAAATTAATCTATGATAACTAATGCCCTCTGTTAGTCAGTTTCTACTACCGTCTTTGTTGTGAACTTTTCAAAAATCCACCCTAGCAAACCTTGAAAAGAGATGAAGCAAATTATTCCCACCTTGCTTCCTATGCAGGTGTAAAGACCCTTTCCCCACAATTCTAAAATCTGCGATACTGAGCTGAGATTTAAAAAACAACAACACAGAGACAGACAGGAAAACAACAATATTTCCATATGAATTAAAGCTTTTTAAAAAGCATCTTACTTGGGAAATTTCCAAACCAGATTATGCAATACTTTTGATAAGGTAAAATTACAGAGCCTTGTACAACCAGGGAACACCTGTTGGGCAATACTGCATGTCAAATTCACACACCCACCAGTTTTCTGTGATGTTTATTATTTAATACTAATGTACGAGATACAGCAATCCACAGCAAAGGGCTCCAGAGCAAAATAAGCTCCCTTCCCCTACAGTTTGAAGAATTTGAAAACTCTTTTGTCTAAAAAGAGCAAATGAGTTTTAAAGGGGAGTAATTTTAAGAAATTGGGTTTGTTTGCTAGCAGAAGGCATCTCTCCTCAGCTTCAGGAGGGAGATGTGTGGATCTTTTGTTATTTGGTAATGTGAGCAAGGCAGTAATTGCAAAGAGAGGTGCTGATAAAAGGAAAGGAATGAGTGAGAGGCATAAACCTGACCCACTGCAGGAACTGAATACTGATCACTGATCACCCAGTTCTGACGTCAATGCATGTTACACAGTCCACCAGCAGAAAAGGCTGCTGTGAGCCCTTTCAAAATAACAGTCTCCCGTCCCCGCTTTCCTTCAAATGACCTAACTGCATTCAAATCATGGAGTCCTCTCTTCTGCACAGCATCACACTGATGCTCAAACTGCTTTGCTGGATTTAACCCTCCTGGCCTTTAAAGAGGCTAATGTGGACTTTAAGGAGTGGGTCGAGAACACGCAAGACAGCAACATCTCTGCCAGCTCTGAAGTGCTGCAATTACAATGTCAGGCCCAGATGGTTGCTTCCTTTTACAAAGGGGCCCACTGAAACACAATTCTGTGTCATCACTTTCACAGCACCTGGAAGACTGATGCGCCTAACAGTCTTCACAAGCCCCTCAAAAGCTAACCAGAAGGACAAATATTTTTGCAGAATAGCCAACAGAACTGTGTTTTCTCCCAAGAAGTCTGGGAGAAAAATTGCCAGGCTTGCACCAAACCGTGCCCCTCTCCATAGGAAAATTCACATAGAGTCCATGCAACCATTTATCAGGAACAATGAAAATAACAATGACAACAACAACAATACCCCACACATCTGGCTGGGTTGCCCCAGTCACTCTGGGTGGCTTCCAACACATATATATTAGAACTTGCTTAGATCAGTCCTCCAAACCACCCATCCTAGCATTAACAGAATTTTAGCAAACTATTCAGAAATCTGGGTAAGAACCAGGAGTGTAAAATTCACCAGAGAGATTATCATTGTAGCAAGTGGCTACATGACCCAACGTCATACGTTACCATATGGTAAATGGTCATATTTAAAGTATTTAAAAATAAGGTCAGTATTAATTTGGGTAATTAAAGGAAGTACAGAGATCTTCAAGCAGGCAAGACAGATGCAGTATCACAAACAGTCATTTGAATTTCAAAAGGGAGTGCCCAAAGCCATTGAAAAATACATAGCTCATATACTGAGCAAAAATAGTATGAAATGATGTAGTGATTGACGATGGCTAAAGCAGTTTTAAAAAGAGACAAATTCCTGGGGGGTATAGGCCTGTCAATGAAAACTGACAAGGATAGCCGAGTTGAGCCTGCACTTTCAGAGGCAATGTTCCTGCGATTACTAGTAGTTGGGGAATTAATATGGGAGGGCTAGAGCCTTCATATCTTTGATGTGAACTTTCAGGAATCATCTGGCTAGTAAGCGTTAGGAACAGGTTGCTGGTTTAGATGGGCACTTGTTCTGATCCCAGGACTCTTTTGAAATATAATTTAGATTTCAATGCAGTATAGTGAATTTCATGCTGGATTAAAGATAGGAGCTACACAGAATCAAATCCTTGCTCTGCTACCTTGGACCAGTTACTCCCAGCCCAACTTACCTCCCAATATCATTGTGAAAATAAAATGTGTGTTGGTGAGGAGGAAGCAAGGCTATGTGTGGCTCTCATGCATTTCTTAGGAAAAGGGCAGAATAAAAATGTAGTAAGTATGTCAAGAACCCATGGAGTGGAAACTCAGCACAAACTTTGAGCCTTTAGGTCACAGTGTCCAAATATTTCAATTTTAGTGTTCATTTTTACAGCGCTGAAATCATCATGGAGGATACAGAAGACAAGTGCCAGAATTCCAAAGAACATGGGTTGCAATAGAACAAACAAACAAAAAAGCATCACCCATTCTGACAGAGGTATGAAAAACCAAGACACTTGATTACCACATGCAGATGTCCCAGACTGCCAGATCCATCCTTAAGGCACACAGTGTGTCTTTAAAAAGGGACAATGGTGCAGCCCAAATTGATAAATAAAATGCTGCTGCTGCCGCCACACAACAGCATATGAAGGATTCTTGTCATCAAAGTTCATCAATGCAAACAAGTTACACACAGATCTTTTGCTGTGTAGTTTTTCTGTCCTTCAACCCTTTATTTGCTGCCCCAAGAGGACCCCCATTTTTCTTAGCACAGCAAACTACATAGTGTGAGGAACTGAACACTTCCCCATTTCCCAACTTCCCGTTTAAAATGTGTCTATGGGAGATTTTTTTTAAGTGAACAAATTAGAAAAAAAAATAGTTTGCAGGCTTTTTTGTATGCAAGTGGTCCATTTGTTATAGGGGCAAACTACTTCTCTGCCTTCCTTGCAAAAGAAAATCTCATTCCAATATCCTTTTAATATCCTGTTTTTTTTCATGCATTAAGGCCAGTGCTTTATGGTCCACTGAATTTCACTAATTTCAATGGAAGGAGTAAGTCTTCTCTGTAAAACCCATCAAGCCAGGCTTGGGTAGGATATGTGTGTTGTGTGGGGGTTGGATTCACCACAGCACAAGTGCATGAGCTATTGCAGTCTTCCCCAACCAGGTGCCCAGATGGTTTGAGCACAATGCCCACGAGCCCCAGCTATCACTTCTGGAGAGCACCAGGTTGGGAAAGGCTGGCCTCTTGTATCTTTCCCTCCTGTATGCAGTGCTACTGTTTGATACCAGCACTGTGTGTCTTTCAGAGTGATTTTTAATTTCATGGGGATTTGTTTTTAACAAGCTAACTTTACTGCCAACTTTTTTTCCTTGGTGCAGCTGCTCTTCTTTCTCTGTCATCTATCCCTACGTAAGAAAATGCTAAGAAGCCTTAAACAGTCATTATTCCCTCCTCCTTGAAGCTAAACACCATCTGGAGAACTTGCCAGACATCTTTTATTCCAAGAACTCTACTGCTCTATAGAACTCTCAGCAGCTTAAAAATGAGTGTCCCTCATTTTTGAAATTCTGGTCTGGCAATCCAAGGATCCTTAGTATTATACTGAGGCAAAAGAAAATTATCTATTGCAAGGAACATCTGCTGTGTCTAAATTTGTAATTAAAATTAAATCAAGCATGCTAAAATAATCCAGAGAGTTTCCATTTTGAGCTTTTTTATACTCAAGAATTATTTGATTAAATTTGATTGTAACCAGCACATCTGGCAATGCTAGCAAGTTGTCATGACACTACAAAAATTCATAAAACCCTACAAAATTACTGCCATTTTCCCCCAAGAAAGAAATACAAGCAGCAGCTATTTTTAGTAAGAACTTAGTGTCAAAAGCCTACACCACCCATAATGCAAAGGGGGCATATCAGGAAATCCTCTCTGTCTTTCCACTTTCTCTAGGGCTGCTATAGGAAGTTTGCCAAAGTCACTTGGAGGAAAGAGGAATTTATTCCCCAGGCACTAGGACAAAAGGGAAAAAAGTATTGAGGTACCTGCTATTTTAATATTCATGTTGTTATCAAGCAGGAGGTTTTCAGCTTTGAGGTCACGGTGCACAATCTTACGGCTGTGACAGTATTCAACAGCGGAGAGAATCTGCCAGAATTTGCGCCTGGCCTCCGACTCACTCAGACGGCCATGGTTAGCCAGGTAATCTGTAGAAAGAAATATGGGATTCAATGAGTTAATCACATTGAAAAAATCATCTTCAGGCTCTCCAACATGCATCACAGGTAGACATCAGAGATAGTATGTTATGCTCTCCCCAAGTTCACTAGCAAACTGCATTGTGATAGTTGCCCATTATGTGAGGTTAACTTTTCTGCTCCAAAGTTTAGTCACTAGGAGAAAGCCTTGCACATTCTTGTTTTGACAAGAACAAAAAACAGTAACCTCCTCATCCACCAGAGACTGGATGTTTCACTCTTCCTTCATAGTACATTCTGTCCTGACTGTTTACTAGAGTAACCAGAGGTGATGTCTTTGCTTGGGGCTTACCTTGAGTTTCCTATATGTGGCACAAAGAGGTGAAACAGAGCAGGTAAAGAGAGGGGAAGTAGACTGAACTAGTCATTTCCTCACAAAAATGGAAAGCAAAAATATACAGCCTTATAGGTTCCAAGAAAAATAATAAAGACAGCAATCTGGTATGTTTTCTTTCTAGTTAAGGATTCTGAAGTAAAGGACATCTGTAATGGTGCAAACCATTTCCAGGAGTCAGTATTTCCGAGGCATTTGGGTGACCCTCCACTCTCCTTTGATTTACACTGCTATAGAGTGGGACTTTTTATTTAGTTTGCAAGTAATAAGTAAATGTTAACATAAATTTATGGTGGCAGCATAGTGATGGGGAGCAGTAAATTGTATAAAGGCCAGTTGACCAAGCCAAAAGCATGAACATTAAGGATGTATCTTAACTGGAAAAATGATATCCACATAAAAAGCAAGCCCCGAAGAAGGGTTTTGCGCATGAAACATGGCTGAGGACAGTGTTCTTCCTGTCGAGTGCAGAAAAGAGAAGCCCATTCAACACATGCTGTGTGCTCTCACTGCAACATGAAGACAGATGCATCTCTCCCTATCCCCTTTCAGAAAGGAAATGGTAACGTGCTACTTTCAGAACCAAATGTCTTGCTTCTTAAAAGAGGAGTTGGCAATGCAAAGTCTGTGGCTATACTAGGCCCAGAAAAGTTTTCTCCCCAAAATTATTCTCCTTGTCCATCACCCTGTCTCCCGACCCCAGCCCCAACCACACATTCCATCCTGGCAAACTGACATGTAAAACACAGTTGCAAAGAATCAGGAAGTAGACTGTCAAGAACCTGGAAGATGGTACTGATTTGTTGATTAGGTGGCTTATTATGAGAAGTGATTTTTGGCCTTTTTTTTAAAAAAAAAGAAAAGTAGGGACACATATTAATGGACTATAGATTCACAGTTTTGGACCAGTTATTTGCAGGATGGCTGCATCCATCTTAATCTGCCTAGACCTTGAGGTTGGCCTCAGATGCCCTGCCATCAAGAACTCTTAGGTTTGTGAGACAAGGGTAAAAGAGACTTCTTGGTAGAATTCTCTTTCTCGATTGTGAATGACTCCTACTCTATTGGTTTATAAACTGAGCTTGATTTTTTTAAAAAAATCACATTTCTTTTTAATATGTGGTAGTCGGTATTGTTTTAACTGCCTCTGTTTTCAGGTTATAAAGTTTTAGTTTTATATTGCAGTTTTATTGAAATGGTGCAGTATGTTTTTGATGCAAGCTGTTTTTGATGGGAGAGTTTTGCTCTGAAAGGAAGCACATACACAAACAAACAAACCTGCTCAATAGATCTGGACGTGACAGATACAGATTAAAACATATAGTAATACAACATTCTTGTTAGAGTTTAACACAATTAATTTCCTTAGAGAAGGGGAGAACTTACCTATGTGAACTGTATTAATCAATAGTAATAAACAACTACTGATCAAAACTGATTTCACCCAAGTGCACCTTTTATGGAAGTAATGCTGACCATCTACTCTACTGTGGATATGCAATCTGTTCTGCATAGATACATTTTTCAAGAAAGAACATGAAATATTTCATTTACACCTCTTACATCCCCAAATGGTATCATCACCTCAACAACATACTTAGCAGGACAAGTGAATTGGAACAAGACAAAAATGAGAAGTAACCAAGTCAGTTTGCTAACAGACCAGCCAATACATTCACTACAATAATAGTTATGCCTTTATTTAGCAACCACAGCAAATTTGGTCACGAAGCAGAAAACATCTTTGTTTCTTGCAAAAACTGTACACACTTATAGGTTGAAAGGAAAATAGCAAAATAATAAAGATAGCAATGTAGTATATTTTAATTCCAATTGCTGTATTCTGAAATAAAGGGCATATTTCTGTTCGAGGAGGGCTTGATGTCCACATCTACTTATGTATGTTTGACTGCTAAACAACTTATGCATGTTTAATTGCTTTATTTCCCCTTTGCATTGCTATGACAAAACTCTTTTAGATCTGTCATATACTCCAATGCAGCAATACACACTTTGAAAAATTCTGAAACAAAACAGCCAACCTTATGCTATCCTAGTGTAATTCACTAAAGCTCCAATTTACCACCCAAGTCAGCAACACTTCACTTGCAACAAATCTTTTAAACTTTATTTTTCTGAAAAGTATCCAGCTGCAATTTTCAATCCCATGTTAGATAGCTGCCTACCTGTATGAAGAGACAGATGGAAACTATCCTTAGTGTTCTCAATGCTGGGGCTGTGATGTCAATTAAATTGATCGATAAAACTTAAAATTAATTAGGTCTCCAGTAACAAGTTGCCATTATTATTTATTATTATTTGATTTATTAGTTGCTTAATACAAAAAAGGCTCTAAGCGATTTACAAAATGTCAAAAGTCAGAAGCGTGCAACATAAAACAACACATTTCCATAAAACCATTCTAATAACCCATAAACAGACCCATAAACGAACAAAAAAACTACAGCAGCAAAAACATTCCCATCAAAGGAATAATCAGCTAGCTTGATGTACGCAGTCTAATGAAGACCTAACAAAACATTAATCATTATGTCCTTTCTTTGGGTGGCAAAGTTGAAGCCATCTGCCTGGCTCCCACTAACAAAAGCATGCTATATAGAAAGATAATGTCTGGGGTGACTGATCAAGAGAGTTGTTCTGACCTTTGTGGGATATCATATAGAACCTCCAAGTGCAGAAGCACTATATGTCATTTTTTTAAAAAGCTTCAAACGTGATAAAAAGCACAAGTTAGAATTTAGCCATACTCCAGCCAAATAAAATATAAAAATCAAATGAAAATGTCTTTCTTATTCAGATGACAGACCTCAATCATTCTGCATTACATTTTGCCTGTTACTCTCAACGAGCTCAAGAGCATAAGGTGCACTCAGTCCAGCATCGTGTTCCCACAGTGGCCAATCAGATACCTATACTCATATGCAGGATGCACTCAAATTCATGTTCTCCAGCAACTGGTATTCAGAGGCATACGGCCTCTGATAGAGGGTAATGCATGCCCATCATGACTAATAGCCATTGACAGTCTTTCCTCCACAAAACTATCTAATCCCCTTTTGAAGTTGCTCAAGCTGGTCACTATAAGCATGTCTTGTTAGGGAATTTGTGGTAATGAACATTCAACTGAGCAAAGTACAGTGGTACCTCAGGTTACAGACGCTTCAGGTTACAGACTCCACTAACCCAGAAATAGTACCTCGGGTTAAGAACTTTGCTTCAGGATGAGAACAGAAATCATGCGGCGGTAGCACGGTGGCAGCGGGTGACCCCATTAGCTAAAGTGGTGCTTCAGGTTAAGAACAGTTTCAGGTTAAGAACAGACCTCCGGAACGAATTAAGTTCTTAACCTGAGGTACCACTGTACTTCCTTTTTCTCTGCCCTGAATCTCCCACCATGCAGCTTCTTCGGATGACCCTGGGTTCTAGTACTGTATTATGAGAGAGGGTGTTAGCTGTTCTTGCTTTTCCATTCACCCGCAAGTGATGAATGAAGCCTTAACAATTACTAACTGATGACTGAAATACTTTTAAGATGCTACAGATAGATAATGGACAAGGGCTGCAATCCACACTTTGCTGGAGGGGAAATTTAGCAGCAAAGAAAAACAGCATTCTACATCTTGCAACTTGCACAATGAAACTTAATACACAGGGAGTAGGAACAAATATTTTCCTCCAGCAATATTTCAAATACAAAAAAAAGTCAAAGAACAAGTCTAATTTACAGTAAGCTAAGCTGCCTGTTTATGGTACAGAACAGAGTTGGCAAAGAACCTCAAGGAAAAAACTCTGAAATCTGCTTGCTATAGAATAATTGCACTGGACTTTATTGCATCTATCCCAGAGAAGGTTGCTATAAATTAGGAGGCAAGAGAGAGTCCATTATATGTTGCTTGAAAATAAATAATCTTTACTGAACATGTGGTCATTCTTCTAACCTGATATCAGCATACACAAAAGCAGAATTCTGATCTTTCAGCACAAATCATGAGAGTATTTTTCTGGTGGACATTTAGATTTCTCATAAGCACATATTTAGTAATAAGAATAACCACAACTACACTAGATTGGAATCTCACTGGAGAAAATCTATCAGGGATTTTCCTGAATGTCAGACTTTCAGTATTTCTCTTTACAAAGTGTTTCTCAAGCCAAAGCAGCCCTCTGCTCACAGTACCTTTACTCTGTTGGTCCTGAAGGCAGGCTATGCAGAGAGTGGTTGCCTTCCAGTAACAACAGGCCAATTAATTCATCCAAACTTTTTACAGCAACGCAAACATTCTCCCCCTGCCCCATCTTTCTCATGTTTACTGCATTCCCATGTCATTCTCCCTCACAGTCCTTCCTTGCACATTTTTGCAGATAAATATGCATATTTATTCAAGTGGAACACACTGAGTTGCATGCAGTGTTAGTCATACTCGGGGAATAGACCCATTGAAATGAATGGACATGATTCAGATCCACTCATTTCAATGGGTCTACCCCGAGTAAAATGTCATTGGCGACAACCCTAACATAATATTTCATCCAAGTATCAGCCACAGTAGTGGAATTTTTAGAAAAATAACATCTACATCAAAAAGGGTTCAGCTACAGTAACAAATAATATTTCAATAGATTACAAGAGATGTGGATCCCCATTTAGAATCCCATTAGTATAAGCACTTAATGAATAAGACAGTTTCCACCATCGTCTTGACATGTTAGAATACAATATACATTACAATAATCAATCCAGAAGATGGGGATGTGTTTATGGTGCATGTGCATGAGGGAGGGAGACTTGGGTAACAATTACGTAAGAAGATTTTATAAACATCTTAAAATTAGGGCAGTTCTAAGAGGCTACAGTGAGAACTCTCAGTTAGTGTCAGCGCCCATTCAAAAACAACATTAGTCTTAAAGAAGGAGTGGGGGAGAAGAGAAGGGATGAAATGCTGAAAGCACAAGATATCCCACAGGGCATTAGTTTTTTAAAACGTCTGTTCATCAGTTTACTGTTAATGTGATGGACTGGAAGAAAATGGTATCTACGGATGTTCCCTTCTGCTTAGCGCTCAGTATTTGAGGTGAAACGATAATGCCACGGTGTTTTGCAGGTTATCAAAAAGGCAGCTCCCTGGCAATCTAAAAGGGCTGGCAATCTGGAAGTTCAACATAGGAGAGACAATATATCAAGGGGTGGATAATGGAGGTGAGTGTAAACAAGGGAAGGATGCATGCCATTTGGTTACATGTATTTGTAATACAGCAGGGGCTGAGGAAAACCCCCAATGGCTTCCCAGGAAAGGTGGGTCATAGACAATGGCAGATATACACTTGGACCCAAGGGCAGAGAGAGAGGAGGGTCAAGGCCACAGGGGGCTGTAAGTATGTATGAGGAGTTTGTGCCAGAAGTGTTAGCAAGCCAGCATTCAGATTGAGGGAGAGGTGTCACATGGTTTGATTGACAAGAGAAATTATTTTGGCGGTAGAGCTCTGGCTAGGGCTGAGACATGACAAGTGAAGGGCAAAGAGAAAGTTGCAGTTGACCAGGTGGAATATGAATGAAGTGTGAGCCAGTGTTTTCCCTGAGGAGGAAGGAGAGGAAAGGGCAGTAGTAGTTTTGGAAGGCTGTGCAAAGGGAAGCAACACAACGTAACAGACTAGATATGGAGAGCAAAAAAGAGAGGGGATTTAAAGGAAGGAGCCAAGGGTTTCTGCTTGGTCAACAGGGTAGATGGTGACTACTGCAAGTGCATGAGAAAAGGAAGGCTTCAAAAGAACTATAGTAAGTCTTGTTTTGGACATATATGCCCAATTATTCACTAAACAGAGTAGCTGTATTACAGACACTGAACGGATGCAAAACCTATGAATCCTACTGAATTGAGCTGAACTTCCAACCTGATAAATATGCACATAATCATGATATGTACGTGTGACATTACACAAAGTGCTGTCTTCCCCCATTATATAGATATTTTTGATAGAGCCACCCTTATTTATGCTCCTGTGGGTAGAAGGGACTGAAGCCACCCTGACATAAAACACACACAGCAAGTGAAAACACTGACCTGGCTTCCATGTCACACTAAAACCACAGTTTAAAGCAAACAATGGTTTACACTATAAAAGTGCTGGTTTAATGCAATGTGAGATGCTGGCAAGTTACATTAGTCCTACAAGAAACAGTATCAAATATACTGAAAAAGAAATGTGGATTGGGGGCTAGTCCTTTTGAAGTGGGGTATCTAGTCGTGTTATGCAAGTTGCTCACCTGTTTTGCCAACCACAAGTATAAAGCTTATATAGTACATCTTTCAAATACCTAAAGTTTCCTTAATGAATCATCTTAACTGACTTTCTCTTAATAATAGGACCTACACAATAAATTACAACTAAAAGTATTCTACTTGTAGAATTTCAAAGCAAAACCAAGGCCAACATGTGCAGCATTATGCTGAATAAATTGTTCGCATCGCCATGGACACATCTCAAGCTTCGCAGCAATAATTTGCTGACTACTTCAGAAAGTTTCCTTAATTCTCTCTCTGCTCACTCTGTAAGACACGACAAAGAGCTTTGTCAACAGCACTACTCATCGCTGCCTTCAGCTTTCAACAAATGAAAGAAGATTCATTCGTTGTTTCTTTCGAACAACTTAAAGTTCTTGTTTTCTTTGCATGGAGGTGTTATTTTGCAAGGTGCAAAGACAAATTACCTAAGTCAACCTATGTGGTGGCAGGCACTAAATCCTGCTCTTTCCCAAGAAATAACATACACAGAGAGCACATATACACACCAGCCATGTGACACATCTTTGCTAAATAACCATTGCCTACTCTGATATCCTGTGCAGTTTTTTTTTCAAGGGAGCAAAGGTGTGGTTGTGTAGCAGCTTCTTGTATTCCTGGTTCAGCACTTCAGCAATAACCTAGAAGTGAAGGAAGCATTGCTCTAAGGAGCAGGTTCTCCTGAGGTCAAGGTTCTCTGCAGAGGCCTAGACCTAGTACAACTTGCAATGCTCAAACCAATTGCTTCCTCACCCCCACTCTGTCCCCTGGTCATAAGAACAGGCAGAGAACCAAGGTCAAGCAGAGTGAAAAAAACGGATGCATGTGTATGTATACACACACACACAAAGATCTCCTTTAGGGGTTTTAAGCAACAACTAATAAACACACAGGAGCACAGGAATCTGCCTTATCCAGTCAGACCATCAGTCCATCTACCTCTGGGTTGTCTACTACACTGACAGGTAGCAGCACTCCTGGGTTTCAGACAAGGGTCTCTTTCACCCATCCCTGCAGATGCCAGGGACTTGAACCTGAGGTCTTTTGCATGCAAAGCAGATGCTCGATCACAGCTCTTCCCCACTTGAAATATTTGAAAAGATTAATCTGCAGCAGACCAGAGGTTGTTTTTCAAGAAGATTAAAAAAGAAATAAATCTGTGTTTCCGCTAACCAACTACAGTTTGGTATACCTACGACTGGAATACCCAAAGTGGGCATACTATTTTCACGTTAGTAAACAAGTGGGACGCAGGTGGCACTGTGGTCTAAACCACTGAGCCTTGGGCTTGCCGATCAAAAGGTCAGCAGTTCGAATCCCCGCAATGGGGTGAGCTCCCATTGCTCAGTCCCAGCTCCTGCCAACCTAGCAGTTCGAAAGTACAACAAAAAGTGCAAGTAGATAAATAGGTACTGCTGCGGCGGAAAGGTAAACGGCGTTTCCTTGCGCTGCTCTGGTTTTGGTGTTTGGTTGCGCCAGAAGTGGCTTAGTCATGCTGGCCACATGACCTGGAAAAACTGTCTGCAGACAAACACCCGCTCCCTCGGCCTGTAAAGCAAGATGCAACCCCAGAGTCGTCTGCGACTGGACTTAATTGTCAGGGGTCCTTTACCTTTACCTTTTAGTAAACAAATATTTATTTCACTGAGAAGGAGCCAGGAAGTTACGGGAACTACATCAGCTTTATTGATGTACTATTTCTGATTAGCATTTAAAAAAAAACCCATGAACTGTTGCTTAATACCAATCTACAACAGTGGACAGAGAAGATAAATAAAACATCAAACTCGATACAGCTCTCCATAATTGATGCTCATATTGTATATTAACAGAGAAGCTTATTGCTTGTGTTTTGCTTATTTGTACAGATTGTCAGAAATATTTTATTGAACTGACATGATCAGAGAGCCTTCTACAAAGAGGAAGCAAGTCAGGGGTCCTTCATTGATGAAGTCTATGCAACAAACTCCTAGCATTATGGTACAGGTTGTGATGATTAACATAATGGTGACTTGAATTAATTTGAATTAATGATGTTTGTCTATATACACAGTGAAGTACATTTTGAATTTAACAAGTTTTTTTTAATGCTAATTATTTAAAATTGCCTTTGAAAACGTTTTGGAAAAATATATCTGCCACATACTTTGGGAATAGAAATTCTCTTTCCCTGGCCACATATTTTGGGAATAGAAATTCTCTTTAATTAACTAGACATGGGCATTCTAGCTTGAAAAATACACTTTTATAAGCAGCATTGTATAAACACAGGGCTCTGATACTAATACCAAGACAGGAATTTCCCTGCACAAAAGCTCAGATGAATCCACACAAAAAGCATTTGCTTTTAATGTAAATGAAGGGAGATGATGTAATGATGGCTGCAAGCCCTGCTTCTGTTTGTAATAATCTCATCGTAAGATCTGATTAATGGTTTTACTTACAGATTTTAGTCAAACAGGTTATGTAATTGCAGTGGGCCAAACGGAGCTGGCCTAGAAAATTTAATTTCTCAATAGCGACAGGTTTGGGAAGCCTCAAACTAAGCAGGGCAATTTTGACAGGATTAGTTCATTGACATGCTGTCAGAAAAGCATCTTTCCTTGAACCCTCACATTTTTTGCTTATTGTGTCCTTTTCCATTCACCAGATGAGCTATGAAGACCACACAATTTATCAGACACAAACTTTGCATTAGGGGATGCGAAAGATAGGAAATGTCCATTTTCCCACCAAGCAAATGTCTAAGTGTTGCATCTGTACTTTTTCACCAAAAATATCAATTTTTACTCGATTAGATGAACCTCAGCTCTGCAAAGTCCTCTTCTTGATTCCACCAACTGCCCCCTGCCAATGTTTACTTCCTTGCCTATACCCCAGGCAGTGAAAACATTGCCAAGTTAGGGAAGAAATAATGTCTTTGAAAGAGGATCCACTGCTAGGCCACTATCTGCCTCTCTACAACGCAAGCCACCCTGGCCGTCCTGTAGACTGAAGCTTCTAATAAGTACATATGGCAGTTCAAACAGTCATGTTAGGGCCATTTCTACATTTTCCACACAGGCAGCTGTGTTAGTCTGTAGCAATAAAAACAACACAGTCTTGTGGCACCTTAAAAGTTAACAATTTTTATTACAGCCTAAGCTTTCCTGGGCTAGAAACTATGCAACAAAATTCTTAAGTCTTGAAGGTTCCACAATACACTGTTGTATTTTCTACACCTGTGATGAAGCACTCAGGCCTGCTGTTTGTGGCTTCTTGGTCCTGAAAGCGCTTGAAATATGTAGTGTGTAGCAGGGATGTCACAGCCAGTATTAAGAGTCCCTTCGCACCGCTTTAGCTTGTGCATCAGCTGTGCGATTTCCTGGAGAAGCCAGGTCAAGTCAGGTCATTATTAGGCATGACATGAGCCTCTTGGTTCCAGCAGTTCCTGGCATGATTTGGCAGCCAGAGACGCAGGAGGAAGGAGCCGAGTTCCTCCCCTTATGTCTATAGATGTCAGAGGAGGAAGCATATCTGCCAGCTCTCTCCCCCGCCCCTTCTGCCACGCACAGAGACTCATTGGGGCGGTGCTGAACAGGAGGTGGCAAGAGCTGGGGGCAGAGGGGCATCAAGAACCAGCTGCCATGCTCAGGTGACATCGGAAGCACACACCCAGAGCAAGTGTGTATGCTTGCAAGTAGCAGACTCATAGGCATAGCTGTCAACCTTCCCCCTTTTTTTTGCGGGAAATTCCCTTATTCCAGCGCCGTTTTCCGCTGCTTCCCGCTGCTATCCCGGATTGTTAGATATCCCGTAGACTGTCCCCGGGACAGGTGAGGCTGCTGATCCCTTATTTTCGAGGCTGCTGATCCCTTATTTTCAAATCTGAAAGTTGACAGCTATGCTCATAGGGCAGGAGAGTCCTGCATGCTGGGTGGGGAGTGTCAACTGTTAGGGTATCTCCATAGCTTCCATTCAGTTATGAAACTCTTGCCTTGCTCATGTACCTTGGAATCTTGATTTCTGGACCTTGTGCATGATGCTGCAGAGCCTGTACAAATATATTTTCCTTACTTTCAACTGAAATATTTTTGCCTGCCTGGAATGTGTCCTTGCATTCTGATGATGCCTCCTGCTTGTCCGAATGGAGCAAAGAGAGGCACATGTTAACGTACTGTACAAAGGTAAATGTATATTAATTGCTGTGTCCACTTTTGCCCCTACTGGCATGGGGCTCCCAGAAGGGAATGCAGTCCTTGAGCTGAAAAAGGTTTTCCATTGGTGTGCTACATGATTACATAGACAATGTTAAATGGCTGTCTTTTCCCACATAGACCAGCCCACTCTTTGAGTTTGTCATCTTCCTCTACATGCTGCTGAACTGGCCAGGATGCAGGACCAGCACTTTCGCTGTAGTGTTAGAATCTCATATATATAAGCTAGGCATCAAATGACTCCTTAAACCAGGTCTACAGTCACCAAAACAAATTTCTAGTTTCCATTTTGGGGCCAGACGACTTTTTGGTTCCTGAAATTATTTCTGGTTAGTGCAGATAAAATATCAGGGGTAGAATTCTACAGGATGTCTTGTTAGTGTGAAAACAGTCAAGATCCAAGGATCCCAAGCATATGCCTCTATCCTGACTCCAGGGCATCTTCATTTGGTCACAAGTTGCCAATAGCCAAGTGCAAAATGTGCCTGGCGCCTGGTCAAATTTTGTACACTGCCCACAGGTTGTGGAATTCTCTTCCACCAGGAGTCTAATTAGTCACCTTATTATTGGTATTCAGATAAGCATTTAAGATCTTTTTACTCCACTGCAATTCATTAGTTTCCCTTGTCTTTTATGTCATGACTCTGTCCTGCGAAATTCTGTTCCAGTTCTCATTTTATCCTTTATGTTTTATTATTGCAGACTGCTTTCATTGGCATTGTGAGCTGCTTTGTAGGTCTTTGGGCCAAAAGGCAGAGTTGAAATATTTTAAAAGGAAATAAATACTGGGGACACTAAAGAGCCAGATAAACAGGCTGATGTTTGACACTCCAACTTTACATCATGTTCCTGTATCAGAATTGTTCTGTTCTGGGGTATGGTTCCTGCCTAAAATCACCAATATACATTTATTTAGCATCTATAATGCATTAGATGATACACCAGAAACAGAAACATTAAAATACAGACAGGGACAAAGGCAGAACTATAGGTTAGGCTGTGATGAAGGCATAGCAAAGATTGATGCTAAAGGAGGTTGCAAGGCAATTAAAACCTAGCCTGACCATTTGCTTTAGGAAACCAAGCTTCCAAATGCTGTTGGTGCTTTTCAGCTTTCAGTAGTATATATAAAATTTCCAGCTGGGATAGAACTGTTGGGTGTTAACTTGTATTACAAGTACAATTGAACAGGATTTTAGACAGAAGCCAACTAGAAGGTGATGATGACAAACAGCTACTGCTCACCACAGGCATTTTTACATACCAGCTGGACCTTGCTCTTAAGGAGATTTGGAAGAGCCGACTGCAAGATAATAATTTAAGCTGCAGCTTTTCTCCAAGGATGACGGCTTGCTTATTAGGGATATTGTAAGACCAAGTGAAAGAGCCGATTTACCAATATATGCAGGCGGGGAAGACATCTTAAGGGGGAAACACGAAGCAAACCTCTAGCAACCATGTTTAGTCATACACTTAACCTGCAGCCTTCTGATGGATGGTATGTAAGATTAAAAAAATAAAATAAACAAATTCAGTACAAAGAGGAAATACTGTACTTGATATGTACATTTTCCAACTTTACACTCGAAAATCAGCGACTGCACCTTCCTTTGGCCTGGCTTATTAGCACTCTTCCATTGTTTCTCAAGACAGACGGATGCCAACAAGTTACAACAAGTGTTATGTACGAACCCTGCCCAGCAGCTTAACCATGGTTTGTTTACAGCCAACAAACCACAATCTGAAGCCATAGTATATTGTTGAGGAGAATTAGCAAGGACAAATTTCCCCTATCTCTCTCCCAACATACAGGGCAACCAAAGCAGCTTCTGCGCCAAAACAGGGCCTGATCAATTTTAACTATGGTTTGGCACTGTGTTTGAACCCAGTGCCCTGTGACCACCGATGACACTTAATAAACTCCAAAGGCATGAAGCAATAGCAGCTAGAAAGTAAAGTCTGGAGAATCAAGCCACTGTTTGTTTGTTTGTTTGTTTGTTTGTTTGTTTGTTTGTGGTTAACTTGTGGTATGTAAATAAATGATGGCTTAAACAAACCATAACACCCTGTTATGTATAAACCAGATAGTTGGTTTGTTGCATCTAAACTTCTTTTCCCTAATATTTTATTCTTTAGAAGCCTCAATGCTGCTGCTTAACACTTATATTACAGGCACATTTCACCTTCCTTATGTAGTTTTATTTAGGGTAATTCGGCAGAAACTAGAAATCTCCTCAGACGTTAGAGAGAACAATAGCTGGAACAAAGAGGCCTTTCACTTGGAAGCAAGACAGTTTCCTGTATCAGCAGCACGCTCCTATGTGGAGTAGTCAAACATGTGGAAGAATTTGGAATAAGCCAATATTGCAAAGCACATCAACTGACAAAGTGTTTTTCAAATTGTGGGCCAAGATTTTCAGGTGGGCCTCAGTGCTACTGCCTGTAGAGTACCTCCTCATGTGCCTGCTCCATTTCCTGGTCATGCCATAGCCTTCTGGCTGGGTCAATGCAAGCACCAAAAACTTGGTGGGGGAGGATAGTAGGGTAAGATGGAAGGAATTAGGAAGTGAATGATTGAATTTACTTTATTCGGTCACAGACCAGCATAAGCAAGACATCTAAATAAATAGTATGAATCTAAGCGAATAATTATTAAATAAATGGGAGCAAAAACCAACTGTAGATTAAAACATATACATAGAATACTTGATTAAACATAAATAATGGGTGAATAAAAACTAATAAGAAGAATTTAAAAAGACCAGTTAAAACAGCTATACAGAATCTAGCGACTGAATATGTGACTTGTGGGCTTTTGTCCTGTAGTAATAAGGAGATGTTGCGTTGTTCTGATCACCCTGGGAATCTATATGGGATGGGCTGGATAAACCTGGCTCGAATGTCTATATACGGTAATACTGGCATTGATCCGTTGTTTCCTGCTGCCCAGAGCCACATGGGCATTTCCTCTCCTCATATGGTATTTTCCTATAACGGCCTTCCTGAATTGCTGAAGAGAGGGCCTGACAATGGGCCAAAGTGAAAGCCCTTTGCTGTTTTGGTATTTCAAGATTAGCTATGTATGGCATTTGGAAAGTCAAGTATCTTCTAGTTTCACTAATTAGATTTTTTGGGGACCTGGAATTAGGAAGTGAGATAAAAGGATAATCATCACCTGGGAAGAAGAGGAAAGTTGTTTTTATCTATTTATTTTCTGTACTGGTGGCTGCTAAGCTGTGGAACGCTCTCCCCACAAATCTGTTTCTGGCACCTTCATTATACAGCTTTTGAAGAATGCTGAAGATGCAGCTCTTTACCCTGGCTTTTAATACTTGGGATGTATGTTTTTGGCTGCATGTTGTTTTAAATTGTTTTTAATATTGCGTTTTAATGCTACAACCTGCCCTGGGACATTAGGGCGAAGGTGGGAAATACATACATACATACATAATACATACAGTGAGGGAAAAAAGTATTCTAATCTCAGCTCATTACATACAGTGAAGATACCAGGTAGCCTGACATCTGGCTGGTTGATAGGGGATCAAATACTTATTTCACTCATTATAATGCACATCAATCTATGACTTTTGTCTTCTGGGTTTCTGGGGGTTTTCCTGTTGTTATTCTGTCTCTCACAGCTAGAATAAACCTACCATTAAAATTATGGACTGGTCACCTCTTCGTCAGAGGGCAAAAGGGCAAATTTAGCAGGAGATCAAATACTTTCCCCCCTCACTGTACATAAAATGGGAGGCTGACTTAGGAACCCCAGAACACGATTCCCAGGTACTGAATGACAATCTGAAGGTCTGGGAATGTTTGGTGGTGGTATCCCTAAAACTGAAAAACACTGCAAGCTATGTTTTCTAACATAAATTTCTGGACCATGACGATACCAGTTTTCATTCTGATTATGTTAATGTGGAGTAGGAATGACATCTTTAAATATTCAAGGCAGGCTGGTTTAACTCAATATATCTGATCTGATGTTTTTACTCTGATTACGTTTATTCCTTTTTTTACTGTGTTACTGTATTTTATTCTTAGAAATAACTTCAGGTCACTCAGTTGTGGGAAGCAATAAAAGTAATTAGCACTATGATTAATGGATACAATAAGCAGTTAAACTGGACGGTTTCATAGTCGCAATTAACTTCTTTTCAGATAACTATGCACCTAAGAAATATCCCTATTTCAATGAAGTCTTGGTGGCAGCGGGACATGTTGCTTTACTAGTTCTTTATTTTTTAAAAAGCGCTGTGCACAGTCCAACTACAGACCACTTGTAAAAGCAAAGCTGGGGACAGAAATTCTCTGCTCTGAATCTTGGCCAAAAGCAACATGTTCCGCTGTCAACAGGGATTCACACTGTAAAATAAGTTTTAAGTCCGTAACAGCACAATCACAGTATTATTCAGACTCAATTCAATGTCTTATGAGACTGACATGCTTAGGATTTCTGATGGGGAATGAAGTTGACCATTCTGACCCTGAGGGCATTGTATAAAAACAGCATAACCATAGCAAACAAGTATTGGTTAAATTTCATTTGGAGTAATGGGGGAAACCACATAAATGGGACCTCATATATTCCTTGCCCATTTGCTTCATGTACACCCCTCTCATGGTTTCCTCATTTGTATGACCAAATAACCAAGCTATTGAATAATTATGGAATTTGCTACCACAAAATATAGTGCTGGCCACCAGCTTGGAGAGCTTTAAAAGGGAATTAAACAAATCACAGAGAAGAAGCAGTCAAGGACTACCAGCCATGATAGCTATGTTCCCTACTTCCACTGTCAGAGGCAACATGCCTTTGAATTAGTGTCCAAAATTAGCCAGGTGCATTTTGCACCTGGCTACTGACCACTTGCAACCAAGTGAAGATGCCTGGGCACCTGTATGGCACCTGATATCTCCACCATCCGGAGGTGCGTGCCTGGGGATCATTGGATCTTGACTGTTTTTGCACACTAATACCCCATCCTGTAGAATTCTATCAGTTATATTTTATGTGGATGATCAGAATGGATTTCAGGAACCAAAAATGCTTTTCTGTGCAGACTGAGCAGCAGCAGCGAATGTCATTCTAGTCAACTGTTGTAGCTTGTCTTCACTTACCCCACCGCACTGCCGTGCTCACAGTTGTGAAGGATATTCTTATGAATGGTGTGTGTCATCATTAAGAAAAAGAGGCAGGAATAGGCCAATATATATGTGGACTGTCCCTAGATAATGTGACTTTTCTTCTTTCAGTCCTCAAAGTTCTTAATCTAGCTCAAAATTGTCATCTGAACCAGCCAGATGTTTAACTGATAATCAATCACATCCAGTCCATCATTTGAAAAAGAAGACTTAAGAGCCATCTTGCCCCAAAATGGCAAGTAGACTTTCCGTTTTGGAAACTGTAACCTTGGTTTGGTGCCTAGCTTATATATCTGAGTTTCTAACACTGCTTTCAATACCAGTTGCTGAGGATCATATGCAGGAGAATGCTATAATGCTCATTTCCTACTTGTAGGTTTCCCATTGGCATCTGTTTCGCAACTGTGAGAAAAGAATGCCTTTCGTCTGATTCATATCTTCTTATGTTTAGCAGAAGGTGTATTTAGAATATGGCAATTTGTAGGTTTCTTCTCCCAAGTGAAATAGCCAAACACTGATGGATAGATCTGATGATACATTACTGCAGAACAGACTCCTTATAATTATCAGATGACTGAAGATTGGCAGCAAAGGAAGAGATTTAAATGATTTTTTAAAGTTGCAGGTAGAAGAGCTGGAGAGACATTGAGGTCAACTTAAGAAACAGATGATGCTGTTTAAAAGACCCTTTGCAAATGTACAAAGATTATTGACTATACAGATGTCTAAGTGTCCAGTTGCAATGGCAAAAGCCAGAAAGCTAAGCAGTAGTTTTGAGTACTGTACTTAATACATGACATGAAGTAGGGCTGCATTTCAATGGTTATATATGGCAAATTTATTTTCTTTTAAATCGCCCAATTAAATACACGGCAGAAAACAAGGAAGTCTTTTGCCTGCAAAAGGCAATTTCATTTTTATTCGCTGTCTTGTTATCAACACCAGTTTTCCTTTTTGGCTCTTACACAAACTTTTAGTAGACACTTGACTGACCAGGGCACTGACAAGCACAGCTCAACGATAAAGTTTTAGAGAAAATACAGACAGACTAAAACAGACTTAAAAAAAACCAAACTGCTGCAAGTTCAGCCTCACTTAAAAGCCAAGCCACTAAACAAACAAGATGGCATCATCAGCCAGCCACCACCTCCTCTGTTCTCCAATCATTGGAGGTCTCATTACCACAAGCCAGTGAACTTTATTCTAGCTCCTCTTCTTGGCAACCAACGGGCTTTCTACCAAGCTAGGCCCTTCCTCACCCTTGACAACTTGAATCACCACCAAGTGCCTACAAATTATAATAGTGACAGTAAGTTAACAATGATTTTATCTCCTTACTGCTGCAGTGTCACTTTGCCCTTTCTAAAACGTCTAACGTAGATCAGCAAGCAAATAGTTCTAGACATGAAGCCAATTTTGAGTCACGATTTCTGGAATGAATTCTGATTCTATCCAGTTCCTGGATGATGTAACTACATTCTTGATCTGCAGGAGATACATAAAGAATAACTTATTCTTAAAAAGATGAACAGCTTTTTGTTAGTTACCTCCACTGTATCCAGTTCTTTGCCTAATGAAAAAAATAAACCCTACCAACAGTTTTTTAATTTAAAAAATTACACCTGTGTGTAAAGAGAATTTGTGTGTGTGGGGGGGTGTATTTAATTTGATATGATACAACTGCCAGCATATACAGCTTATTAAGCCATTCCTTGGATACGGTATTGAAAGTGAGCTTTTTCATAGATTTTTAAAGGCGAGTTATAATAAAATTGAGAGATAAGTATCATGATCCAAAGAACAACTTCAGATGTGCCAAAGGACCTGCAAGTGACATTTTTGATTGGGGTGCTGTTGTTGTACAAAAAGTCTTATGTTTAAGTCTAAAGTCGTATTTTATGAGGAATTGGTTGCATGGTTGTTAGTTTAGAATCTATATGCAATTTTTTAAATCAAAAAGGTTCAAGTTTGTTACCTTATTCAAGAGAGTTTATTTCAGTGTACTTCATAAGATACCATTCCAACACCTCCATGATTGAAACATTGCAGGGGCAAAATGAAAACACAAAGGCATTATCTCCCTTCACACTGATTGCCTTGCTCCTTTCTACTTGTATACATGCAGCTGGCTAAGAACATTCACACGATGTTCAGCAATTATAGAAATACAGTATTATTGGTAAATGTAAAGGTAAAGGTACCCCTGACCGTTAAGTCCAGCCACGGACGACTCTGGGGTTGTGCACTCATCTCGCTCTATAGGCTGAGGGAGCCGGCGTTTGTCTGCAGACAGCTTCCGGGTCATGTGGCCAGCATGACTAAGCCGCTTTTGGCGAACCAGAGCAGTGCACGAAAATATCGTTTACCTTCCCGCTGGAGCAGTACCTATTTATCTACTTGCACTTGACGTGCTTTTGAACTGCTAGGTGGGCAGGAGCTGGGACCGAACAACGGGAGCTCACCCCATTGCGGGGATTCGAACCGCAGACCTTCCAATTGGCAAGCCACCCGCGTCCCCATATTATTGGTACTTAACCTCATTAAATATAATTGCTACCGTGTTACAGAAGAGATGAGGAACCACTGGCGCACAGAGACTCCAGACTTGGTCCAGAACGTCCCCTCACTGCCCCACCACCAACTGAACCCAACAGGAGGGTTTCTTGAAACCTGTATTTGGTGTGAAATACATTTGATGGGCTGCAGTCGGGGAGGGAAAGGTTGGCCTATGACTTCTACACTGAAAATGCACCCACACTGCAATTAGACTTGGGGGGGGGGGGGACTTCCAACCATATTTGTGGTGGTGGGAAGTTGTACACCTAGTGAATGGAAGTGTGGGTGAGGAAAAAAATGAATGAGGGGTACAGGCTTTGTGGATGTATGCGTTAGCCCTGCCCACTTTGGCAACACCACTTTGGGGTCCACCCTCCATCGGCACGCTCCCCCTAGAAGGCTGGCTACAAGGGAATGCAGCCTTTGAGTGAAAAAGGTTCCGCACCCTCGAATTACAGGAAATCTCATTTACACTACACAGATATAATCTAACTACCACCACTGCAGAAAGAGAAACTGATCAAAAGTAAAAGAACACGGGCTTTGTCCTTGCAAACTGGAATTTCCTCCCATGGGATTTTCTGCTAAGCACTGACGATACAAACTGCAAAGAAAGGACAGCAGGGACTTGCTCACATTTCACACTTAAGGGCACAGAAACAAGGAGTACTACACACCAGGCTACCTTCCTCGTAGTGAGCCAGAACCAAGGAATTCTGCCTTCCATACTATGCCAGAGAAGCATGTGATATATACTTAACACAAGTATGCACAGTAAGATTTGACCTTTAAAGGAGGAGTGCGGAATCTTTGGCCCTCTATACATTGATGGATTCCAACTCCCATCTGCCCCAGCCAGCACTGCCAATGGTCAGGGATAGGATCTAGAGGGCCACACTGCCATATTGGAGGATATTTAAGGAGTACAATACCACAACATCCTCAAAACCAGCAAGGGACTCCTGGAGTTTACCCCATCCTGCTGTGGAGGTATGAAAGGTATAACTGAAATTCTCCCAATTTAGGCTACGCAGAAACTGGTGTGAACAATTTACAGTGGTACCTCTGGTTATGAGCTTAATTCGTTCCAGAGATCCATTCTGAACCTGAAACTGTTCTTAACCTGAGGTACCACTTTAGCTAATGGGGCCTCCCGCTGCCGCCGCGCGATTTCTGTTCTCATTCTGAGGTAAAGTTCTTAACCCGAGATACTACTTCTGGGTTAGTGGAGTCTGTAACCCAAAGTGTTTGTAACCCAAGGTGTTTGTAACCTGAGGTACCACTGTAAATGGTTACATCTAACAGGGAGAACATTATGACAATAGACTATAAATAAAATTGCCACATATCATTGTGCTTTCCCAGAAGAGCTCTCATTTATTTCCTTATTGTATTTTATCTCTGCTTCTTGTATTTCTTGTATTTTATCTGTACTTGCAAAGAACTCAAGGTGGCATACATGGGTTTTCCAACAACCACCATTTTATCCCAACGATCCTGGGAGATAGGCTAGGCTGAGAGATGGCAAACTGGCCCAAGATTACCAGTGACCTTCATGTCTGTGTGAGGACTTGAATTTGTGTCTTCCAGATCTTCATCCAACATTCCAGCAGCTATACACCACACTGGCTCTAGTAAACCAAAAATGCTGCTCTGAAATTGAAGCTACCCAGAACACTCCATCTGCAGCAATTTTTAACGCACAATTATTCATTATTCAAACCATGGGCTTGGAAGCATTGTACTGTAACGCATGCCTGAGATACATGGCATATGAGGAAGTTTCATTTAGCTGTATCATCCATCATCTGCCATATTTTTGCCCAAACCAAATGGAAGTCTGGAAGGCACCCAAAGGGTTATCCTATCCCGCCACCACACACGAAGGTGGATTAAGTAGATTAAAGCCAGCTCAAAAGAATGCTTCAACATCTTTCCCCTAAGAGCTTCCATAACTTTCTTGTACAACTAGTGCTCCATTTAAGCCTATACTGCTGCAATAAAAATCCAGCAAAATAATACAGTATTCCTGAACCTATGCAGTGCTTTTCTCTTACCACTAACAACAATCTGCCCTCATACATCTGGAATAAGGCAATGATGGGAAAGTGTTTCTAGGTCAGATAGGCAGGATTCACATAGAGACAATCAGCATTTTAGAAATTAAATAAGCACCTTATAAAATAAATAAGCATGGTTTCAAATTCACCTAGTCTCTTCTAAGACCACCACTGCCAGAACATTTGGTTTCCAGAGAGCTTGTTTTTAAGTTTAAATCAGTACTGAATAATGACCAGAGTTTTCTGAGTTTCAGTTGGTGATAACAGATACCCTGACTCAAATGTGTGCTCACAACAGAACATCTATCTCACAGGTTTTTGTTTTATCAGGTTTTAAAGAACCCCACAAAAACTTGCAAACAGCAACAGAAAATAAACCATGGAGCAAAGAGACAGCCATCTTGTTACAGAGGTTGAACAATCTTATTCAGCACCAATCCTGAAAATTCACATAGACCATGTTTTCTACCATGATGTAAGTCATCAATGACCACAACTTACTTACTAGAACATGAGCTCTGATTCTTTGGTGGAACTATTTCTGGCCCACTGCTCCCTAGGAGGAGATCCTGTCACTAAGACATGGATAGGCATCAATAACTAAGCTTGCTATATATGAAAGATCAAGTGTGGGGACTATATGACTATCTGCCTGCTGGATGAAGTTGTGGGTAGGTGTTCAGAGCAATAAGCTCCTGGCCCACAGGTAATGATTTTGTTCCCCTGAAGCCAAGGTGGTTGACCTGAAGAAGCTGAGAAAGCCAGAGGTTAGTAGCCAAGGCCTTCAGGGTTGTGATACCTGCACCCAATTCGCAAGGCGAAAGCTTCTCTGCTGTTACCGCGAATAATGGTCTCTGGGAGGAAGATGTCACTCTAAGGAAATAATCCCGGGGATTGGGGGATAGTCTAAACAGCTATCCTCTCACACCGATGATAACCTTCTTATTAGTGGGTGATTTGAACATTAGGAACATAATTAGATAAGCAATGGGGGTCGATGCATAGTGACTTGCCTGGCTGGTGTGAAGGCTGCATATGTTATGAGTTGTTTTGATGGTCTGTTAGACGGTGCTGGGGAGGAGTAAGTGCTTATGGTGCCTGTTGGCACCGGTGATGTGGGGAACTGTAATCATGCTGTCCTGGTGTTTAGAAAAACAAATCTAGGTTACTAGATAGGAGGATGAAACCCAGGAGCTTCAAGGCAGCTTTCTCAGAAGAGCTAACTGTTCCATGCAGAGAGCAAGATACACAGCGGTGGAATCTCAATTAATGGGTGGGATGGTGGTGTTAGGAAAAGGTTATTGATTTGTTAGGTGCTGGCTTGTACAAAATGGATGGACTCCACTTGAACCAGGATGGAACGAGACTGTTGGTGCTTTGAATTGAAAAGGTGGCAGAGCATCTTTTAAACTGGAAAGCCAACAGCAGATGAGCAGCATCCAGTTCAGAACAAATTATCCTCCAAGGATGAAGGTGAAAATGTTCATGATTGCTCAAAGGAGAGAGAAGAGCTAGGCATTTCAAGTGCAAGGGTACATGATAGCAATTCAAAGATCCCAAAGGACCATAGGGTAAACACAATGCCAAAGCCAAGATTGGCCAGCTGAAGTACTTGTTATTAAAAAAGAGCACAGATATAGGGGGAATTAATGGAAATTTGGTGACATAAGAAAGAACTAGTGGGACACAGTTATCTCTGGATACAAACTCTACAGAAAGAACAGGGAAGGGCACACTGGGGGTGGTGTCATTGTACATCAGAGAAAATATTGTCAAAGTATAAACTGCAAAAGGGGCAGACTCCGCAGAATCACTGTGTATAATGATACTGGGACCCAACAGTAATTAAGTACTGGGAATGTACAATTGCCTCCCTGACTAAAATGCAGAATAAAATCAATGAAGTATCCAAAGGAAAGGTAACAAAAAGCTATTGATTTCCCAGAGATGTCAACAGGTTCTTTATCCCAATATACCAGGTTCCTGAACTCTGCTCCTGGACCAAAATTATGTATCATTATTCAAAAAAAGCCTTGGGGTACTGCTGGAAGCAGGTAGGGGAAAGAAGAGGACTTCTTTTTACACCACTGTTCTCCCAGCACTTCCAGAAACTTATTCTACCAAGAGTTCTGGGAGCCAGGGGCCAATGATAACATCTGTGCAGGAAACCAGAAGCCCCTGCCCTCTTTGGACACCTACAGGCCTGCTGCTTAGCAACAACCTTCTAAGGTATGGGGCTATTTTCTTCCCTATGGAAACCCTTCCTCATCTCCAGCAGGTTCCTCCACAGGTTCTGAAAGTCAGGAGCTGCTGAAGGAACAGGACAAATGAAATTGTTGCCCTATTTTATTATGTAAACTGCTCTGAATTTGTTGTTGTTGAAAAGTGTTTGATTTAAATATTTATATGCAATACGTATTCAGGACAATTTATTTTCAAAGCTACCACTTTCACTTATGGATGTTAAGTTGCCATCTTGAGAATATAGCCCTGTCTCTAAAGGCTCCACAGCATTTCCCTGACAAGCTGCATGGCTAGTTTCTGGATTGCGACCAGACAATCCTGCCACTACACAGTGTCTTACAAATTTATCAAAAGCACAGGTCAGTTTGTACAAATGGGGAACTTCTATTTGTTCAGTGGCAAGGCTAAATGATAAGAACTCCATATAAGAACAATAATAGATAAGTGAAAAGACAAGAAAACCAGTTTTCGGGTTGGAAATATACTAATATTTTAACAACTTTCAACTGCCAAGAGTTAACACTATTGTGAAATGACAAACTGGCCTACAACACATTTTATTTGCTAACCTACTGAGCAAGAGATGACGTAATGCTCATGAATTAGTTTTATATGAAAACCTCCTTTAAAAGAGAAGTGAGTGCAGTAAAAAGTTGATCTAAAGCTTCTATTTTTAGAATGAAAACAATCCTCCCACAACTCACAGTATTTAGCTGCTGAAATAAACTATCAAGCTATTTTTAAGTGAAAAGACTTACCAAAAATTTCTCCATTTTTGGCATATTCTGTCACAAGGTACAACATGCTTTTGGTCTCCATTACCTATTGATGGAAAAATCACACATTAGTTTAATAGGCGAAAAGAATTTTAAAAACAAAATCCTAGAAATTTCTCAATAACACCCCTGCCTCACAAAACACATCACAGGTGGCCTTTAAAAGCCTAATATTCTCATGCTACAAATATTCTAATTTAAAAGTATGATTAAGCAGCTCCTTAAATTAGTGCCTAGACAGTGTCTTTGTTTCTTGGCCATGAAGTTCGTTAAAAGGATGTTGAGATTTCCCAGGACCAATTTTAAGACTTAGTCTAAAGGCAGTAGGACTTCAGCCAATACACCCAAGCAATTGCTTTGCTCAACTCCTAAATTACCAGGAGACTAGATAGCATCTGGGGTCTTAGCATGGGTGTTCATGATGCTCTAAGGAAACTAACAGATACTGTGGGAGGGAAAAAGAGAAAAAACAACCACAATGCAATGTGTTCTTAATCTTGGAGACAGGGTCTCAAGAGTTTGATGAATCATGAGAATCCACTTATACAATATCAGAATCATTGTTATTCAGGCCTTCTCTCCGAGAAGGTCAAGTTGAGTAAGTACTCTTATAAAACAGCAACATGAATGTAAATCAAAAGCTGTATCTAATAAATGGGACCTTATTAACAATGTACAGTAGTGTACACCCATCCCCTGGTAATGGGAATGCTCCTGTCTGACAGCCATGTTCTCCTACTTGGTATTATACGACAGTCAATGTGGTGCTTCACCAGATGCTAATGAACAATTCCCATCAGCCTCATCCAGTATGGCCAATGGTGAGGGATAATGGGAGTTGTCATTCAACAGCATCTGGAGGACATCTCATTGGCTACCCTTGCTATATGAGTATGATGTGAATGCACATGAGATCGCTGTCCTGTTGAAGCTAAGCAGGTCTGCAAGGCAGCTCTGGGTCAAATCAGCACCTGGATGGGTGGCCACCTGGGAACCACACATACACCATCTTGGGTTCCATGACAAAGGACATTAACATAAGAAAGCAAAAACAAAAAAATGATTGGAAGTTCAAATGGTGCATTCTACTCTTCATTCATTCATTCATTCATTCACACACGGCATGCTAAGTCTTCCTTGTGCATTTTTTCCTACTTAAGTTTATTTATTTTTATTTTATTTTTATTATTTTTGTTAATTAAAAAAAGGAACTCAAATATCTTTACATACATATCCAAGTTATGTTTGCCCCTTATTATCCTCTCATTACATTGTCATCTTTTTCCTGGACACTTTCTTTTAAGCCTTGCTTTGTCACTGGTTGTTGTGAGCAACAAGACAAAACACAAAGTGAGCCTCAAAGTTCTCACCGAATAGGTTATCTGGCTGGTAACTTTTTTAACAGCTCATAGAATGAGATTGCAGAATTAACTCTCCTTAAACTCTAAACTGCTGATCAGGATTTTTCAGTCTTGAAACTAAGATTCCTTTTAAAATTGGTTATTTTACAATACATATTCTTAGGAATCCACATAAACCTAAGCAAAAAGCTAGTCTACTAGCTCTGATGCTACAATAGATTTTAGCTTTTTGTATTTTCAGTTAATACATCCTCTCTACTCTTTTATGAAGCTTCTTTTACCAGGGACCCTAACTGAATACAAAAAAATGTGATGTTGGCACCTAGGAACGCAAACTATTTTTCAGCTCTGTGCAGGGCTAATGCTGAGGAATTGTATCATCTCCTGAGAATTTCAAATACTTTTTCCAAATCTGGCCTCTGCCTCTGCTCAATCTAATACAGATTGCAAACCATCATGACAGAGAGTGCACTGCTGGCACTAAATGAATGTTAAGTTCATTTAATGTTAAAATATCCAATGGGCTTACCAATAAAAGTCAAGATAGAAATGCTTTTAATAATTGTAATAAATTGTATTAGTGAATTTCCAGAAGTCATAACATTATTTTGTACCACCATCAACAAAACATGACCAGAATTTAACCTGGATTCCATAATCAAGTTTCATGTCCTGCCCAAAGTGAACACTTTTGGTATCAGAATTCAGGTGGCAACCTCTTCTATTGCCAAGGTAACTGTGCAGCCACCCTCTGGTAAGGGTGACAAGCAATCAGTCACGCCCCCAGATCTGAAGCTGTAGAGGTGGGTAGGGATCATCCCAATGCTTAAGCAGCTATCTCTGCCCTCTCCCCAGTTCCAAGACTGGGAGGGTTTGGTTGCTGGAGGAGAGATACTTCAAAGAAGTCAAGGCAGCAAGCTCCCCACCCTTCTTGCAGGAAGGTTTCTTGGTTGCTTAGAGGCAAGGTTATACCTGAAAGCTCCCCAGTGGCCTTTCTCAGGAGAAAAGCGAGGTGTGCTGCCCAAGCTGCTAAGCTTCCCCACTAACTTAGCTCCTACTGGTCTCTCTTGCAGTGCTAGGAGATGCACCAGATGCCTCCGTCCAACAGAGGGGCAGGTCAGTATGTTTTCTGCCTTCCTTTCCTGCAGAAAGGCTAACGGGGGCTACCTTAGAGGGGAATGATTCATTCACAGGCAGATAGAAACAAAAATGGAACCCAAAGCGGTAGGATCTATCTGCTATGGTGTCCAAAGCAAATGGAAAAGGTCACATTAACCTTGCCATTAACCTAGCCTACTCTCCTTTCCCTCTTTTAAATATGAAATCATTATATAAGCATATAATAGGAATGAGTGTGATACCCTCTCATTATTGCTCAATGTGAGATTAGTCACCATACATTTCTTGTTTGCATGCACATTTGGCTCCTAGCTGGCCTGTGAGCATCTACCTGCAATCCCAACATGCATGGGAGTTTTAAAAAGAGGTTGCTTATTAATAAAAACTGTGAATTCTTGAAAAGTGGTGATTGTTTAGGGGTGGGGAAGTATGAGTGGTGGTAACTAGCCACTTTTACATCAAGATTGCAGACCACAAAACAGTTACTATATTCTTTTGACTACTAGAACAACTCTCCTTTCTGCACTCCAGGTTAATTTTTTAAAAAAACCAGCCCAAAATAACACGTTTGTTTCATACTATTAAAATTGTATCCCTTGATTTATAGGTTGCTGTCAAGATTAAGACTTGATTTAATAAAGCTGAAACACTAGACTATTTCTGATGGTAAAATTAAAACTAACAAGACAGACCTCATTAAATCAAATCTTCCCTCTTAAACAGCAGGAAGGTTCCTATTTTGCTTGAGGCATCAACACTTAATGGGAACAATCCATTAATGTCACTGGGACACAGAGCATACAAGATGGCTCAGAACTAAAACTCTTGTTTAAATTTACATTGGATACAATCTACTGGCATTTTATTCCACGCAGATGTGTTCTGGAATAAGTTCTGTTCAATTCATTAGGCATAGTTCGGGAAGCATTCTTGAACTGTATCCTTTATCCACATATTCAGCATCTATATTTGATTATGCGTTTACTGTATGGAAGGGTCAGCCAGCAAGATGCCCTCCAAATATCATTGGACTCCATAAGTCCCAGCCAGCATGGCTAATGGCTAGTGGTGATGGGAGTTTAAGACCAACAACATCTGGCACTACATTGGCTACCCCTGCTCTATTATGATGTTTCAGCTCATGTGAGGCACCAAATGCAAAATAGAACGGCAAAACCTGAATGCCCATTCTCAGGTTCAGTTTAATATTTTGTTTCGCATTTCAAACAGCTACCTACTCAAAATAAAAGCTAAGTTCACCAAACAAACAAACAACACTGCTTTAACTTTGATATAGAGATGAATGCTTGATCACATAATAATTTGGACCGATTCCTGCATGTGCCCTGCCATCAGACACGTGAGGTTTAATGGAGGGCATGTGGCCTTTGAAAAGCTTTGATGGAGACTTAATTTATGCTTAACTTGTGCTTACGATGAAAATCTTGCCTGTGACACTGGATTGGGTGTGTGTGTGTGCAAAGAAGAACAAATAGTTTAGGGCATGTAAACATTTTAAGCAAATTTAATGGCGTCCCATAAGGAAGCTGAGAACTAGGGAAGCCTACAAAATAGTTCTCAGAACCTTGACAAACAACACTTCCTGGAAACTTTGGGGGAAGCAATGACATTAAAAAACAAATCTATACTAGTCACATCTGTAGCATAAATGGGCCCTTGGGTTCAGATTTAAGCATTAGCAACCCAAACACTCTAGCAGCATCAGGCTAACACATTAAAACAAAGCAATGGAGTCATGCCTGAAAGAATGATTTCCCATCTTCACACAATCAAGGTTTAGAGCAAATCAAGTACCATAATGGGGAAAACAAAATCAGGTTAAACCAAGCAGATTTCTAAAAAAAGTTCTCCAGTTAAAACACACATTAGCAAAATCCATATCCAAAGCTTTAGCTCAGTTTTAGACAGTTCTCTTTTCCACTCTAGGAAATTTATTTTGTAGATTGTACTACTGTATTGAATTCTCACTGGCTGTGATCACACATCATATTAAATAATAGCAGATGCAAGCAAGCGGTGGGTTTGTATACGCAGCTCAAAATTCCTGCTTCACTCCTCCCCTACTCCTGGATAAACCTTGGCTTACGGCCTGCAGTTAGTTTGGAGAGAAACAAACCACAAACCTGGGTTAGGTGACACAACAAGCCATAGCTTGTGGTCTGTTGCTCCCCATGTGGCATGGCCAGGAATAGGAATAGTGTAAAGAGGGCACTTTTAAGCAGGGTGCAGAAGCATGCTACTTATTCTCAGTAAATATAACTATGGTTTGACATAGGCATAGGCAACTATTTTCTGCCAGAGAACCAGATCACATTGCGGCCAACCCTCCATGGGCCACGTCTGATGAACGGGTGAGGTCACCCTTTTGACCTCATCAGGTGACTCTGACCCCCAGGCAAAAACAGGGTGGCTTCCCTTTGGCACCAAAGTTAAACAGCACTGACTGCAAGCTGAGCTCGGAAAGGAACAATCAGTAACTGTAGGGTACATTCTTAATTGTTCCTTTGCAAGTACAGCTTGCATTCACACTGTTTCACTTTAACTAGACATCAGATTCACTTGGAGCTCCTGATTGCAATGGGCAAACCTGGCCATTGTCACAGAAGCATTCAGGTCAAATTGCATATTTCATAACAAACAGGATGCTATAAAAGATGAAATAATTCTGACCCACCTGGACCTGGCCTTATGGTGGCTATGAGAGAGGCAGTATCATCAAGAGACTAAACTTCCACACTGAGCAGATTCCCTGCACTCTAAGCTAAAACCTACTGGGTGCCTGTTCCTGTCAACAAGGGTCTTGGACTGACTGGGGAATCTGTCAGATGTCTAGCTTTCCTTGTCTGTGGCTGTTCAAGTTAATGGGAGTTCAGTCCCTGTGAATTAATGACTTATTCAAAACCATTCTGATGTAATTGTTCACAAACAACCAAGTAAAAACCTCCTCTCATATATACCGATTTTTAATTATTTCCAGATTTATAAACCTGCCAGATTTATAAAACTGCCACATAAAAACTCCAACCAACAGCAACCAGATAAAACTTACAATACAGGACTTCATGGGACACAGGGCTTAATTCTCACAAACTCAAACCCTTAACATGAAGCTTTGGCAGAGAATACAGCTACGTACCTGATAAAGCTTGATAATGTGTGGGTGGTCCAACATTTTCATTATCTGCACTTCACGATAAATTTTCTCCAGGTTCACCGAATCTAGCTGGGATTTGTCAATGATTTTTATTGCCACCTAGAACCAATTACAAGAAGAATTTTTAAAGTCAGCTTTGCCAAACCAGGTCAAAAAGGCAGTATATAGGTTATGACCCAATTTTTTCTTTATTTTTGCTAAGAGAACTACAGTATTATACTCACAAAACAAAGTATTTTGGAGGGAATTTGAAAATACTCTTAACATGTTAGCACGCAGGTGCTCAACACTTCCTTTGTAACAGAAATAACAAGTTCAGACAGTTGGCCAGAACTTTAGTAAAACATGATTACTTTTTATTATACACAGGAGTCTACTTTTACATTTTATGCTAAAGAGGAACAAGGACCCCAATAGGAAACAAACAAACAAAACAAACAGGACCCCAATAGGAAAGTCCCAAGGGCCAGCATGCCATGGAAATGAAGATCTCTATAGCATTTTCCCTGTGCCATTCCATTCTATCTGTTGCTTTCTAGTAATAGATATGAACAGAATTTTGCACTTTGTCTTGACGTTGTCTGAACCAACTTTGCAAAAACTCATAATGTTAAAGGAACTTCAAACCATGGTTCAACATCTTGGCTTGTTCCAAAGCAGATATCTATTGTGGCCCAGTTCAGACAAACCAGGAAACTGTAGTTAAGAAAGGCTGTAGCATGTGCCTTTGCAAAGGCAAAACAACTTGCACACATTTTGGCTGAAGAAGGCAATATATGATCATTCACAAGTGAATAATAGATATTGCAACTCATTCTGCAACCTCAAGGCCACTTTGAATTAGTGCTCCTTGAGTAGCAGTCCACAGGCTAAATAAGAAATCATTACTTATTGGGGGCTGTTGCAGGTTGCCGCAATCAACAAACCAAAAGCTACTTGGCACATCCAAGTTTTCCTAAAGTAGCTTTCTGCATCCCAGCCAAATTGCTTAGAAGCTTGTCCCTACTAGTAATAGACAACTTGATTTTTTTAAAAAAAATCTCGTGTGCCTACTCTATTAATAAGAACCCCCATGTACTAACCCCCCCATAGATGTTGTTGAATACAAAAATACAATTTAAGCAGAAATTTGCATAGTATTTCATATTTAGTACAAAAACAAAATCAACGTAGTTTGAATTATTACATACACTTTATTTTAACTGTGATTAATGTCTCATACATAAAGTAATTTATAATCACACTGTTAGGACTTGAGAATAAGCTCTCCTTAGGGAAACTCACCCCACTTAAATACAGCTCAGCTTATCTACAGTGTGGGCAAGTTGTTGTTTTTGGTTGTTATTATTGCACATATTTTTGAGTTTTTCTATTGTAAACTGCCCTGTGATCTTTGGATGAAGGAAGTATAGAAATTTAATTAATGATGATGATGATGATGATGATGATGAAAAAATACACTCTAGTTTTGGGCTTGAAAACCCCCAATTCTCAGGCAATGGTGTGGAAGGAGTTATAAAGAAATGCAGTAATGAGTTCACAGATACATTTCAAATGAAAATGAATGTGTGAATGTGCAACTGAAAATACTATATGGATCAGTGGACAATCTTGCTTCAGTGCCCGAGCTGAATGACCTCTGAAAAACTGTAGCAATGGTTACCAACAACATATACAAGCATGGCACAAAATCTTTGTGGCATGGAATTGGTTTGATATGGAAAGCATGGAGACTACAAGATTGGACAAAGATGTCTTCTCAGCAGCCCCTTCAACAGCAGAAATCCTTCTTCTGGCAGGATTCACCCAAGCCCCAGGATCTTTCAGAATCACTGCCATTTGTTATGATGTTTAAATATTAAGAACCTACTGGGTTGTGGGGTGTGTGTTAATCTGTATTTTGTGTTTCTACTTTTTCCAATTATTCCTATATGTTTACTTTTTTCCATTATATGGCCCAAGCATTTGAGATGGTGCAGGGCAGAAGACTGAAGAAAAAGGAATGATTCTTGACTGCTTGAATGTTCTGTGTTTGTATTAAGTTGTTTCTTCTCCAGTGGACATCTATTTTGATTGCTGTGTGGCCCTTGCTATTATGATATACCGTATCATCTGGATTGATCTCAGACTGCTATCTTAAATAATACATTTTGTTTTAAGGACCAAGCAGGATCCTGATTCAGTGCAGGACTTGATCTAGAAATGGATCTTCAGGTCTCTTATAATCTTACAAATCTACTATGAAATCTTCTTGATCCAAGATCTCCATGAGAACCGATCCAGCATGTTGGAGAGATCAACTTCCCTTTAGAAGTATAATCACAGCAAATTTAGTTGCATACCCACAGCAAATTAAGAAGACTTCACTCACTGAATTTAGACAACTATCTGGTCCTATATAGAGACCTATATCTTCCCATATATATGTGAAGTGCTACAACTAATAATAAATGACTTAAGTGACCATGTAACCAGAGCTTAAAGCTCCAATCCTGCAACAAGCTGCTTAAAGCTTCTATTTTCTTTGTTTAAGACCAAACAGGCATTCAGGAAAAGTGAATGTCAACACTCTTTTTGAAGAGGAATTAAACCCACACTTCCTTTGTTTACCCAATAGATAACTAACCTGTGAAAATGTCACAAAGTATCATTAAGATTAGCAATGCTTTTAAAGAAGGGTGAACGACTGATGAATCACTGAAACATAAAAACTTACTAGAAACAGAAGCTAGTATAATTTTTATCCTCCCTAGACACCTCAGCTGCCATGCAAGTGTATAAAGGTACATTAAGCTACATAGTCCTATTAAAAACAATATGGAGTCAGATATTGTCAATAGTCAGGCAAGGCACTGACCGTCTCTGGGATCTCAAGCAGAGATCTTTTCCAGTCCTGCTCCTATTGTGCTACTAAAGAACATTTTGGTTAAACTAAAATCTGGGGGCATCCTCATCTCTCACCCATACACCACTCTCCGTTTTGCTCACTCATTCAGAAAGCAGGAATTCTTCTTATCCCACCCCAGCCATGCTAAGACACCGCAAGAGATTTTGAGACTGCAGGTGCATCTGTCGTGCAAGTCAAGGGTATTCACTGACAATCACGACAGCTCACCCTCTTCATCATGCATAAAACCATGCAGCAGCATTGACTTCAAAGTGGTTACAAGCCAAGGAGGGACTCAGAAGGCAAACACAACCATTTCTTCTTGTAACTTTGGAAGCAGCTCCTGGCTACAAGGAAAACAAATCCTGATTGAGCAAAAAGCTTAATTATTTATAAATGTTTGGCACAACAGTTTCTTCTGCTACAGCCTGCTATTTCCTGAAGTGGGAAAAGGATACGTCTATGCTTTCTATAATGTTTAAGAATCAAACTCAAAGAAGATGTGGTGTCTTCAGAACATTTCTCCAAGAGCCCATCTAGCTTGAAACAGTACAAAATAACTAGCTGATGGCAGAAACTTCAAATCAGGTTAACTCCCAAAGATGTGACCACAAGTTTAAGCCACAATTTAGAAAGCTGATTAAGTACGAAGGAGAAGTTCAGGTTGGGGAGGCACTACAAAACTGAAATTCGGTTTAAAAAGTGGTCGGGCAGCTCAGCAAGGATCAAAATTGCTGAAAAAGAAGAACATATGGTGACTTGGCAATCATAGCTGATCTGTCCAAATGCATTTGAGTTGTATTTCAATTGTTCTTTATTTCAATTTAATAAAAAGGAAGATCTTCCTTTCCCTTGCATTTATTTGTGGCCAAGAACACAATGAAACTCCAGGAAGAACCTCCAGAATAGAGACCACATTTTAAAAAGTGTGGAAATACTTGCAATTTTCCTGTAAACTTGGTTCCAGATTCACAGTGCTAATCCATCTTGATGCTACTCCCTCATTCTCTCCATGCTATGGATATCTGCTAGCAATATAACCTTTCCAAACAATGATGAAATAAATTTGAAGGTCTGCAAGCTATACAGTTCCAAGAAATTTAGTTTTCAGTAAGTCAACCAAGTTACTTCCCTAACTTCCACTTATTTCCTCTAATTCTGAAACATGAGAAGGGAGGGGAAAACTGCATACATTCTGTTGTAGTTCTAGTCTTCACTGTCAAATCCTTTTTACAGAACACTTTGTCACCAACACTTATAGTTGCGGATTGTTAATGCTACATTTCAAAAGTTCATAGTGTTTTGGTCCGCTTCCGATTTCTTTTGAGAATGATTTTAAGATATCCTTGAATATAATAATTTTTCAGCCTTAATAAAGCAGCAAAAGTTAGGAAGCCAAACTTATGCCAGTTATGAGAAACACAGTACCAGATGCTTCAACCACAGCAGTCTAGTCTACCCAATCTAAATACAATTCACCACTGTTAATACTTCTTTTGAATATGCATTCTAAATCTTTGCTCACAGAAGTTTATCAACATGATTATCATAGGAGTTTTGCCCAAATTTCTTTCTTTCTCTTGCTTTAAGTTCCTCTCCCTTGTAGAGGGCAAACCAAAGCTTCTGAATCTTTGCAACCCTAATTGCCACACACCTCTGTGCCATAACCAAAATGTGCCTCTTTCTAGAGATGCTGTGACAGCTGCAAATGGTAACATACAGATAGGAAGAAAAAACTGCAACCCACTGCAAAACATTAAAGTAGTGACCACCATCCATCAAGATACTGGGTAGATGAAACAAACACTGATTTATCAGGCAATTCTTATGTTCCTAATAATAATACAGTATGCACTAAATACTTGAAACAGAAACATTATCTCAAAGGGGCTTCCTGCATTGCGGAAAGCAGAACTGGGAGTGGGGAGATAAAGTGGAGCCATGCATGGTTTTGTACAATCCTCTCTCACCAATCCAGCAATGCCAGCAGAGCTCATAATCCCTCAAGTTGCTTACCGTACTTTTCTGTGTATAAGACACCCCCGTGTATATCAAGTTATCAAGAAAAGTCATGAGACAAGGTGATCATATTCCATTTTAGCAGAATTTTAAAGTACGGAATTATAAAAAGGAAAGCTGAGTGCTGAACAAGAAAATAATTTCAAAAAACTACCACCAGGATGGCATAACATAGTAATCTCTTGACTTAACATCAGAAACAGAGGTGAATTTCTTATTTGAAATTTGAACAAGGTGCATGGCTGTCACCATGAGGGAATGCCATTTGAATTTATGATCCCCTTTAGCAACAGAAAGCTTCTTTACAAACATCTATTTTTACACATTTTACGCTCTGAGCCCTGTTGTGTCCAACAACTACAACTACAGAAGCCAAAATTGGTTCTTTCCGTTCATACATCAATCTCTGGCTACTCATGCATCCTTGCTGTATCTGACACTTTCTGTGCAATGTCCTGTAGGTTACTGCCAAATCCAATCTTATTATTGACAGATATTAAAAATAATGCCAGGTATTTACATAAAAAATGCAAGTGCTCAAAGAGGTGTTTTTATTAATGGTTCTTGCAGTCTCCAAGTAAAGTTATTTACAACGTAACATTTTTCATTATTTTCAGCAAACATTGAAACCTCCCCTAACAACATTACATTGGTACACTAGACTAAAAAAAGGAGCTGGCTGCAAAATGTAAAACAAAAATCAAGCAGGGAATAATTTGTACAAAATTACTTAGCAGTCACTACAGTGGTGCCTCGCAAGACGAAATTAATCCGTTCCGCGAGTCTCTTCGTCTTGCGGTTTTTTCGTCTTGCGAAGCACGGCTATTAGCGGCTTAGCGGCTTTAAGAAAAAGGAAACAAACTCACAAGAACTCGCAAGACGTTTCGTCTTGCGAAGCAAGCCCATAGGGAAATTCGTCTTGCGGAACGACTCAAAAAACGCAAAACCCTTTCGTCTAGCGAGTTTTTCGTCTTGCGAGGCATTTGTCTTGCGGGGCACCACTGTACAATGTAATATGGAAAGTGCAACCCAAAGTGAATGAATTAATTGAATAAAGCATTATGTATTAAAGGCATTAAAAACTGGCTAGTTTTCAGCTGTTTCTACCTACACAACATAATGCTGTAATTAAGTTAGCCTTCCCACCAACTTTACTTTAAAAATGTAAGTAATTTCTCAACAGTTTGGGTCCTTCAGAAAACATAAGCTATAATGCTAGGAACACAGTCAAACAACTGTAAAGATGCATAAAATCAGCTAAGGTACTAGCCTCTATTAGGAACAAACTTTTCAGTTGCTTAAATAAAATCTAGCATGTTTTAGATACTTTAATAAAATCCCACAAAAACTACTTCAGTCATTCATTTAATACTTAACCAAGCTACCTATTTATCCAATAAACTGTAATTACGTGTACCCTCTGCTTTTCCCCCTTGAGACTTGCATCTTCTTTAATGTGTAGTTTGCATTCAAAAAGATTCTCATGGCCTTAATTTAGTACACAGACAGAATGATTCATATGATTGGGAGGTAAAATAGAACCATCCTTCTTTAAACTGACTCCAGGTCAAGGGAACTAAGTTTTATGATCTTTCCAAAATAGATGGGAGCTTAGCACTCTGAGGTTTGACTTTTGTGATTTGCAAAAAGATAAATAACAAACCCAGCGTCCAGAATTGCTATCATTCTCATCCAAGGTATAACTATCGAAGAGTTGAGACAACTAAATGGGCAGCATGTATCACCTCCCCACTTCCAAGATGCAGTCATGGAATGAGCCAAGGGCATGCTGCCAGGGATGTCTGTATGAAAAATGGACTAAGAGCAAAAGCAGTAAAGTTTGACAAGGTATCCCAGCATGTTTTGCTTTGAGAGTTCTTCTGAGAAGTAGAAAAATAAACTCTCATTCATTCTTCTGGTTGCAGAAAAACTGGCAGGTGCCAACATTATGCCAGGCCTGGGCTAGCTTCTTAACCTCATTTGCTGCCGGAATGAAAAAAAAAGGGACAAAGGAAGTTACGCTTCCCCATCACATTCCCAGTTACTGGAAAGGAAATGACTGTGGTTGAGGCTACAAGGACAATAGCAGAGTTCAGTTATACCACTGAAGATCAAAATCAGCTGAGAGCAAGGGACAAGATACCCTGCTAGGAAATCTTCCTGAGTGCCAGGAATCATTCTGATCAGTTTGCTTAGGCACACGACTGACCTTGTTACCTCATTGTGCTCAGGAACTCCCTTTTTTAAAAAGCCATTTTTTCATACCATATCCTACATACTAATCCCCCTTGTTTTAAATTACAACACCCTTTCTCTGCTACAACCCCCCCCAACTCACTTCTCAGGTAAACGTCTATGTCCCCTCTTCTTCCTCCCCATATTTATTCCTACAATTATCATAAAACTGCCTTTTCTTTAGGTGCAGCCTCCCTTCCAATCCCAAATTTCATGAAGGGAAAATATAATCGTGTTCATCATGTGATGCCTAAATGCCAGTTCCTGCTTTCCAATGATCTTATTTGACTCTTTCCCCCAACTCCAGTCATTGAAGCCACTGCCCATTTACAAAGAACCACCTCAAAATTAGCACAGCCATGTCCTTCTGAGACAGAGCCCCTTTTAGACGTGTCAACCATTTTCAGAATACTCCAACCCACCCTGCACAACAAGGAAGACTGCCATCTCTCTTTCTCTCTCTAATCACACTTTCTTGGGGGCTCAGATGTTGTTGAACTACAACTCCCATCACCCCTAGCTAGCAAGGCCAGAGCTCAGGGATGATGGGAGTTGTAGTCCAACACAGGTTGCAAACCGCTGCATGGGTAGGCAAACTAAGACCCGGGGGCCGGATCTGGCCCAATCACCTAAATCCGGCCTGTGGACGGTCCAGGAATCAGCGTGTTTTTACATGAGTAGAATGTGTGCTTTTATTTAAAATGCATTTCTGGGTTATTTGTGGGGCATAGGAATTCATTCATTTCCCCAAAAAAATATAGTCCGGCCCCCCACAAGGTCTGAGGGGCAGTGGACCAGCCCCCTGCTGAAAAAGTTTGCTGACTCCTGCTCTAAACCCATCCATATGCTTGATGCCATGCTCCATTATCGCCCATTAGCCTTCTTCTCTGGATACATTTTGTTTTGTTTTTACTTTGAGGAAGCACCCTCCGCTTATCACCCTGTTATGAACAACCTTTATCACCTACTTTTGAGGATCAGGTCTCCTGTGGGAGGATATTTCAGAGTGCCATGAGACTTAAGCTGACTCCACCACCCTTTCCCCTCTGCCGAGGCTCATTTCCTGGACAAAATGATCAAGGTCCGAAGAAAGCTTTGGAGGGGGGCGGGGTTTGACACCCCTACCACAACTTCCTCTAAATTAGACCACCCATGGACACTATGTTTCAAGAACACATCAATAATCTGTGTTCACGACAAGCACTTCCTTTGATATAATGCTCCATTCTCCAAGGTGAGAGGAAAGCGAAGATCGTCCTCCTAGTGAAAATCTCATTTTATAACAAAAACCTCTTTTCCAGGGTGCGGTTTTTCTTTCTGAAGGGGCAGGCCATGACAAGCAAACACCTCTTGATTTAAATGGGGGGCTTTATAAGGAGACACCCCTATTGGATCACCACCACACACACCTTCTCAGAACTATGTCCTGTAGCATTAATGAAGCCAGCATCCTTCTCATGTGCGTATACCTGGAAGGAGTACATTTTGGAAGGGGTGGGTGGGAAGTATCCTTGTGGGGACGCACCTTTTCTAGTGAAGGCAATGTTCCTTTTAGGAAACCCAAGACTGTCTTTTATTAGGCAGGCTCTCATTTCGTTACTAAACTGCCCCCTTCCCTCGCAACATTTCTAGCATCATTTTCACGTAGTACAGTACTTTCTAAAGTGGTGAGATGGGAAGAAGGGAGAACCCTACTCCTCGCTTTTTATTATTTACTTGAAAAATGTATACACTACCTTTTAAGGTAAAGCCCTCCCAAGGCAGCTAACAAATTATAATTAATGCAGTATGAAACAAATTTTAAACTACTGTACATACAAAATGATTCAATTACAAAACTAAAAGCAGCAGCCATTTAGAATCTCGTCACATATTTAGAAAAATGAAGACTGAAACAAAAAAAGTTTTAAAGGTTTGTTAAAAGCTAACACACATATTTCTTTCACAAGCAAGCTCCAGACATATGGGGCCACCACTACAAGTGCCCCATCACTAGCTGATGGACCTTGATGACGGGCCTGTGAGCAACCTTAATTCTGTACTTGTCGAAGTTTCTGAGTGTCTTTAAACACAGCCCTAGGAATTGTGCATTAGTCGGGATATAGCCGAAACACGTGTAACTGTTAAGGTTTGCTTTCTCCAGATATGGTTGCAACTGGGAGCCATCCTAAGCTGGTAAAAAGGCACCCATAGTCACTGGCAGGATCCAAGCTCCCAGTGACAGTACCAAGTACAAGAGAACCCCAAAACCACATACTTGATGTTTCAGGGGGAATGCAGCCCCATCCCAAACTGGCTGCATATCTCCATCCAGATCAGCAGATTTCCCACCCCACACTGCCTCTCTCTTTAACCTAATTCAGCTTCAACTAGGCCACCTGCATCCATTCCAAGACAGCCTCCCCCTAGGGCTTGCAGGTAGAGAAGAGGGGTAAGGCTGTGTGTCATCTGCATAGGAATAACATTTAGCCTGAACCTCATGATGACTCCCCCCCCCCATGGTTTCCTGCAGATGTTAAAGATGACAGAGAAACAGGACACAACCTTGAGGCACCCCAAAGGGCAAGGCCATGAAGTGGAAAAAAAGCTCCCAGAGCACCCACCCACCCAAAGACCTTAGTACTTTTAGAAAAAGGAATGGGGGGGGAGAAAAATACCACCTTCTTCCTCTTGTTAATATTTGTATTATGGGTCACCCCCAAAAAAGGACCCACCACAATCCCTTCCCCTTTCCTGGAATTCACATTATTATAGTTTCCCAAGGAGAAAAGACACATGGATGCAGAAAGAAAGGGGGAGAGAAAGGAGCATTTACCTTTCTTTCATCAGCACACCTCAAGGAGAAGGGGGTGGGGAAGAGAGAAGGCAGGAGATCCATAGAAATGCCCCCCCCCACCCGTGGTTGGAGAGAAGGAAGAAAATAAGGCGGGACACAGCTCGATCCCCTTCAAACATAACCTCCACCAAGGGGAAAAATAGAGAAACGCCCCCTTGGTTGGAAGAAGAATGGGGCGCCCGCGTTCACACGTTATCCTCACCCAACACGCGTGTTGTTCAGGGAGGGGAAAATCCCCTCCCCCTTCTCAACGTTACCAGAGAAAGGTGAGGGTGGGGGGCTCGCCATGCCCACCTCCCTTCTCTCTCTCACCCGCCCCCCCCCCACGACCGCGCTCCCCTTTTCCTCTCAGGCGCCTCTCCCCACCTCGCTCCGCGTGATGCGGTGCCGGCCCAGCTTGACCACGGCGAAGTTGCCCTTGCCCAGGGTGCCCTCGATCTCGTAGAAGCCGACGCGGACGGGGCCCGACCCTCCGCGGGGCGGCTGCAAGAGCAGCGCCGCGGCAGCAGGGGGAAGCCGCCGGGGCTCGGCCATCACCATGCTGCCCGGGCGGCTCCCCGCTCCTCCTCGCCGCCGCCACCTCCTCCTCCTGCCGCCGGGGCTGCTTCCCCGCTCCTTCCCCTCCGCCTCTCCCTCTTTCCCTCACGAAGGACTGACTGAGCAGCCGCCACTGAAGCCCGGCGCCCTCCCAGCCGCCGCCGCCGCCGCGCTCGGCTCCTCCCCCTTGGCTCCTCCCAGGCTCCGCGCGTCACGGCGCGCGTCATCGGAGAGGGAGGGGGCGCGCGTCGCCGCGGCAACCGGAGCCAACCGCGGGCGAATGTTCCAACGGCCATCTCCTCTCCCACCCGCCATCGCTCTCTATCCTCCCGCCGCGCGCGCGCGCCACTTCCCAGTTCAGGGTGGCCGTTCCCGCCAATTGGAGGGGGAGGGGGGAAATCCCCATCAACCCCCGCGCGATACTTGAGGGGCTTTCCTGCCACCTCCACCCCTTTTCGCCTTCCCGTTTGTGGGGCTGCGCGAGGTGTTATCGCCTCTCTCAAACTGTGCTTTAGCACCGAGCACCCCTCGCTGTGCCATAAGCATCAGGAGAAGCGGCTCTGGCTTTAAAAATGGGGGGGGGGCAGGCGCTCTTTTTCTGACATTGATAACTTCTCTCCCCAGTTCCCTATCGAGTCGTCCTGCGAGGGACCGTTTTTCTTCGCCAGCCACGTCATTTTACCACCCGTTCACAGAAAACGCGGTTTGCCTCGCGTTTTACCTCACGTTCTGTGACATAATTTTGCTGCACGCATTTTGTACCTGAGGCGTGTGGTCACCATCTCCCTCGCCGCTTGGCACAATGGCAGGGCAAATTTTGTGACGCGAAAGATTAGTTTCGTTGTTCCCTTTCAATACCGAAATGTTTGAATATGGTGAGCTTCATAACATCAGAAGAGCCTCACTGGATCAAGCTAATGGCCTGCCTGATAAATGTGCCCAATGTACTTTTATGGACACATTTTGGTGCATAACCATTCTACAGAGGGAGAAGATTCTTTCTCTTCTACTGTTTCCCCCACAGTGAGATGCTTTAGTTTGCCCTAATGAAGTTGGAAACTTTGTTTTGTCCTGATTAAGATTTTCGAGTCACCAGGAAAGCTTGTGAATGGGATTCAACTGCATATTGGCAAATTCAGATTGTACAGTGAAAGTGATTCAGTAAACCGCACACACCCCCATCAGCCTTTTTGCAGCAAGGAAAGTGATGTTAAAACTGGAAAGTGCGACACTAATTACTAGACATTGATGCCATGTAACCTTGCAAACATAGGAATGGATGCCCAATAAACTGTGTTGGGTGTTGTATATAATATTGCAAACTTAGTGCAAACAAAACCGGACAAATACACATTAGACGGGTTGTTTGGAAGTGATCCGTCTGCTTCCATTAAATAGGAATAATAAATAATGCACACAGTGAGCTGTTTTATTTAGGTGGGTTTTTTGTTTTGTTTTTTGCAAACTATGTGCTGGGTAATCCTGGGTTTCCTTGGAAACATAGATTCCTATATGAGAACTCAAAACTTGCATTTTGTGATGTTTTAGTTGACTTGATAAAGGTGCTGCCCTAAGAATGAATTTTAGGTTTCCCCCTCTTAATAAGATCACTCATGGAAGACAACCTTTCCCAATTGCTGAAGTTGTCGGGGGGGGGGGGTGGTAATGGTAAAGCACAACAGGCTGAGGACCAGTGCCCCATATACTGTGCATGCCCTAGAACCTTCTTCACAACTCTGCAACAAAACCACAGACCAACATCCTAATCTAAAGCAAAATTGCAGACTTGAGGGAGAATAGTTACACCTTAGGAAATGCTTCCTGCATCTATATTGTATTTATACTACAACATAAATACCAACCAGTGGGGCCATGGCATTATGGAAAAGGAGAAGGAGCAGAAGAGGGGTTGTGTGTTTGTGAAGCTGAAATATATAACTCTTGTGATATCGCTGACATAGGTCAAAGAGATGATTGCCTAACAAAACCAGTCTCCAAGGTGCCACAGTGTCTTTTATCTTCTGTCTTGATCCTATAATTCCCCCAATTTACTCCTGGCAGCCTATGGGGACTCCAAACTTATTTGGATGATTGCAAAACCATTCCTAATTATAAGGCAAAACTGAGCTAGCGCTGGTTTGGAAGAGATTAGGACAGTCTGGGCATGAGAGGATATTGAGTAATGGAGATATTTCTGCCTTTTAATCCAAAATAAGTAGCTAAAAATATACTTATTTTGATCCTGCTTTGTTTTAAATCTTAATAACTGTGCAGCACTTACTTTATTGATTTATCATACCCATAATTGTTGAACTAGATGGGAGGGTGGTAGATGAACAATGGTATGGTAGCTACTAGCCAGTGCCACCCAAACAGTAAGAGTTGAAGGGTATTTTTGAGTCGGCGTTTTTTTTAGTTAATATGGAGAGAAGACAAATTCTAGCATAATCCTGTTTCTGGAGATAGAACTAGTATGAGCCAGAGGGCAGACTATATTTTTTGTGGATCCTACAACAATAAATTTAAGTTACTTAGTTTTAACGTGCTTTGGGATGCCTAATTATGTACAGAACCAGGCTACAGTTTGTGTAGCTGATTTTTTTAGCCTCAGTTTCCATATTAGAAATCATAGTGGTCTATCTTGTGTGACCGTTGTGAGGAGAAAATCTAAATAACTAATAACTACTTTCGACAGCTTTAGTTCTCATGTTTTTACCCATGTCTGACTTCAAATTCTTCTTTAATCTATCCATGGTCATTACTGCATGGTGTTAAAAGCCTATAATTAATTTGCAAGTGTCAATTTGTTTACATATCTACAACTATGAGCCCTGAACGCTAACAGCAACAACAAAAACCAGCTGGTCAGATAGCAGCTGGAAGTTTTATGTGGGCAAACTTCAGGTGATGTCCACCTCTGCAACCTCCATTCAACAATGAACCCTTCTGTAAAGGGCTATTTCAGAGGGGATTTGGCACCCAAGATTCTCTGTTTTGTGCACCGTGATGACTATGGTCTACCTCCACAGGTGGAAGCAGTATGCCTATGAAAGTCAGTTGTTATGGGGAAAGCGCTGTTGTACTGAGGTCCTTCTTGCGGGCTTCCCATAGATATATAGTTGGCCACTGAGAACACAATGCTAAGCCACAAGTCTGATCCAGCAAGCTGTTCTTACACCATATGGATATATGATTATACAGTATAAAAATCTGAATAAATTATAAATTTAGTGTGACATTCCAAGGCATCACAAAGCTGAGCAGGTGAAAGGATTTATGGATCTAGTTGTAAAATAAGTCCCTCTACATCAAATTTTAAGCTGAACATTGCCCTGTTTTTTGGTTTTGCTCTTCTCCTTGCCGTCTGGGTACTCCTTCCACCCTTGGTTCAGTGCTCCCAGTTTTGGCAATTCTTGTGACCTGTGATATTTGCCAGAGCTTCTGGCTTCTCTGCTTAACTTCAAGTTTCCCTGATGATTAAACTGACAACTGTTTTAACCCCAGCAAAAGATGTGCTCCCAAGCTAGTCTGCTGCTGAATACAGTCAAATTAACCACTTTCTGGACTCTGGCGCTCAGTAGCCATCCAGTCCAAAGGTTTGGAAGCAAGTATTGTGCCACATCCAGTTCTGGTGTGTTAGTTGTACTATACAATTGGCCTAATGACAGATTCCAAACCACCACTGTCTCCCATGGATTGCCAAGACTTTACCAGAATAGCCCCTCTTTGGTTTTCTTCTCAGGGTTGAAAAACGCAAGACAAAAAAATGCACATACTGTACAGGTAAAAGAAACCAGAACTGATATGCCTCAGCCATCTCCTAAATTCCACCATACAACTCAAATAATGTTACAGCTGGTTGCCTATTGTCTCTGTTGGGTTTTTGTTTTGTTTTGTTTTGCATATTGAAGAATTTACATTTTCAACAAGCCTTTTGAGTCTGTATCTGTATTGGATTTCAAACTTTTATTGTTAATCACTTCAGGATGTTTCATGGGTAGCAACAAACAAAAAGGCAGGCAGACATTTCAGGGAGTTTTTGTACATGATGCCCATGTTGTAATGGAATCAAAGTGGAGCTCTCTTCTGCCCACTCTTCCCTTAAACGTGGGCTCAGATAATTTTTCATCTGGGCATTTCTGTCAGTACTTGTTTTATATGGCTAACATTTGCTTTACTGCCTTCTAGATTTATCCATTCTGAAAAGTTCCGGTGGATGAATGGAAGCTGCTGAATGGAATTAGTCAGCCATCCACCTTCAGAGATGGTTGATCTAAGCAAGAGCAAGCTAAGAATAGTGCCTCTCATGGTATGATATGGTACCAGATGCTGTACTCTGTTCTTAAACCCATTCATTATCCCTCCTTGCTGTAGTGTTTCATTCATTCACCTGTAATTTTTCTTTCATGCTATGAAAGTGACAGAAAAGTTCCTTTAGTAGATTGTCCCCAAACTCAGCTTTTTATGCAATTGTAATACATGCACAACCGCCTTCCCCAAACATCTGCTGTAGATGTGGTGGACCTAGCTAGCTGGCTCCGATGGGAGTTGTAATCTCAAACACCCAGAGCCGGAGGGCTCCAGGTTGGGGAAACCTTTGGTGCACATTTTTAGAAACTGATGTCCTTTTATTGGCAGCTAAATCAGCAATAAAAATAGCAGAGCCAACTTAGAAGGCTGGATGAAATGTTCTTAATGGGTGTGCCCTTTCGTGACAGTGGGGAGGCACAGCTGAGGAAACAGGAAAGATCAAATGATACTTGCAGCAACTTTTTCATGGGAGACAGAAAAGGGCCTCCTTTCCACGGGTGTTTTTAATCCCATATAGAATTTACATTTTGCGAACACAGTTCTGCTGCTCAGAACCCTTCACCAGTCAAGTGTGTGGCCTACACTACAGAATGCTCAGGACATTAGTCTCAACTATGCCAAATCTGAAACAAAGGTGCCCTCTAGTGGTGCACATTTTTTCCTCTTCATACATTATTTTTCTAGTTCTTAGGACTGAGCATAAATGACCTCCCATAATTCTCCAATCTTATTTGCAGGCAGCAGACTTGGGAGTGGGGGGCATTTTGTGGAATATTTCTGTGTGCACATGCACACAGAAATTCTACAGTTCAGAGGCAGGAAAAAAAGAAGAAGAAGAAACTCCAAATTTTTATCATAATAACATCCTCATAAATTTCTGCTCCAATCTACTTGGTATGCAGCCTTCAAATAACAAAAACAATACAAGCATGAAAAAGTTGTTTTAAAAGAAGCCTTGAGTACCCAACAATTCCTACACAGATTTAAAAAAAACACTGCAGCTGCTATACTTGCAGGTTTCTGATATATACTGTATTTGCATTTCAAGCATACATGCCATCTGCACCTGGCTTCTAAAATACTATCTGTTGCAGAGCCCAATTCCTCTCCCTCTCTTGCTCTCATCTTCATGCTTCTAGCCCTGCTGTTCCTTATGCCCAGACTAGTCTTGCCTCCCCTGCAATCTCCCTCTTCCTATCTGCTTTCCCCCCTTGGATCCTTTCCTAGACTATCCTACCCTTACCTACTCTATAGCTACTGGGCTCTCCCAAGCCTATCCAAACAGTATAAAACTGTCTCCACCATCACTACCATAGATCACTATTCTGTCATTCTACAGTAGGTCTTTGATATTCAAGAAAGTGGTTAATGTAACAAGTTGTTGTTGGGTTTTTTTAATAAAAAAAATACAAGTGCTTATAAAAACTGCAGATGGCAAGCACTACCTTAAAAGAGGCATCCCCCCTTTTCTCTCGCATGCCTCCTATGCGTGCAATATCTGAAAACAAATTATGCTTCTTGCTTCAGAAATATTGACTTTCCCATATGTAGATTTAATCAACAATTTTATCAACATGTATGAAATAGAACTCAGGGCAGGGCTATGAGGACAGACTTCCTTGCTTCACACCGAGTTATATGGGCAACATAAGTGAGCAGCAACCTGATACACAGTTGGGCATTTAGTTAGTGTTACTATGAAATTCAGGAATAGCCATGGACACAGATAATGGAGGGGGGTCAGGGGGCATTTGCCCCCACCCATAATCAAGTAAATCAGTAAAAATACTAAACTAACCAAGGTTCTGCCCCCTCCTAACATAAAGCCTATCCCCCCCCCAACCATAAATCCTGGCTATGCCCATGGTAATAGCATTTGCAAGGCTGCTCATCTGTGCCAAAAAAATCTCTGGAAAAGCAACTTGTGGTGAAGCCACCAAAGAATCTGTGTGTGAAATAGCTAATTTGACCCTTGCGCACAGGCAGCATGTGACCCAAGCCGTCTAAAAATGCTGCCATCCCACTTTGAGAGTGAATAAGACACACAAAGGTTGGGGGCATGGCTTTCCCCAGCACAGCTCTCGTTTCCTGTTTTCCTAAACCAGTAACAGATGATGCTGGACCAGCTAAAAAAGAAAAGTTGAGAATGATTAAAACCTTTTTTAAAAAAGCAAATGCATCTGACTGCTTCATGAAATGTAGTTAAAAATTGGGGGAACAGCCAACGGCTATCATTCTACTGGCTAACACTTCCCTGGCAGACACTGCTTAGCTTTGTTCAGGCTGCTTGTAGTCATTTATCTGGCGCTGAACTCCCTATGCAAATGGCTGTAGTTTTCCAGAGAATTTTGAGCCTTGCAGATCTTAGCCAGCAGGCATTTCTCAAAGGCTGCTAGCTAGGAAGTAAGGAGTCACAGAATAATGCTGACCAACTGACAGGGAAAGGCCAGTAGAAACGTAAAAAGGACTACAGTACAATGGTTGAAAAATGCTAGGATTCCTTTCCAGAAAACTGGCTGCCTGAAGTGTTTATACTGGCAAAGCAAAATCATAGCAGCATTCACTTTTATGGCTGTTTCATTCCCATGCCACACACATTCGTCTCAAGGCTTCTTTTCCTTCTTTAACTTCCTGGTAGCTTCTAGGTATTGATTTTAATTTTATCTTGTGGTTTAGCTACTTTTGATGCAAAATAAGTAGAACCCCAAGCATCATATTAACAATGCCAGTTTCTAATGAGGGTACAGTTGCTTTGTAAGCATTACATGTCTGCTGATTTCATGAAAGATGGGAGGTGGGCAATTATTTATCTTCAGAGAAGCAAGCGGGGGGTGGACCCTATCCAAACTAAATAGCAGACTGTGATCTTAGGTCTGCTATAGCTCCACAGATGTGCACTGTGCAGTTCCTATATCCACCCTCAGGCATGTTTTGATGCCTGTTACATAGCTGTCAACTTTTCCCTTTTTTAAAGGGGAATTCCCTTATTCTGAAAAGGATTCCTTGCAAGAAAAGGGAAAAGTTGACAGCTATGGCCTGTTTACATTGCAATGTAGAAATTTCCTGTGATAGGAGAAACTAACCTTGGTATCCCCAGTGCCATAACTTGCAAATAAAGAAATGCTAGTGAGATTGATTAACTTTTTAAAAATAGCAATAAAAATTGAAATGCATCTAACTACTTAATGAAAAAGGTACCTTTAGCACAGCAATTGGGAAACCAAGCAAGAGGCATCACTCAACTAACTACCACTTCCTTGGTGCAACCTGGCAACTGTTGCCTAGCACTGTTTTGACTGTTGCTCATGGGCAGCAATCTTGGGCATTATTGTTGCCTTTGCTTTTAAGCAACACATGGCTGATTCACACATGCATGCTCATCCCTTGCTCATCAAGACGCGACTTGCATGTGGGACTGTATCATCACAGATCAAACACAATGCACTTAAGTAGAGGAATTTCACACATTCAGCAATGTGTGCTGACTAATTCAATGGTGGTCAGGAGGACTCAGCCCACTGAAGTCGATGTGCACACATGTTTAGTAACCCTGGCCATCTTAATAGCATGGAGTTATAGTCCAGCAAACAGTTCACCAGCAAAACATATGTATTCCTTGATAAACAACATATAAGGTTGCATTCAGACATGCACAAGAGAAACTTGACAGCAGTGCAATAATACCCATGTCCAGGATAACGGGAAAAGTAACTGAAAATACAATGAAGGTTTGTGGCTGTTTGTACACTAAGGTTTGTAAACTAAAAGTTACAAATTTGGAAGGTGCCCAAGGCTATCTTGATACCAATTCCAGGATCCTACTACCCTACATTCCAACTGGAATCATCTGGAGAGGGAATTTCCCTTATAGGGGATTCTCATATGTGGGTTAACGGATTGTGCGTATTCAATTGCTCCTTTTCTATCCATTAAGTGCAGGAAGCAACTTCTCTGATTGAGCCATTCACATAACATAGTTGCCAGTTCTCACATGTCTGAAAATCACGCAGTGAGAATTGCTGTCATCAGATTCCATTACAGCTATTTGTGCTGAATTGTACATATAGGAAAAAATATGCTCTGAACACCCTGCATGTCACACAAACTAATACACTCTGGTAAGGAGTATAAACACCCATTTCCTTATGCCCTGACCACAAGGTTCCAAGTGGCCTAGCCTGCTTTCTAGCTACTCAAGCAAGACCTCATGTCTTTTTGGCTAATCTTTGCCTCAGTGTCAAATTTGATATTACTTTTTTCCCGTGGTTAGCATCGACATCATTTTTAGGTTAAAAAAAATTAATACTTGGCACAAACCCCTTTTTCTTATAACTGGATATGAATGTGGGAAGTGAGGTTTAACCCTTCCATGTAATCCCCCCCCCAAATCCCTGTGTGCTAGATTAGAAGAAAAAGCTCTGTTGGTCTCTGCTTTTCAGCCCCTTCTCTCTGCCCTTTCTTTCCTCCACCCCTTGTGTTCTCTGCCTCTTGAATAGAAGAATCCCATCAAAACTGATCTTTATTTTCATCACAAAAGTTGGTCTGTTTGTGGGGATTCTATTGTCTTCAGTGCCATTCCTTCCAAGTTAGAATGTTCACAAACATTCCTTGACATCACAGCAACTCAGCCACCCACAGCCAGAGGCTTCAGACATCCACATGCATACAACCCAACACCACCACAAAATCTCTTATTACCTTACAATATAATTTAAAAAATTTGTGGCCTCATATGGTAACACTGTTCCACTCAGTACATGATAACAGACTGCTGCTATTACTAAGTATCTTTTCTGTCATATGTCAAATAACAAAACAAAACAAACAAAAATGTCGGTCTTATTACAATTCACAGCTTCTTCCTTGGAGCAGAAAACTGGAGGAGTTGTAGCACTCATGTTAAAAACTGCAGGCCTCAACTAAACATGTCAACAAATAATGCATTGATTGTTTGGTTTGGACATTTCCAGGAATTACAGCATGGAATTAAATAAGACTACTTTTGATACCACTGTACAAACATAGCCACAGTCACTTTGTTATTTTTTCCAGTGTGGGTCTCTCATCACCTGTGGCAGAAACTCACTGAAACATGGAGGAAAGGATCTCAGGGAACTTTATTACATTTCCTGAAACCGACATCTTCTTCAGTCTCTCATTTAGTATTGTGCTTCCAAAAACAGATATCAGGCCCTTTCTTGACACTGGAGGAAGTCTTGTCAGTCTTGGCTCATTTAGAGGTCAAAGTTTAAAAATTCCACTTAAGGATCAATGGTTTTAAAAAATCAAAATCAAAGTAGAATGTATTTGATATCCGATGGCAAAGGAGGAATTTCATTTGTTTCTCTCTGTCTTAGGACTGGTGGTAGAAAAACAGGATTAGATGCTGCTTCCAGAAGACTGTTGCTCATGAAGATTTGCTTTCAGTTATTTCCATCACTTGTGTGTGTCCTGTTGCTAGACTTAAAAATATTTTCAAAATTGTACTGTAAAACACAAAAGGAACAAGAAATAGTAATAAGAAAAAGAGGCTAAAGACATGCAGAGACTTACTTTCCATCTTCCCTGCTCAGGAAATTACATTCTGCACACACAAAAATTGCATTTGGAAGTTCTTGTCAAGTTCATGTCACGCTTACATTGCAATTGTGCATTCAACAAATTTATAAATACGTAACAGATAAACCAGACTTGTAAATAGCCACACACCTGTCTACTGATTTCTATGCAAAAGTATATAAATGGGATAAGCATCCTCCCATGGATATGAATGGGATCAAAAATGTTTCTTGGCCAAATTATGTTGCACGCATGGATAGGTGAGCTAGTAATTTTTTGTGTGCTTTGGTATTTTTTGTGGACATTCACAAGGCTGGGTAGAATATAAGAGTTAATGCTATCAGGCTCAAACCGTACATGACATTAATCACCCATGTAGCAGAGAAAGTGGGCACAGCAGTTCTTCTGTCTCTTCCATTATACTAGAACTCAGGGTCATCTAATTATTAAACTGATTAGCTGTCAGTTCAGGACTGAAAAGAGAACGTGCTGCTTTGCTTAATACATAATTGCTAACTTCACTAGATTTGCTGCCATAATATCTAGTGATGTCCACTGAGTTAGACTTTTTTTTAAAAGGGCCTTAAAATGGGTTTAATCAAATTCATCAAACAGGTCTAAAAATGCCCATTACTGAAGTTGGCTATATGGAATTAATGTTCAGAGGCATTATCACATTTTTCCTTAAGTCCTATTTCAAGTCTTCAGGCGGAAGAGTCTGCACTGATGTAGCCAAATGGCATAATCCAAGCACAAAGTTTGGGGGAGATTTGCAGCAGTATGAACAACAACAACAAAACCCCTAATGTTGGGCAGGGGACATTCCACATGATCAGCATCATATTAGTCTGAAATGGATACAAGTATGTTTGTTCCTCCCCTTCATGGATCACTGCCTTGCCATGGCGAAGGGGCTTGAATAACTCGGAGAAGCTATGAGCTATGCCGTGCAGGGCCACCCAAGATGGACAGGTCATAGTGGAGAGTTTTGACCAAACGTGATCCACCTGGAGCAGGAACTGGCAAGCCACTCCAGTATCCCTGCCAAGAAAACTCCATGGACAAAGACAAAAGGCATATAAAAGTTATGACGCTGGAAGATGAGCCCCTCAGGTCGGAAGGCGTCCAACATGCTACTGAGGAAGAGCGGAGGACAAGTACAAGTAGATTCAGAGCTGATGAAGCGGCTGGGCCAAAGCCGAAAGGACGCTCAGTTGCGGATATGCCTGGAAGCGAAAGGAAAGTCCAATGCTGTAAAGAAAAATATTGCATAGGAACCTGGAATGTAAGAACCATGAACCTTGGTAAGTTGGATGTGGTCAAAAATGAGATGGCAAGAATAAATATTGACATCCTGGGCATCAGTGAACTAAAATGGACGGGAATGGGCGAATTCAGTTTGGATGACCATCATATCTACTACTGTGGGCAAGAATCCCATAAAAGAAATGGAGTGGCCCTCATAGTCAACAAAAGAGTGACAAAAGCTGTATTGGGATGCAATCTCAAAAATGATAGAATGATCTCGATACGAATCCAAGGCAGACCTTTTAACATCACAGTAATCCAAGTTTATGCACCAACCACTGGTGCTGAAGAAACTGAAATTGACCAATTCTATGAAGACTTACAACACCTTATAGAATTGACACCAAAGAAGGATGTTCTTCTCATTATAGGGGATTGGAATGCTAAAGTAGGGAGTCAAAAGATAAAAGGAACAACTGGCAAGTTTGGCCTTGGAGTTCAAAACGAAGCAGGGCAAAGGCTAATAGAGTTCTGCCAAGAGAACAAGCTGGTCATCACAAACACTCTTTTCCAACAACACAAGAGACGACTCTACACATGGACATCACCAGATGGGCAGCATCGAAATCAGATTGATTATATTCTCTGCAGCCAAAGATGGAGAAGCTCTATACAGTCAGCAAAAACAAGACCTGGAGCGGACTGTGGCTCAGATCATCAGCTTGACAACCATATGTCAGGAGTGCTCTGATGGTGTTTCCTGCTTGGCAGGGGGTTGGACTCGATGGCCCTTGTGGTCTCTTCCAACTCTATGATTCTATGATTCTTATAGCAAAATTCAAGCTTAAACTGAAGAAAGTAGGAAAAACCACTGGGCCGGTAAGATACAATCTAAGTCAAATCCCTTATGAATACACAGTGGAAGTGAGGAACAGGTTTAAGGATTTAGATTTGGTGGACAGAGTGCCTGAAGAACTATGGATGGAGGCTCGCAACATTATACAGGAGGCAGCAACGAAAACCATCCCAATGAAAAGGAAAAGCAAGAAAGCAAAGTGGCTGTCCAACGAGGCCTTACAAATAGCGGAGGAGAGAAGGCAAGCAAAATGCGAGGGAGATAGTGAAAGATACAGGAAATTGAATGCAGATTTCCAAAAAATAGCAAGGAGAGACAAGAAGGCCTTCTTAAACGAGCAATGCAAAGAAATAGAGGAAACAACAGAATGGGAAGAACCAGAGATCTGTTCAAGAAAATTGGAGATATGAAAGGGACATTTCGTACAAAGATTACCATAATAAAGGACAAAAGTGGTAAGGACCTAACAGAAGCAGAAGACATCAAGAAGAGGTGGCAAGAATACACAGAGGAATTATATCAGAAAGATATGGATGGCTCGTACACCCCAGGTAGTGTGGTTGCTGACCTTGAGCCAGACATCCTGGAGAGTGAAGTCAAATGGGCCTTAGAAAGCACTGCAAATAACAAGGCCAGTGGAAGTGATGGTATTCCAGCTGAACTACTTAAAATTTTAAAAGATGATGCTGTTAAGGTGCTACACTCAATATGCCAGCAAGTTTGGAAAACTCAGCAGTGGCCAGAGGATTGGAGAAGATCAGTCTACATCCCAATCCCAAAGAAGGGCAGTGCCAAAGAATGCTCCAACTACCGCACAATTGCACTCATTTCACATGCTAGCAAGGTTATGCTTAAAATTCTACAAGGAAGGCTCAAGCAGTATATGGACCGAGAACTCCCAGAAGTGCAAGCTGGATTTAGAAGAGGCAGAGGAACCAGAGACCAAATTGCAAACATGCGCTGGATTATGGAGAAAGCTAGAGAGTTCCAGAAAGACATCTACTTTTGCTTCATTGACTATGCAAAAGCCTTTGACTGTGTCGACCACAGCAAACTATGGCAAGTTCTTAAAGAAATGGGAGTGCCTGATCACCTCATCTGTCTCCTGAGAAATCTCTATGTGGGACAAGAAGCTACAGTTAGAACTGGATATGGAACAACTGATTAGTTCAAAATTGGGAAAGGAGTACGGCAAGGCTGTATATTGTCTCCCTGCTTATTTAACTTATATGCAGAATTCATCATGCGAAAGGCTGGGCTGGATGAATCCCAAGCCGGAATTAAGATTGCCGGAAGAAATATCAACAACCTCAGATATGCAGATGACACAACCTTGATGGCAGAAAGTGAGGAGGAATTAAAGAACCTTTTAATGAGGGTGAAAGAGGAGAGCGCAAAATATGGTCTGAAGCTCAACATCAAAAGAAGATCATGGCCACTGGGCCCATCACCTCCTGGCAAATAGAAGGGGAAGAAATGGAGGCAGTGAGAGATTTTACTTTCTTGGGCTCCATGATCACTGCAGATGGTGACAGCAGTCACGAAATTAAAAGACGCCTGCTCCTTGGGAGAAAGGCGATGGCAAACCTAGACAGCATCTTAAAAGCAGAGACATCACCTTGCCAACAAAGGTCCGTCTAGTTAAAGCCATGGTTTTCCCAGTAGTGATGTATGGAAGTGAGAGCTGGACCATAAAGAAGGCTGATCGTCGAAGAATTGATGCTTTTGAATTATGGTGCTGGAGGAGACTCTTGAGAGTCCCATGGACTGCAAAAAGATCAGACGCATCCATTCTTAAGGAAATTAGCCCTGAGTGCTCACTGGAAGGACAGATGGTGAAGCTGAGGCTCCAATACTTTGGCCACCTCATGAGAAGAGAAGACTCCCTGGAAAAGACCCTGATGTTGGGAAAGATTGAGGGCACAAGGAGAAGGGGACGACAGAGGACAAGATGGTTGGACAGTGTTCTCGAAGCTACAAACATGAGTCTGACCAAACTGCGGGAGACAGTGGAAGACAGAAGTGCCTGGCGTGCTCTGGTCCATGGGGTCACGAAGAGTCGGACATGACTAAACGACTAAACAACAACATGTTTGTTCCTGGGAGGAAAATAGCAGCTGTTGGGGTGGGCAAATTTGGATTAAGAAAATAGTGGCAGGGGTAGGGTTAAGTCTTCATCTCCCAGTGCCACCACCCTGACCTGAATCCCTCCCCCTACCTAAAAACCCCCACACAAAACCTTTAGGATATCCAACCACAGATCTTCAGGTGTCACTACTAGCCTCTCAAATGTGCACTGATGCATTGGCTTCTACCATAACAGATTTATACAGAATGTGTTATTATGTGTTTCAGACTGGTGGTATTTTTCTACTCCCCATTACATTCACTAACCTTGCACAATAATCTCATCTGCACCAGGACTTCTAGGAGTGCAGTGTGCTGGTCTTCAACACCCTTGCCGGCAGCAGAAAGCATAAAAGAGGTAATAACGTAACAGTAGCTGGTCACCTATTTCCTCCAAAATTAAGTGACCAGTGTTTAATCTTTCCTGCAAGGCATATGAGCAAACCTGGCACAGAGGTCTATTGTACAGCAGCATATAAGTGCCTTCGTAGCTCTACAGATGCAGATGTGTCTATAAATTTTTGCTTTAGCAATCTTTCCAAAAAGAGGGGTTAGGGATTGTAGCCATTCCTATGGTGAACGCATTGCCTGCACAGATACTGCAAGTTCTTTATATTTAAGTTCTTAGAATGAGTCTTTTTGCTTAATGTGTTACATCCAACATCCGAAACATATTGCTTTGTTGGTTTTTGATGTCATTTGATGTCCATGTCCTGTGTTGGGAGTCCTTGGGTATAAGAAAGCTAATTGGTTGTTGCAAAAGTAGGCTGGGTGGATAAGAGCAAAGCACAATAGAGGAACAGCCCCCTCCTTGCTGGAAAACTGATGGCTTTCAGGATGACAAAAGATGGATACTAGGCAGCTGGTGAAAACTAGGTATTGATGGTCACCTGTGACACCTGTAGTATTTTTAGCTTGGAGATGGAAAAACCATCACTGAATAACTCACAAGCTCCATCTGGGCTTAGGCAATTAGCTCAAAAGACAGGAGTTTTGATTTAAGTGCATGTTGTCACAAGACAGAAATACTGTCAAGTTGTAGATTATTAGGGAATGATGTCTGTCTGTCAAGGAATGGAAGCAAGATTGCACAAGGCCATTTCCCTTAGCTGAGTAAGATAAGAACTCTACATATATAAATTCCCTCACATTCCACTTTCAGAAAAAGGAAAACCTTTATCGTAAAAACGCAAACACTGCCAAATGCAGAAATCACATTCCTTTGCCTACAAGGGGCGCGTCCCTGTGTGCCAGAGCTAGTTCCAGTGTCCACTTAGCTCAATATCCAAAGCACTGTCTTCATTAATAGCCATAGATCTCATTTTCTACCCAGGCTGATTCTTTGCTTCGCCCCACTCGGTCATTGCACAGTTCGTATATGTCATTGGTGACAAATCCACTTTCAGTGCTGGCCAAAGTCACAAAGCCGCTCTCTGAGGTGTTGACAGCCATATTGTCATAGTCCCCAGAGAGGTCATCGGGAGTATCTTCTCCAGGACGGGCCCGGAAAGAAGAGTTCTTAATGTCTGGTCTGGTCCTAGCGAGATCTGTTTCTGACTGTTTTCTGATTACATTGTATATCTCCAAACTGGGGCTGTTCGGTCTCTTGGGGGACAGCCAGGTATCCTGTTCCTTTGCGTTCATCTCCGTTTGCTCCCGTCTCCTTAGAAGGGAAATAAATAAAAAGGTATTAGCTTCCTTTTATCTTCCACTGGACCACAAAACACTTACTAAGAAACTAATCTAGTGTTGTTAGTGCAGAGAAAATGTGTGTACACAAACAAACACACACACACAAAAACCACACACACACACGGTCTGTGGCCACATAAAGGACGAGAATACTTCAGGTATGGTCAGATTTGTTTACTGTTGTATGTAGTGGCACAATCCAATCTGAACTTAGCAGTAGCAGGAAAAAGAAAGGTAATAATAACTGCAGGCAAGAAATTAACTTCCTTTATCCAAAAGTAGAATTTTACCCTGGAAGCACATACAAGCTAGCAACAGGAAGGACACCTAAATGTGATAGCAGCAGATGTTTATGTGTGTGCACATTTGTTAACTTAACATGCCCCCTTCTCAAAATAATGTTTATTCATTAATTAAATCTATATCCCACCCTTCCTCCCAGAGGAGCCCAGGGCAACAAACATCAACACGTTAAAACAATACAATTTGAAACAGAATAAAAATGAACATATTTAAAGCATTTTAAAATAGCTTGAAAGCCACCAAAAACATTTCATTCCAGATGTGTGTAATAGTAATTTCACTGAGGTTCTTACAGTCTGTTCACATCCCTCCTCTTCCATTACAACCCCACTCCCAGTTTTGTTCTACATTCGTTCACACTGCCCCTTGGTCCTGATCAGATGCTCTCTATGACAGCGTATCATAAAGCCTCGTGCTTTGCCCCATATTGTGACTTGCCTCTTTGCATAAAGCCAAAAGCTGAAAATGGCTGTGATGACCACGAGGAGAAGCAGAACAGGAATGCTGGGGATTAAGAAGTAGGCAAGGCTCCAAACAGGCTCTGTTGAGGGGGGAAAGATACTCTAACTTTCAGTGGAAAAATTAACAGGCATTACTTTTTCATGCAGTTATTACACTCCAGGTTCTTTGTGCATAATTTTTCCTATTTCCTTTTAACTTTAGCAATGGGGGCAGGAAGAGAGGATATAATTAGCACAAGTATCAGGATGTTTTAATTATCTCTGCTGTGGTGTTCTCCAGGAAATCAAATGTTGCATTACAGTCTGTGGTAATGAATGACAGTGCCTACCTTTAGCTTCTTTGAATGTTTTATTGGTTGCAACTTCAGGAATGGGTTCTTCTGGGGATGTGGGTGCAAAGGTCTCTGTTGCAGCTCCTAGGAAAGGAATCTGGCTATTACAACTCTCATAGCTGTCAACTTTCAGATTTGAAAATAAGGGATCAGCAGCCTCACCGGTCCCGGGGACAGTCTACGGGATATCTAACAATCCAGGATAGCAGCAGGAAGCAGCGGGAAACGGCGCTGGAATAAGGGAATTTCCCGCAAAAAAGGGGGTTGACAGCTATGCAACTCTACAGGAGAATGGCTTCATTGCACTGTACCTTTTAAAACAGTATCATGCCAATTTAAGCAGTCATAGCTTATTCCCAGAGAATCCTGGGAACTGTAGTTTGTTAAGGGAGTTGCAGGCAGTTGTTAGAAGTTGACCGGGGAACACTCTGGGAACTGTAGCTGTTATTTGGAACAGAATCTATACCATGCGCTCAACTTTTACTGATGTGAAATTTACCTGCTTGAGAGGTGTTAATTTCAGAGGCAGCTGTTGGCTTTTCTGCAAGGGAAAAAACAAACAGACATACATTTTGTCACCAGGAGAAATCTAATCCCACTCCCCCAATGTTTGGACTTATCCATGGAAGTTCTTGGCACATTTGATATTGTGCCCCAGAAGTTTAGTTAAGTAGACCATTTTTGGAAACGGCTTGCAACTTGTCACTGAAACCATTTTTCTGTTTCCCTTGTCATTTCATCGTCTTCAGATTTTTTCGGTGCCCAATGGTGATACTTAAAAGTCTTAACCTGCATCCTCTCTAAGGGTGGCTCTCGAGAAGGCTATGGTTCCATACGATTCCCTTCAAGGTTTCTTGATGTTCCTATGCGCAACATCTTTAAGTTTGTGGCCAGTGAATGCTAGAGGCACATTATTGTACTGCACATTGCAAATTCCATCAAAGCTGTGAGAACTAAGCCTCACAATACAGTACAGTGGTACCTTGAGTTACATACACTTCAGGTTACAGACTCCGCTAACCCAGAAATAGTACCTCGGGTTAAGAACTTAGCTTCAGGATGAGAATAGAAATCATGCTCCAGAGGCGTGGTGGCAGCGGGAGGCCCCATTAGCTAAAGTGGTGCTTCAGGTTAAGAACAGTTTCAGGTTAAGAACGGACCTCCGGAATGAATTAAGTACTTAACCCGAGGTACCACTTTATCTTCTTCTGAGTTGGAAACTGTTAAAAAAAACCAAGTGGAAGAGGAAGGGGGCACAGAGTGTGAAGAAAGAGCTGTGAGTGGAGGGTGGCCTTTCCTCTTCCTTTAGACCTCCTGGGAAATGCATCAAACCTGCTGTACCTGGAACTGAGTGTGGAGAGTACAGCTGAATGGCACACAGCTGTGGGCAGCCTGAGGAAGTGCCATCCACTTTGGGCCTGCCCATAAAAAGCAAGTCTAGAATGAGAGCCTAGGGTGATGTCCTCTGTTTCCAGGAGCTCGTTTTCTTGTGAGACTTTTGTGGGGAGCTGAGAGTTTGTTTGGACCCTGGGTGAGAACCCTGAGGCTGAGAGGGAGGGTGTGTCAGAAGGGGGGAAAAGCCCTGATATTGATTTATATATATTAGTAACTCTGTATTAATGTAACATTTTTATATGTACCTGTAACTTGGAATTTTAGTAATATTTTGTTAACCTTTTCTGTTGTTGCTTTTTTTTGGTATGCTGCTTAGAGATATTTTTAAATATATTAAGCAGTATAGAAATTGAATAATCATTCAAGCAATAACCAAATACTGTATACATTGAGTTCAGAGACTGCCCCAGTAGCATTTCCCTTTTAATGCCTGTTGCAGTGCTGAGAAAACTGACTATATGGAAGGATGCTGGATTTTTTCAAAACTGGAGAGACATCACAATATACAGATATATGTTATTAAACATTCTTGGTTCCAGTTCTTTCAGTTAAGGCCAAAGGACATAGGATGTTCATTCCACAACCGCAAAAGATAAAGTCCATAATAAGCAAGTTAACTCTTAAGACTCCATAACACAAGTAGACATGGCGTTTCACGACACATTCCCAGGCATTCATGTATCCCTTTGTGGCGTTTGCCCTCCCATGTGTGTGACATCATACTGGGTTCATAGGGAAAGGGTTAAGTAATTGTAAAATGACTAACTAATGGGAACCCAAGGGGCAAAGTTAACTGTGTATAAGGTTTAAGCACAGAGAGAATTTGTTAAGAGGAGTTAGAGTTAGAGTGGTTGAGAAGACAGTCTGGAGTTAGACGAGACAGAGAAGATAAGTCTTTGGGTTGGGCTAGTCTGGTGTGAGAGAGTGAGAGAATTTGTTAAGAGGAGTCAGTCAAACAGTTGAGATAATCCGTCAGAAGGTATTAGGAAGGTATAGGCAGGTAAAGAAACTAAAGTTAAGATACTGACAGGAATATTATCTGAGAAACCATAAACTTGTTAATGTTTGTAAAATAAACTTTTTCTTTTGGTTCACTTTTAACAACTGACTGGACCCAGTGTTTTACCAGAGAGTAACTGGTTGGTGGCAGCAGGGAAGTGATCACAGTGGTGGCACAGGGATCAATAGACCATTAAACGTCCAGGGACCCTGTGTGATCGCCACACCCTTCATTACTAGAAGTCTCCCACACCACAAATGACCAGCCCCTGAGCCGAATTGCACATCTCAGGATATGGACTCCGTTACCCTGGGGATATTTGCAGATGAAGTTGTTTTTCATGCTGCAGCTGTCATCATTCCACTGAAACATATATGGTCCCCCATCGCCTGCAGGTGCTGAGGGCTGGTGGTACATCACAACACAGACTTCACTTCCACAGGAGGGCTCGTCTGCGTACCAGTTTCTGTGGAATCAAAGAAAAACATCAGGCGAATTGTTTCTCCTTGCCAGGAGTTCTCCCCATGAAGGGCATTTCGCACAGCAGAGAAATACATGGAAGGAAGCAAATTCACTTACAGCACCTTTTGACTTTGTACCTGCCTCTCTAGCTATTCACGTGAATGTGGAGGGGGCAGATGTCAGGGACAGCAAGGCTAGAAGCAGGAATCCATAGCTCTGTGCACAGCTGCCCCCCCCCCCAATGATGAGCCAGGGGAGCTTAATAATAATAATAATAATAATAATAATTTGTACCCTGCCCATCTGGCTGGGTTTCCCCCAGCCACTCTGAGCAGCTTCCAACAAAGATTAAAAGTACATTAAAATGTCACACATTAAAAACCTCCCTGAACAGGGCTGCCATCAGATGTCTTCTAAATGTCAGGTACAGTGGTACCTCGGGTTAAGTACTTAATTCGTTCCGGAGGTCTGTTCTTAACCTGAAACTGTTCTTAACCTGAAGCACCACTTTAGCTAATGGGGCCTCCTGCTGCTGCCGGAGCACGATTTCTGTTCTCAACCTGAGGCAAAGTTCTTAACCTGAAGCACTATTTCTGGGTTAGCGGAGTCTGTAACCTGAAGCGTATGTAACCTGAAGCGTATGTAACCCGAGGTACCACTGTAGTTGTTTATCTCTTTGACGTCTGATGGGAGGGTGTTCCACAGGGCGGATGCCACTACCAAGAAGGCCCTCTGCCTGGTTCCCTGTAGCTTTGCTCATCGCAATGAGGGAACCGCTAGAAGGCCCTCAGCGCTGGACCTCAGCGTCCGGACAGAACGATGGGGGTGGAGACACTCCTTCAGGTATACTGAAGGAGGCCGTTTACAGGTTGAAGCATCTCCCTAAACAGAAAATGGATCCTAGGTACTGGAGGAACTCCACTGACCCAGGCAGGCCATTGGCTGTCCTCAACAGGAAGTGCTATGGAGGCTTCCTGTTTAGGCGGGCAACATAGGAAGCTGACTTTTGGTCAGACTATTAGTCTATCTTGCTCAGTATTGTCTACACTGACTGGCAGCAGCTTCCCAAGTTTGCAGGCAGGGGATGCTCCGAGCTCCACCTGGAAATGCCAGGAATTGAATCTGGGACCTTCTGCAAGCAAAGCAGATGTTCTACCAGTGGGCTATGCCCTTCCCCAGACCAATGGTTCATCTAGCTCTATGTTGTCTACACAGTGATTCGCAGTGGCTCTCCAAGGATTTTTAAAATGGGGTGTTCCGAGTCCTACCTGGAGATGCTAGGGATAAAACCAGGGACCTTCTTCATGCAAACCAAATCCTCTATCCCTCCACCTGATTGTCATTCAGGCAGGCAGCCTTGCTGTATTATTTTTGGCATCCGTTAAAAACATTTTTGTTTAGACAAACCTATCTGGTTATGTAGAATGTTTGCAAGGTTTTAAGCTTATCATTGATGTTAATTATTATTTGTATGTTTTAAATAACTGTTTTTTCACTGACAATGTTATTATTTTATTCTTTCTGTAAGCCACTTTGAGGTCTTTTATTATCAAATGGTATATACATTTTATGAAGCAATACATAAATAATACCCCTGAATTACAGCCCATGGGATTTGTCTTGGCCATAAGCCTTCCCTGGCTGAACCCAGATACTCATAGTGCTAACAGAGGATAGGCAAACGGATTTAGCCCCTTTCACAGTCCAAAGAAAGAACACTTGTGCAAGTTTTTCCCTTGCCATAATTCTTGTTATTGGTTATATCAGCAGGATACAAAGCTGGATGGGTCCCCGTTTGGTCACTGATGTTCTGGTACACAAATTTTATTGGTTGATGTTGGTCACATAGGATAAAGCCACAACTATGCCAGAAAGTAAAGGGTGTGGCAGCTGCTTGCACTCCTAGCATGGGCCTGAAGTCCCAGTTTGGTACTGTGAGCTGTGGGAAGGTTCTCTGGAAGGGTTAGCACCATTCCTACCAGGAAACCTGTTATGCAATAATAGGTTGAGCTCTTGACATCCTTGACACACAGGTGTACCTAAGCCAGGAAAGCAAAACACAATTATGGCCTAAAGAAATTCTCTGGGGCTTTGGATTGAAACACCAATGCTTTTTTCAAAAGGTAGAACTTATTTAGAAATGGGTAGGAATCTGATGAATTAATATGTTTAATTTCATAAAGTGAAGATTTAAGGATGTTAATGTTTAAGTTAAATTTTATAAGAATTGTGATTTGGGAAACCATTAAAAGGATATGCAATGAAATTCAACTAAGGGGAAGCGGGGAAGTCACTTAACACAGTTAATAAGTGTAATTTTCAATAAGGCTATGATTTATGTTTGTTTGTCTTATGTGTTTGTTTATAATATTGTGAAAACCAATAAAAATTTTTTGAAAAAATATATATAAATGGGTAGGAATCTCTATTCAGAACACTTAATAATTTTGTTTGACTTGCTAACTTCATGAAGGAACTCATACTTCTGTACTGAACATGTGGACTTACCGAAACGTGGACAAACTTCCATCTGACCAAGAGTACAAGTTTGGGCATTCAGTGCTGTTGTCAGGATCTGATTCTCTCCTAAGCCCTATCCAGAAGTCGCCATCTGACGCTGAAAAGCTCCCAATCATCTTCTCAATCAGTTTCTGTTCTGACTGTGTTTCTATACTGACTAGGTCTCCTCCATCTCTCCTACAGGCCTGAAGAGCTTCTTTAAAGCCAACCCTGCGTACAACATTATGTAAGTAAACGATCTTGTAGCACGGGCGTTGGGTTCCTCCACGGCAAATGGCATGTCCTGAGGAAGACCAAAAAGGGGGGGAAAAACCATTAGCAAACCAGCAGGAAAAGGTAGCCAATACTTCTCCCATGATGAGTTTTGTGCTGCATGGAATTTCTTTCCACTAACTCACATTAGCACTCATAAAACTAACATGAACTGGAATTAAGAACACCTACTTGCATATTATGGCCAGTCTAACCACATTTCCATTGACTGAAGTTGAGGAACACACTGCTGTCCTATTTTGGCCAGATACAAAAATGAGTGCCAGCCATAATTCTGTTGGTATGAGGGCTCAGAAAGAACTAAAATTTTGTACAGTGGTACCTCAGGTTAAGTACTTAATTCATTCCGGAGGTCCGTACTTAACCTGAAACTGTTCTTAACATGAAGCACCACTTTAGCTAATGGGGCCTCCTGCTGCTGCCACGCCACCGGAGCACGATTTCTGTTCTCATCCTGAAGCAAAGTTCTTAACCCGAGGTAATATTTCTGGATTAGCGGAGTCTGTAACCTGAAGCGTATGTAACCCAAGGTACCACTGTATTAGGTGAAAGCTTCTTATCACAAAAAATATTAACTAAACTAGTTCATATTAAGGCTCATTCAATCTCAGAATTTGTGTTATGAAATTTCCATACAGGCTGTAGCTCAATAGTAGAATTGTCATGGTCTGGCAGGATGCTGAGTGGTGGGAGGCACCAGCTGGGGAACCCCCAAGGGAAGAAGCCTCAGAGGCCGGGGAATGGTGGTGGGATGATGCTGAGTGGTCAGAGGGAGGAGAGGGAGCCGACTGGGAGGAGGAGGTTTAGTGAAGGGGCAACAGGGTTTAGTGAGCAGGAAGAGGCTGGGACAGAGAACAGTCCAGAATCAGAGGCTGAAGAGGAGGCTGGAGAGGAAGGGGACCAAGAGGCAGAGATGAAGCTGGCTGCTGAAGAAGCCAGGGGGTCTCTCCTTCCTCCTGTGGCCAGTTCCCCCCACCCCTGGTCTTCCAGAACCAGAAGAGGTATGAAGTGAGAGGAGCAAATACACACAAGGCACCGAAGTCTCATATCGTTTGGGGGATGACTTAGGGAGATGTTTGGAACTGCCTTACTTGGGCAAGATCTATTGGGGAGAGTTGCAATGTTCACTAGGCCTGGCCTCCTGAGTTGTTTTGTTTGAATAAAGAGAGTTAACTTCACTGACACCGTGTGAGTTATTGCGGACCTGCTCCTGAAAACTGCCCTGACAAGAATTCATGTAGAAGGTTCAGTCCCCAGCATCTCCAGGTAGGACTGCAAAAGACTCTTGTTTGAAACCCTGAAGTGCCATTGGCAATGTATGTGGACAATACTGAGCGAGGCGAACTGATGGTCTGGCTCTTTATAAAGCTGCTTCCTATAAACCTATATCATCAGCCAATCTCTGCCTCGTGAATTTCACAATGTGACTTTTATATAAAAAGATAGGGAACGCAACGACCACATCCGAGTAAATCATTTTAATTAGTATTTTATGTCCACATTTATCCAGTGCAGAGTCAAGTGTTCTGTTTTAAGAAGCCAACCATGGAACATGTATTTCAGGACAGGATGTTATAAACCCCTATGATGCAAAGTGGTGTTTCATTTTGAGAGAGATCCTTGTGTTTCTATTCGTCCTTAAATGTACAAAACAAAAGTTTACAGCACTCCATTCCAAGGTCCTTAATACAGCACAGTAATTCGACTGCATGGGATTCCAATGTCTTGACTGCAGATGGCATACAAGTTAAAATGCTGAGCACAGCAAAAACAGTCTAGTCACCATCGATAATCTGACCAACATGCATCTCTGATGAAACACAAAATACATTACCTCTCTGAAGAATCAGATCCGCAGCTGTGAGGCAATGGGAAGAAGAGAAAAAGCACATCACTTATAAAATTGGCAATGACCAGGACTGCAGAATATCCAGCCCTTAAGAGTGGGCTGCTTTGAGGTAGCTAAAGTTTTTGCAACAACCTGGCAATTGCCTGCATTTTATCAGCAAAATTTGAAGTTATTTTTAGCCAAGGAATGCAATGCAGTTGATTGCAGGCCGGGCACTGCTACAAGTCAACTTGTCCAACCAGTGATCTCACTCTCCTGCATACTAGAGATGAGTCCATGAAACTAAAGGTGCTTAGTTATTAAGTAAGGTGTTGATTTCAATCTGATTAGCCCTTAATAAATATAGCTAAGATTCTAACCAATTTCTCTGCCGCATCAATATGTTAGGCATTTTTAGTGCAAAGAGGTAGAATCAGAGGCCCAAGTTCAAAACCCTACTTAGAGCTGCTTTACATCTTGCACAGTGGCTAGATCACACTGGTGTTCAGTGCAACACAAACTGCAAGAGTGGAGGGCAGATGGGTGCTCCAAAACAAGTACAGTGGTACCTGTAGATGTGAACGGGATCCATTCCGGAGCCCAGTTCGCATCTAGAAGCAAACGTAACCCGTGTCCGCGCGTCTGCACGTGTCACATTTCGGTGCTTCTGCGCATGACGTCATTTTGAGCATCTGCGCATGCGCAAGCGGTGAAACCCAGAAGTAACGCGCTCGAACGCGCTCATCCCGAAGCAAATTCAACCCGAGGTATGACTGTAGTGGATATGCACCAGAGATCCATGGCCAATCATAGCTCTTTGAGCAAGTCCCTGAACGTTTAGGAAAGCATGTCTGTCCGTCAGGTGTTTCATATCTGCTGCAAAACACACTAGCAAACACCTTATTAATGACTCAGACAAATAATATGAAATAGTTCTGCAAAACAGCAGCATAGTTTAATACAGTGATGGGAGGCCTGAGTTCGAATCCCATTGTAACCAAGGCCTTGCATAGCTCCCACTCTCTCTCCCCAATCTTCTGTAAAATGGGAACAATAATGTCGTGTCATCTACGTTTTTGATGAGGATAACTAAGGCCTGCAAGTTGTTTTGCATGTGAAAAGTAATTAGCGCTAGAATAGCAAACATGTGGTAACCATCAATCACGTGGCAGTATATTAACATGTTAGTTTCACAATGAAATCATAACATGTCAATTGAGGTGGGGGACAATAATATGCCATGCACAAAGTTGCACACCTTCAATTACACACACAACACCCTAGCAGAAGTTGCTTTATGAGTTTTCCAAGACACATTAAATTGGAGCACGTGTGGGACTGATTCTACATGCCAAAACCATAAAGTGTGTCCCCAATGGTAATATGAACTGGTTATGTGTCTGGCCCTCATTAATGCAAAAGAAAAGAATGGTTGGAAATGCCTGTAGCATTAATAAAAGAAAAAGAAAAACAGGTACCTTTTGAAATACAAATACTTGTTCAGGTAATTGAGTGATTTTATTATGCTTTATTGTATGACTGAGATGTGTATTTTGTTTTTGTTTTACATTGCTTACATGATTCTGCAGCAGCCTAGAACAGATAGGAGCACTTATAGCTGGGGGGGGGGGGGTGAAGGAACAAGCAAATCCAGACAAAGCAGGCCTGACTAGTACAGAACAAATGGAAATTCTTTGGCAGTATTTATTTTCAGACAGTCTCCACACTTAGAGTGGGGAAAGAGTTTATTTAAAGGGTCTCAAGGGGGTGGGGAGAAATACACACACACACACATATACTGTATATGTACGTGTATATATATATATATATATATACACACTGTGTGTGCGTGTATACACATACACACACCAAATATATATATATTTCTAGGCCAGCTAGAAATATTGTGCAGTGGGCTGCCCACATCACAACAGTATTTTAAGCATCCTCTTAATATATATATATCCCACTGCACAATATTTCTAACTGGCCTTGCCTGTGGAACCACTATGGTTGTTGCCAAAAGAAGTCTTGGTTTCTGAATGGCACTGGAGCTCTTAAACCTCCAGCTTAAAGCCCAGTATAGGCTGTAGAAGAAGCGATAGCTCATTTGCTCTGCATGCAGGTCCCTGGTTCAAGCCCTGGCACCTCCCAGCAGGGCTTACAGAGCCCTCTGTCTGAAACCCTGGAGAGCCACTGCCAGTCACTGTATAGAAATTACTGAACTGGATGGTCAGATTCAGCATAGGGCAGCTTCCTATGCCAGCTTTAGTAGTAAGGGTTTTTTTTTGGGGGGGGAGGGGAAAGCTATAGTGACTCAGTAGTGATAAATAAGCATTCTAAGCGAGCTCAGAAGCATTTCTCCTTGATGGGACTTCATGGTTTGCAGGTCCCAGGTTCAGTCACCAACATCTCCAGTTCACAGGGCCAGTTTTAAACAAGGACAACACCTTCCTGCAACTGTGGAAACCTGCTACCAGTCGGAGCAAACAATATAGGCTAGATGGACCAATAGCCTGACTCACTAGAAGGCAGCATCATATAAACAATATCCATTTTGCACAAGGGCACCATCAGGGCAGGATGCTGGGGCAGATCAGCAGAATGATCAGGAAATGCCCCAGCTGAAGCCAGACTGGCTAACCACCCTTTGAAGTAAGCGAAGCAATGCCATCTAAAGAGAGATGCCCCATAAGTCTATTCTGCCCAGAGTTTAAAATGACTGAACTTAACCACTGCTTTTGGACGGGAGCGCAGATGAAGAAGAGCATACAACACCAGCCCCTGCAGCTCACAAAGATTCTCAGGAGCAGACCACCAGCTGAAATAGACACCACGGGGCCAGCTTTTTTCATAGAACTGTAGAGCTGGAAAGGACCCTGAGGATCATCGTAGTCCAGCCCACTGCAATGTAGGAATATGCAGCTGTCCCACACGGGGATCGAACCTGCAACCTTGGCATTATCACCATCATAGTACAGTATAACCAACTGAGCTACCCAGCTTGATACAGTGAAAGCAGCTTCGTATCATTTCTTCCAGCACTGATCCCCAGAACTGAAACTAGGGTCCTGGGCATCTGACTCATGTTAAGTCTCCCTAAGATTTAAGGGTGCCGGGTTGAGAGAGATCTGTGAAGCTGGCAACCCATCTCTTCCCCCCTCCCACCATGCCAAAGCAGCAAAGCATCTGCCATAGTGCCTTCCCCTGTTGGGGCAGCCCCATTCTGCACCCCCCCTTCTGCTGTGTCCGGAGCTTTAGCAGTCCAGAGCAGAGCCTGGAAGGGATCCCAGGTTCTCCGCTGCAGAGACAGACAGGGTCTCCGCTACACTTGGGTGTTGAATCGCACACAACTTTTTGCAGAAAGCTCTACCATCGCCCACCCCCCTCCTTCCGCGAAAGAAAACCCCTGTCTCATTTAGTCCACCCACAACCCACTGTAGAGAAAGCAGTAAGCTGCTGAAGATGAGGCCACCCATATCAGCTGGGTCGTCTCTGGGGTGCCATCAACATTTTCCTGGGCGCAGTCCTGCAAACAACTTTGGCAGCGCATAGCCCCTGGCTTTCGATGGGATGGAGACTGCCAAACCACACAGCCAGGACTGCATACTTTGGTTGCCTCCCTGCCTCTAGAAACAGATACGAAAACTGGCCGGCCGTTGGTCCCGCTTTTCTCACGCAGAAGGACCACCCCCCACCACCACCCTCCATTTCTGGGAGGGGAAAGCTCTGCACCTTCACAACCGGCCTGCTTCTCGTGGCAGCAGCAGCAGTAGCATTTTTGTGTGCGCATTAATAAAAGTGCCATCAGGAGGGGGGGGGGTTAGCCCCCACCTTGGGCACCGCTGAAGCTGCTCTTTCACCCACTGTTCTCTCTCCAACACAGAATCTTGTCCCACCCCACCCCCCCAGTTATAGCATCACTTTCCTCATCCATAGGCAGGTTTCTCAGCCGGGGCTCATTCCAATGATTTAATGACCCCCCCCAAACGAGGGATAAGTACCCAACCCCATGCCCAAAGCGCTCCCCATTCCAGAAAGCGGAGACGCAGCTCCAGATCGTCCCCCCTTAACTTTTGCATTTGCTTTCAGTTCCCGGGTGTGGGTGCTTCCCCCCCACCCGCTGCAAAACAGGAGGGGACCAGCCCGAGACCCCCGCGCCTGCAGCGCCTGCCTCTCTCCTCAGCCAACTCGGGACCGGGACTGATGCATCATCCGCTCGCCCAGCCCAGCCCGGGAAGCACTCACCGCTGAGCAGCCGCGTCCCCTGCCCGCCCGCCGCCCCGCAGAAGGCAGCCAGTAGTAGCAGCAGCAGCAAGTTGCTCCCCGCGGCGGCTCCTCCGCCGCGTCCCCGGAGCCGCATGTCGCGCGGCTGCACTGGCGGCAGCAGCAGCAGCGCAAGGGCAGCAGCGCGAGCTCCGGGCGAGCTTCTGGCAGCAGCCAAGGCGGCGGCAGTGGCGGCGGCAGCAGAGCCGGCTCCGCCTCCGGGCCAGGGGCCAGCCGAGGGGAGGGACGCTGGAGAGCCCGGCGGGTGGGGTGGGGAGGCTCTGCGCGGACACTGGCACTCGCTCTCTCGACATGCCTGCCGAGAGGGGTCGAGAGATGCTTCGGTAGCCAAAGCGGAGCTCGGCGCCAAACTGATGCATGGGAAGAAGCCGCGGAAGTTGAGGGTTTTTGGTGGAGGTGGGGGGAGCATCCATAAGACAGTTAGACAGCGAAGTTAGACCGCGTGGGTTTTGCATGCGGAATGTTCCCGTGCAGATAGGGATCCAAAAGTTGGCTTAGAAGTGAAACGCTGCAGGTCTGGCGTGCATAATGCTATCCGCCCCCCAGCAAGCAGTGGCAAGGATGCCCTGACAGTAGAATCATAGAATTGTATACAGTGGTACCTCGGGTTACAGACGCTTCAGGTTACAGACTCCGCTAACGCAGAAATAGTACCTCGGGTTAAGAACTTTGCTTCAGGATGAGAACAGAAATCGTGCGGCAGCGGTGTGGCAGCAGCGGGAGGCCCCATTAGCTAAAGTGGTGCCTCAGGTTAAGAATGGACCTCCGGAACGAATTAAGTTCTTAGCCCGAGGTACCACTGTAGTTGGAAGGGATCCCAAGGGTCATCCAGTCCAACCCCATGCAATGCAGGAATCTCAGCTAAAGCATCCATGACAGATGGCCCATCCAACCTCTGTTTAAAAAATCCTCCAAGGAAGGAGAGTCCACCACCTCCAGAGGGAGACCGTTCCACTGCTGAACAGCTCTTACTGTCAGAAAGGTCTTCTTGATGTTTGCTCAGAATCTCCTTTCTTGTAACTTGACACCATTGGTTCAAGTCCTGCCTTCCAGAGCAGGAGAAAACAAGCTTGTTCTCTCTCCCATGTGACAGCCCTTGAAATATGTGAAGATGACTATCATCATAGCTCATCTCAGTCTCCTCTTTTCCAGGCTAAACATACCTGGCTCCTTCAACCTTTCCTCATAAGGCCTCAACAAACAACTCACAACCACCCAAACACCCCCAGCTGTTCACCACGTACTCCACAGATACGTGGGCTCAGCCAACGTGCTTTAGGAATATAGAATACTGCCTTGCGCCAAGTAATGACTCACTGGTCCATCTAGCATGGTATTCTCATTTAGTATCAAAAAGGGAGTCCCTCTCATTGCAACTTGGAGATATTGCAAAGGATTGAAGCTTGGACTTTCTGCATGCACGCAAAGCAGCTGGTCCACAGCAGTTACATCTTTCCCAAAGACTTGAGGTTTGTCTTCTGTAGCTGGATGGTCAAGGGGTCATGTGACAAGGAAACAGCTGGCTCAGACTGTGATTTGACACACCCCACAAAGCTTGGGAGATCACTCTGCTGGAGACCAGAGTGGCCCAAGGCACTGAAATGCTATGGGTGCTGGTGAACTCCCTGCAGTACTTGGAGGAACCTCATTCACACAACCCACCTTCATTATTTGCCCAGGCTGCCAGGTTTCTCAGCTGTATGGTTTCTTATTTCATTTCTGGCAGCCAGTGGGCTGAATCCAGGTTAAATGGAGCCTGTCGCTCCAGAGCAAGAGATCTGGTATTGGCTTGTGCTTTGGAAGCAGAAGGGAAGAAAGCAGACTGAGTGGAAAGTTTCCTTTGCACCACTTCCAGTGTCCGAATGCTGACCCTGCATTTCTCCCGCTTGTTTCCGGAGGGTTGGGGAGCTGGACTGCACCTGCTTCCTGGCTTCCCAGCCATGTTTCTGCTCATCCAGGCTTGGAAACAGTTTCTAGCTGCCAAAGTGAAGATAAAGTAGACTCAAGATGCTACTTGCATCATGGCTTAAAATAAAGACGTACATTGTGGGACAGGGAACCTCTTTCTAACAAAGTTTTGTCAGCATGCTTCTGAGTAACAGTTGCTGGGAGTTGCAAGTGAGGAGAAAGCTCTATTGCACTCAGGCTGTTCTTGCAGGTTTCCCAAAGGCACCTAGTTGGCCACTGTGAAAACAGAAGGCTGGACTAGATGGACCATGGGCCTGATCCAGCAGGGCTCTTCCTGTTTGCAAAGGGAACCTTTTCTCAGGTTTAAACTGTTGGTCTAAACACTCAGCAAGTGCTGTTTGTGAGCACTTTATAATAATCACAACATCATAGAACTGTAGAGTTGGAAGGGAGTTTAAGGGTCACCTAGTCCAAGCTTCGGGACGCAGGTGGTGCTGTGGGTTAAACCACAGAGCCTAGGACTTGCTGATCAGAAGGTTGGCGGTTCGAATCCCCGCAACGGGGTGAGCTCCCATTGCTCAGTCCCTGCTCCTGCCAACCTAGCAGTTCGAAAGCACGTCAAAGTGCAAGTAGATAAATAGGTACCACTCCGGCGGGAAGGTAAACGGCGTTTCCGTGCACTGCTCTGGTTCGCCAGAAGTGGCTTAGTCATGCTGGCCACATGATCCGGAAGCTGTATGCCGGCTCCCTTGGCCAATAAAGCAAGATGAGCGCCGCAACCCCAGAGTCGGCCACGACTGGACCTAATGGTCAGGGGTCCCTTTACCTTTAGTCCAAGCTCCAGCAATGAAGGAATCACAGCTAAAGAATCCCTGATCATCCACTCCAATGGTGTTGACTCCAACATCTTTCAAGGTAGTCCGTTGCACTGTCAAACAGCTCTTGCTGTCAGAAAGTTCTGTCGAATGTTTAGTCATAATCTCATTTCTTGTAATTTGAACCCACTGCTTCAGATACTTTGCTCTGGAGAAGCAGAAAGCAAGCAAGCTAATAGCAGTGGTAGCTCCAGTAGCAAACCCACAGTAGGATGCAGAAATCTAAATTGCTCCAATTTTGAGGTGTGTGTGGAACCTGATAAAACACCTTCTGCGATTTTTCCAAGTTTTTTACCCAATTGTCATGAAAAACAAAAGTGTTTTCGGGGCCAATTCAAACATGTATACCACTTGATCACTTATGATTTGTAATCAATGCTAAAGACTGTCAGCTGTATTTGTGAACTCAGGTGATCTAAAAGTTTTGTTTCTGGCAAATGATGCAGCTTTGCTCTTAGCAATTCCGTAGATGAATACTAGTCATTCTGATCATCTCCCTAATTGCATTCAAGACATTTCTAGAAAGCTGCATTGCAATGGCTCAAAGAGCTAACATTAACACACTGCTACGCATTCTCTGGAAGAAGTGTCAGCGATTTTCTAAGTAGGATCCTGAATTATTAGCAGGATATCTATGCCACTCACTCATAATGAGCCCTTGCTAAACCATGTGTGAACCTGTCCTGAAATCTTGCTGCAGAAACTGACGCAAAGAAATGTTAATTAAATTTCTGCTGATTTTGACAAAGCAAAAAGAGTATGTGTTGTAAGGCCATCAGGCTTTTATATATATATAAAAATCAAGAATGACATAGAAAAATGTAAACTTATTACATTAACACAGACCTTGTAATAGATCTTAGCAGATCAGTGTAGGGAGGAAAAAGCATTCTGCATTACATCCTTTTAACGAATGTGGAGAATGTAACCTTCTAAGCATCCTCTGCAATGCATGCTCTCAGACTCAGTTGCCTATCTATGAACTGGAAAGAATAAAGGCAAGTCTCTGAGAGATCTGAAATACATACATTTATAAAAAATACATTTATATTTTGCAAAGCTCTATACGGATGGACAAAAAAGGTTTCTTCAATATTGACACAGCTGTACCCATCCCAACTATTTTCTTCATAGTTTTAAGAGTGTAAAGTATTGTTAGTCATATAATAGAACAAAAATTCTTGTCCCCACAACTCAACAGTGTCAATTTGTGCACACTGAAAACAAGGTGGTAGATTTAGCTCTTGCTAATTTATCTCCATGCATTAATGCCAAGGACCAGGGAAAAGACAGTACTGAAGTGGGGATTCTAGGCAAAATTCACTAGACAATTTTCTGCCAGTGAAAAGTGGTTACTATGCAGCGAAATTCTATGTTGGTTTACTCTGAAGTTAAGTCCCAATGGAGCTTACTCGCCAGGAAGTGTGCACAGGATTGCAGCCTTAGAGACGTAATACAATAGGACATCAACGAAACCCTGAAAACTAGAGTATTTTATTTCAGTAGACATGTTTCTGTGGAGAGACATTTTCTTAAAAATGTACATTACATGTTCCTGATCACCATTTTTGTCACAGAGAAACATCACATCTGGGTTTGAATCTTGGGGGAATGGCCAAACCAGAAAATGATAGAAATATCACTCCTAAGACCACTGAAAGATTAACTTTTCAACATGCATAATACAAGCTGGTGTTTCAAAGCCAGTTTATTGTATTTAGCATTTCTAACCATGCCTTGTTGCCTGGCATGACAAACTAATAAATTTACTAGCCAGATTGAAGAATCTATTAGCTTTTGACATAGGGTACTCTTCTGAAACTCTTTAGGAAGACAGTTAGCCAGGGAATCCCACAAGGGCTCAGCATCTGAACAGCTCAAGGCAGAATACGACGAAGAACAGGACAGGATTTCTGAATGGACAAAGACATCGCTCTCCAAGTTGTTCACGTTGACCAAAACGCTCAAGGTAAAGCACTTACACTTTCTTTATCATCAAGGTCAGAGTCTGGTACCTTTTTTTTAATTTCACTGAAACCAATCAAGAAAATGCACTAAGAATACAAGTTAGTAGCTGTCACACTTTTTGAAACAATATATATGAACTGAAACACAACTATTCTTTGAAAATCTCACTCATACAAATTTTGCAATTGAGTTCTCCAGCCAAGCATTGCATGGTACCTTGGTTCTCGAACTTAATCTGTTCTGAAGAAGAAGAAGAAGAAGAAGAGAAGGAGTTTGGATTTGATATCCCGCTTTATCACTACCCTAAGGAGTCTCAAAGCGGCTAACAATCTCCTTTTCCTTCCTCCCCCACAACAAACACTCTGTGAGGTGAGTGAGGCTGAGAGACTTCAGAGAAGTGTGACTAGGACGCGAACCCAGTTCACCAGAGTACGAGTCTACCGCTCTTAACCACTACACCACACTAGCTCTCAAGAGTCCGTTCGACACCCGAAACCGTTCGAAAACCAAGGTGTGGCTTCCGATTGGCTGCAGGAGCTTCCTGCACTCAAGTAAAAGGTGCAGCGGACGTCTGGCTTCTGAAAAACGTTCACAAACTGGAACAGTTACTTACGGGTTTCCGTCTTTCGGGAGCCAAGCCATTCAAGTACCAAGGTACCACTGTATATTAAAGTGTGAAAGTAACTGCATATATTAGTGAAAATAGCATACAAAAATGCATTATATTAGACAAGTGTATAGAAATGTGTATAGTAGTTGAATTCTGCACGAAAGTGCTGATGAATTTCATGAGAACTTTTTGTTCTTAAAAAAATTGCAAACTGATGTGGAAATGTGAAGAACTGAACTTGACCAGAAAAACGAGAAACTGAGGGAAGCTGAAACTGACAGATTCTCCCATTTCCACCTCATGCAGCACACTTAAATTTTGCCTTGCTATGGAGTTGGACCGATAAAGAGAAGTGGAACGGAACCTGTTTCTGTGAGTGGTGAAAGGGAGGGAAAGGGCTTTACAGGAAGTGAATTTTTCAACCTCTCTGCTATATTTAGTTTGAGGACGTGGCTAAATGAGTATGAGGACTAATCAGTGAGACAGAAAGAAGAAAGAGGGGAGTCATCAGTCTATGAATCGTTGAAAACTGCCAAGGTTTTTGAACAAGAACATCCATTCTCACTTTCTCCCAGTGAGATATACGAGAGTAGCCCCCAAATACTTTAGTAAGAGGATGGGCCCAAAGAATGGTGTCTTTGTTCAGGGATTGTGTGCCTTTAACCACTGTGCCGACCATGCTAGCAGACCTCCTATGGCACATTGATGGGCCTGGAACTTCTACCTGGGAATTCACTGATCCAGTGAGAGGCAGATCTCTCTCCACATAGTAAGGAAACCACACTGGATGAAAAACCGGATTGGGGGTGGGCAGAGAGGACCCGGGAGTAAGAACAAGCAAGTAGAAGGAATTGTTTCAGATCATTTCATGGGAGGAGCTTGGGATTCCCAGCAAAAGAACCACTGAAATGGATGCAGCATGTGCAGGCAGGAAGAGGAGGAGGAGATTGATCTTAGAAGAATGTCTTGCAGAAAGACAGCACGGTAAAGCCTCGATGAACTCCAAAAAAGTCAGCTGGAACAAATAAGGCATTCTCCACCATCCATCTTAGCTGTCATTTCTAGTAGGAACCGCTGCAGCCAGAACAACCAATTTTTTAAGGAAAAGAGGAGAAAGGGGGGAAAAGGTGGAGAATGAATGTTTGCCTATTAAAAAACCGAAAAGTAATACAAGGAGCCAGAAAGTTGATGAAGGAATATTTTGAAAACAATTGGAGAAAAGGGACAGATGTAAAAACTAGTGTGGGATGATGGGAAGGCAGTTGTTAGGGGATATTTCATACAACAAAACTCAACAGCATATAAGAATAAAGAAAAAAAAGAAAAGGGAGCTTTTAGAAGAAATTAAAAGGAAGGAAAAATTGGCCTATGGAAGCAAAAATGAAGAGAGATTAAATCAAGAAATTAAATTACTGAGAGTAGAATACAATAAAATTATAGAACAGGAGGTAGAACAACAATTCAAATTTTGGAAATATAAAAATTCTGAATGGGCAAATAAACCAGGCAAGATCCTTGCCTGGCAATTAAAGAAACAAAGAAATGAAAAATTAATAAATAAGATAAAAGTAGAAGAGAGGACAATAAGGGACATTACAGAAATTAAAGAATTTGAAAAATATTATAAAAAATTATATCAGAAAGATGAAGTGTCAATAGAAGAAGCACTTATCAAGAGGCTTTTCAGAAACTGAAGTTGCCGTGGGATTTCTCGGGGAAAGGTACCAGGAAACCCAACAAAGCGGGAGATGGACCTGCAGCCAATCTAATGAATTGCTCCCCGCCCCCCATGAAAAATGTGTGCTGGAACTCACCATGAAGTTGTTACAGTAAGTCACCAAGTGACTCAGGGCAGCCCTGAACTCGGAGCAGCCTGTTTGACAACAGCTGTGTTCACTGCCCGCGGAGGGGCTAAAAGCTATGGCAAGCTGCCCCTCTAGCTGGTTTGAGGGTCGTCCCTGTTTTTGGTGCAGGTCAAATAAATGTGCCCAAGCCTCCCTCATTCTCTTGGATTCAGGCAGATGGCCAGGGCAGCTCGAAAAGGCCCTCGTTGAAACGCATGAAACACCATGGCTGGAATGCTTAAAGCCCTATGGGGCGGAGCCAATTTGTATTTCCCTTTCTTCAGTCTGTCTCCCATGTAGCGGCAGGAGCCTTTTAGCAGCCTCTTTTTTCTCTTTCTTTCTTTTCAGAATCCACAGGAAATCCTAGAATTGGAGGGGACCCCAGAAACCCATTTAGTCTAACCCCCAAGCTCATTACAAAACTGTAACAAGCTTGGGGTTGGAATTCTACTTTCTTGCGGGTCATAAGTTGTCCTGGCTGAGAAAAAAGCTATCAATTAACACATTAAAAGGGAAGAATTTGCTGAGTGAAGGAGTGTGTGAGATGCCAAGTCAGCTCTTCCAGAGGGGTAGTTTTTTAAAAGATGTGGCTTTTAATTTCTTATGGCTTTATTCTCTCTCTCCCCCCCCCCCCCCGCATTGCTGAATCTAAACCCTGCCAATAATAATTAATAAGACCTGCTACTTTATGCTGCCAGGTTTTACATGTTTTAGTCAGTGTTGGAGAAAATAATTTCATTTTACTATGAAGTGTGTGCCTCAATGATCTCCCCAGTCCTATTCAGTCTGCCCATTGGGCACATAAATAATCCTTCCCACAACCCGTCATTTTAAGACTAAAAGAAAAAAATAGTAAAGATCTTCATAGTAAAATGAAATTGCTTTGCCAATGCAGATCTACTCCATCATTGTTTATACGCACGTTGGCAGGGATGTGCCTGAGAAAGTGTGGATTAAGCCAGCCCAGGAAAGTAAGCCAGTGTTGTTTTATCCATTTTGCTGGAGGAAGCAGGGCATTAAAGTAGTATATGGCAACCCTGAAGTGTAGCCCATAGTTGTTTTTCTGGCATGTTTGGTTTCTTCCCAAGGAATGAAGAGTGTGTGGGGAATTGGCTGTAGAAGCAGTGCAAAAACCTGAGGGCTGGAGGGCGTAAAGAGAGCTGGGGGGGGGGGGAATGGAGGATTTCGACTTTAAGTGAAGAGACTTGGAATACAAGTTTCTCAGAGACCCGGTCTACCAAGAACTTGCCATCATTTAGTCGCCAGACCTACCAGAAATGAAAAGCCTCCTCTCTTGTGCTAATTATGCTTATTTCTTTTGTGTATTTACTTCTCACCCCTGGCCTAGAAAAATTCCTACTGACAATTATGAGTGTACATCACCCAAACTCTGGCTTTTTCATCATTAGTATCCAGTAGTGATGTATGGAAATGAGAGCTGGACCATAAAGAAGGCTGATCACCGAAGAATTGATGCTTTTGAATTATGGTGCTGGAGGAGACTCTTGAGAGTCCCATGGACTGCAAGAAGATCAAACCTATCCATTCTTAAGGAAATCAGCCCTGAGTGCTCACTGGAAGGACAGATCCTGAAGCTAAGGCTCCAATACTTTGGCTACCTCATGAGAAGAGAAGACTCCCTGGAAAAGACCCTGATGTTGGGAAAGATGGAGGGCACAAGGAGAAGGGGACGACAGAGGATGAGATGGTTGGACAGTGTTCTCGAAGCTACCAGCATGAGTTTGACTAAACTGCGGGAGGCAGTGGAAGACAAGAGTGCCTGGTGTGCTCTGGTCCATGGGGTCACGAAGAGTCGGACACGACTAAACAACAACAACATCCTGTAAAAATGTGTGGTAAGTTGCAAGAGTGCAAAGAAAACTGGAGGTTTCACATTTCAAAACTTTTAAAAATAATTAGAGACAAACATGAAATAAAGCAATATTACCTTTCGCGAGGTCTGGTCTTTGGCTTATATGGATCAGATACCATTTCTTTCTGAGAAATAAATATAGTTTACTTTAAAAAGGTTTATAGTCACACTGTAGGCACCAATGAAACTAAGTATCATTATCTCTACTGGCACATCAAATATGTACCATTTCTTGTTACTATGGCATGCAAAACATAAATACAAAAATCCAACTTCCCAAAGTTTTGGCCCGCATTAAGAAAAGAATAATACTCCATTTTACCGCAACCCTCTCTTCCCTTTGTTTCTTCAGTAATGCTATTATTTCTTCTCTCTTCTTGCTCTGAAAGAAAAAAATATACTTGTAATAATTAAGTGCAGAGAAATTAATCTGGGACTCTTTACACAAACTTGTTCAACCTGGGTGAGTAGTAAAGTGACCCTATAGAGAAGAAATGTTTGTATAGCCAACCGTTCAATTCCACACATCGTATGCTAACGGATGAGCCAAATTAATTTTGGAGATCCACCTGCCTCAAGCTCACCCAACTGATAGAGAACTTCAACCATGTACTGGCTTACACAATCAGCTATAAATCAAGACTACTTTGTTCAAGTCTCACCCTCTGCCACAAACTCACAAGTCACACACTCTCTACATGTCAGCTTGTACACTTATAGAGTTGCTCTTAAGGATTATTTTTATAATTTCTTTATTAAATTTATATACTGCCCTTAATCTGGCAGTTCACAAGATAATGGATCAGTTTCAGGCTAACTTAGCTGAAGTCTCATTAAATTCAACAGGACAAGTCAGCCATTACTAGAGATATCGGAGAATTCCATCGGAAATGGAAAGAGGGGCAGCAATTAATCAGGAATGTAAGCAATTACGAGCGGTATTCACTTTCTTGTGTGTGTGTTTTAGTCTGCAAACATTACATAAATAATTATGTTATTTTCTGCATTACTTGAGGTTTCCCTTCCACTGAAATTAATCATGTACAGTAATTAATCATGTCAGTATTAGCAATAGGAGCTAGTGAGAATAACATAGCTTCTAGAAGAAGCTAAACTGTAGCAGAATGGAAACAGTGCTGATTGTGATGTTCACGGGACATGATGGAAATCAATGCTTCTGTGCATCCCTAGGCATGACTTAAGTCCCACTGATTTAACTGGAAATGAAGGGCAACTAACTCACTCTGGATCCAACCCAATGGGTTGAAATGCTAAGAACATCAGGAGAGGCTGATGCCAAACATTTGCTCTGTAAGCTACCACACCCTAAACAGCAAACCTCAAGTTCAAGCAAAGGAAAAGAGAATGTGATTTGCTACTCTTTAAAATCTCCATTCCTCCTGCAAGGCAACAAATTAGTTTTGTTCTTGATGAGATGGATTTTAGACGTCTCCTGGAGCGCTATTCTGGCCTGGTGATCTATATTTTGCAGGATGCACGTGGACTTAATAGTTCTCCCAGTTGTGTTTCAAAAGCAGAAAAGAGGGATATAGTGAGTCAGAATGTTGCATCTTTTTGTTGTGGGAGTTGCTTGGATAAAACAAAATAGCCTGGAAAATTCTCAAGTGCAAGAAAAGGGGAAATGAATTCATTATTATGTTTTGTCAACAAATTTAGATTCTTAGGCTTTCAATCAGTCATAGCTCTTGTGAAACTTCTGCTTTTGAAAAAGCCGCTTCCAAATGAGATGGTTACACATCGGAGTTAGTTTGGTCCTTTACTATATTTAATTTCTCTGGTTTAACCAAGACTTGTAAAGATTATTGATTTATTTAAAAAATGTATAAACTGCTTCATCAAAAAATTATCCTAGCAGTGCACAAATAAACACAAATAAAACATGGGTAAAGTTCACAAACCGTTTAAAAGCATATATGCATCAAACGATCAAAAGTTACATACTACATACATATTATATAAGAATTACAATCACCCTATCTGAGCTTCTGGGTAGCTTATGATGCATTTTCAGTGCAACAACCTTGAGAAGTTGGTTGGTTAAGAAGATGTTGCTGGATTATACAGTTCTTGCTGCTGCTTTACTGAGTCTCTTTTATGGATTTTAGTATGGTTTTTAATTGTAACCTATTGTTTCCCCTGGGACGCGGGTGGCGCTGTGGGTAAAACCTCAGCGCCTAGGACTTGCCGATCGCATGGTTGGCGGTTCGAATCCCCGCGGCGGGGTTAGCTCCCGTCGTTTGGTCCCAGCTCCTGCCCACCTAGCAGTTCGAAAGCACAATTAAGTGCAAGTAGATAAATAGGTACCACTTTCTAGCGGGAAGGTAAACCGTGTTCCGTGTGCTGCTCTGGTGCCGGTTTGCCGGAGCAGCTTCGTCGCGCTGGCCACGTGACCTAGAAATGTCTGCGGACAGCGCTGGCTCCCGGCCTCTAGAGTGAGATGAGCGCACAACCCTAGAGTCTGTCAAGACTGGCCCGTACGGGCAGGGGTACCTTTACCTTTACCTTTATTGTTTCCCCTACCTTCTGATTTGCATTATGTTCTTCAAATTTTAAAAGTAATTTAGAGACTTTCTGTAGCAAGTGACTAATAAACTGAAAAAATAAAACCATATGGCTCTACAGAATAATTTTCTAGCCAAAATCAACCAGACTTCCTGATGACTTATGATACGCAAAATTGAGCAATCTTGAGCTCACATCTTTCTGTGGCTAAAATATTTAACAAAATAACGGGGGAGGGGGGAACATTGAACAGGCTCACTTCTCTTAATCCAATTTCTACTAGGTAGGTTTAATGGATGTTGCTAGATTAAATCCATTATATGGTTATTAATTGCAATAAGTAGGAATGCAGGCTTGCAAGAAACAGATGCAGACCTCAGCACTTTTCAGCTCCTCCTAACGACTGCTTGAATCTGGCTTCCTTCCCAGCCCTGAGATATAAAGCTTTTCATTTAATATAAAAAGAGGGGGAGGGAAGCCCTCTAAAATTTGACTAAAATTAGGGAAATATCCTCAAATTACAGGCTAGCACTAGCAGCCATAGCACAACACTGTAACATTATATGGTTTACAGTAATGTTACTTACACTTTCAATTAGCTTAATGATAAATGTGCACAGTGAGCCAGGAGACAAAAGATGCTTAGTTCCACAGTGTGCTTCAGGAGTTAATTAGCAAAGAGCCAACATGGTGTTTCCCCATCAAGATATATAGAACATTGGTCAATTTCCCGTTACATCTGCTGCAGCATCATAAATGATGTGGTCCCAACAAGTCTAGAACTGACATAACTGTTGCTCCTGGAGCCTGCGCTTCCTACATCCTCTGACAGCAACTTACCTGGAATTTTCCTTGATTGATGGAGTCTAATGGACTGTACTGCCAGACTGGTTCCCCATATTCTACAATGCTGGCTATAAATGCCTCCCCTGACAGCCACAGAGTAGTCACTATTGTAACTAAGAACTTCTGGCTGCTTTTCTCTGTCCAGCCTGGCTTTGTTTCTATGTTTGAACTTGATTTCCAGAACCAAAACTTGAACTAGACCAACAGCATCCTTGTTCCCAGAGGACAGCCCACAGTCCACAATGGACACAGTGATCCTGACCTGTGCCTTTAGCCTGATTCATGGCTAAAGAACCAACTTTTTGGGTTTGAAAGCAACATTTGTTCACCAGAATCCTTCATATTTACTTAGAAGCAAGTGGGACTTTCTAACAAATGTGCTTAGGGTTAAACCTTACTGTGTTTGAAAGCCTTATAATCCTTTTTTTTATATCTCTTCTAAAGCTCTGTGAGGAAAATCACCATTATTCTCAAGTTAAGTCTACGTAAATTTCAGTAATTTGGGGACGAAGATGGGTTTTGGAATGCAAGTATCCCACAAGGAATCTGCTTTAAACTGAATCAGTATAGCTGTAAGAAAGCATCCCTTTCCCATTCCATTCTGTATTTGTAGCATGCAGCCCTGTTTTCGTCCTGCTGTAATTAGTAACGTAATTTATGCTGTCTTAACATTATTTCACCCCACTCATTTCAGTGCAGAGGAAGTTGAATGCAAATAGGGAAGAAACTTAATCTGTTGTGTATCATTGTGGACTGAAAGCAACAACAGCAGTAAATGCTGTTTCCTATTCCAGGCATGAGATGAATAAGCCAATACCAGCAATTTCTGCTCCTGTCAGAATTCCCTGGCATCCCTACGAATTGGACCACAGGTCCATCTACCTCAGTATTGTCTGCACTGACTGGCAGTAGCTCTGCAGGGTTTCAGGCAGGAATCCTTCTCACCTGGAGATGCTGCAGATTGAACCTGGAAGCTTCTGCACACAAAGCAGATGTCCCTCTGCCACTGAACCACTGCCCTTTCCTTACACCTAAATCCAAATCAATATCCACTGGCCCATACCAAGGTTGTGTTGCAGTCAGGATATACTCAGTGTGCAGCAGGAATGGCAAGCTTACAGCTGGTGGTCAGGATCTGTCTCACAAAGCAATTTTGTATGGCCCAAGGCAGCCATACAAAATGCTTTCAAGAATTGTGTGCAAAAAGGAAAAAAAGAAGAGATTTCTATGCAATGCCCCTGTCATGTACCCATACCCAAACACACCTTTTCCATATACAGGGCCAGGAGCACACTAAATTGAACAGCCACAAAAACAGGGTGCTTTAGTGAGCAAAGAATCCAGCTGAGAATCTTAGCTTTCATTTCTTTTGAAATCAAGTTTGTATCCCTCATGGCTGCAAAGATATGCTTGAACATGCATTGGCTATGGCTGCTAAAATCTCCAAAGCCAGAGGAGCAGCTGAGTAAGAGTTGCACATAAATTATACAGGTTACCAAAGCCAGCTTTACTTACTGAGTCTCTAGACGCGGCTACAGAATTTATTATTATTTTAATACAGCCCTGTCCATAATTAAGTACCTGTTGCTAAGTGGCATTGGGTTTGTCTGGGAAGATGCATTTCTGGGCTCAAACTATTGACTGGAGAACAGGGGGTGCCCAAGAATACAGTTCTCTCTCTCTCTCTGATGCAGCAATAAAAAGCTTGCTTATTTTTCTGCCCAATCACTGGTGCAGCACAAATCTTGAAGAAAGGCCATTTCAATCTTTTCAAATTTATGTTTCTAATCCAATGTGCTTGCATGTCTTCCTCTCTCTCAGATTTACAATGCAATTTAATTATCTCAATTTCTTCAGTGAAAGAGATAATCAGATAGAAAGGCTTCTGGAGTGGGGGGGGGGCCTAACCTGTACAAACAATATAGAAATATCTACATGTATATAATTATCTACTTGAATTCTAATCATTTTTCAGGAAAGACACTGAAAAATAATATAAAACACAAACATGTTACTATTATTATTATTATTATTCTGAGAAGGAAGGAATCTTACCTTCTTAATATACTGTTCCTTCAAATCACTTTCCCCAGCAACACTATTTTCCGTGCTTTTGTCATCTTCTTTTTCTAAGTAAAACAAATGAAAGTAAAACAGTGAGGTTGCAGTCCTGATTCCATTTACCTGGGAATAAGCCCCATTTACGGAATAATTCAAAACTGTATGGAGCAATAGCCACTAATACCTAAGCAAATGATGGTAAGATAGAATGAAGGCTTACAGCAAGATGAGAAGGGTGAATGGTTACGGGTAGACAACCCAAAAAAGGAACAGCTGTCCATTTTTAGTCAGAATAGAGCCAATTTCCCCAAAGATCTCTCGTCTAGTCACCTGCAGACAATTCCTACCCGCTGCAGGCAAATCTACAAGGAGCTACTTCTAAATCTGCTGAAAAGTGATTTTCTTTTTTAAAGAAATGAAAATTTTGGGTACTCCTGTGGCCAAGAGGAGGCACATTAAATAGTGGGGTGATCTGGAGAAGAAATGGAAAATCATTTCCTAGGGCAAAGAGACGCTGCATTCATTTCAAATCAATCCTGCGAAGTGAACTGCAGGTTGACTGGAGAATATGTGGGCTGGTGTCAGGACTTACAGACAAAGGGGGCTATCCGCTGCCCTCAGGAAACTGGGGTGGCAACCCACGGGCAATTATCAGTAAGAGGAGAAAAACAGTGATTCCTCCCACTCCCCAGGCACAGTGTCTTCTCCAGTTTAACAAATGGATGCCTCTGGTATCCCACCTGATTACTCTGCAGGCAGATGGGGGCTCCTAACGATAAAAAGGTAGATAAGCTTGAAGGGATAGCCTTAGATGTAACAGAGGATGCTCACCCAGACCCATAGCTGTCAACTTTCAGATTTGAAAATAAGGGATCAGCAGCCTCACCTGTCCTAGGGACAGTCTATGGCAGGGGTCTGCAACCTTTAAGACAAAAAGAGCCACTTGGACCTGTTTCCGAAGGAAAAAAAACTGGGAGCCGCAAAACCATTGCATGCATGCCGCTGCCCTCCGATCTGACAGCGGGCGGGAAGGTGACGTCGGGACGGTGTGTGACTAACGCACCCACCGCCCCCATGCGACGTCACAGCCAGTACAGCGCCTGCCACAGTGGGGAGTGTCGGGGCGCACAATGCGCCTCCTCCCCTCGCTAGTATCTGCCCCGGAGCCGCAGCAAAGGTGTAAAAGAGCCACATGCGGCTCCGGAGCCGCGGGTTGCAGACCCCTGGTCTATGGGATATCTAACAATCCGGGATAGCAGCGGGAAACGGCACTGGAATAAGGGAATTTCCCGCAAAAAACGGGAAGGTTGACAGCTATGCCCAGACTCCATGAATAGAACAGTAACACCCCAGAAGATGGGGAGATGGTGGTGCATGGTAGTAACTTCGACTAATAGAAGGGGAGACTGCGGAACAAGTGTGGTTAAAATGTTGGATGAGGACCTGCGAGGTCCACATAGCCACGAAGCTCCCTGGGTGACTTGTGGGGATCTGTCCCTCTCTCATCCTATCCTACCCTGCAGGGTTGTTGTGAGAACCACTTAAATATACACTCCTAGTAGCAGTTTGCTGGAGTTGGGACCCGCGAGGCCAGGGTTCGAATCCCCACTCAAGCCTCTCTCAGCCTAACCTACCCCACCGGGCTGCTGGGAGGGCAAGATGGAGAGAACCATGTAGGCCACACTGAGCTCCTGGGAGGGAAGTGCAATAAAACAATACAGCGGTACCTTGGTTCCCAAACGCCTTGATATTCAAAAAACTTGGAACCCAAACACTGCAAACCCGGAAGTAAGTGTTCCGGTTTGTGAACATTTTTCGGAAGCCAAATGTGCTCCGTTTTGAGTATTGTTTCTGATTTGAGTACTGCACTTCTGATTTGAGTGTTAGGCGGAGGTCTGTCCGTTTTTGCTATTTTGCGACTTTTTGTTTCGTTTCTGTGACTGCGTGGAACCCAGTTCAGCTACTGATTGACTGTGTGACTGCAGTACATTGTTAATCTCTATCATTTTATGGATCAAAATGGTTTCGTTAGATAGTAAAATTCATGTTAAATTGCTGTTTTAGGGGTTAGTTTTAAGAGTCTGGAATGGATTAATCTATTTTGCATTACTTTGTTCACTTGGTTTTGGAACGGACTTCTGGAACGGATTAAGTTTGAGAACCAAGGTACCACTGTACAGTAAAAGGTAAAGGGACCCCCTGACCGTTAGGTCCAGTCGTGGCCGACTTTGGGGTTGCGGCGCTCATCTCGCTTTATTGGCCGAGGGAGCTGGCATACAGCTTCCAGGTCATGTGGCCAGCATGACTAAGCCACTTCTGGCGAACCAGAGCAGCGCACGGAAATGCCATTTACCTTCCCGCCAGAGCGGTACCTATTTATCTGCTTGCACTTTGACGTGCTTTCGAACTGCTAGGTTGGCAGGAGCAGGGACCGAGCAACGGGAGCTCACTCCGTCACTGGGATCTGAACCACCGACCCGCTCTGTGGTTTAACCCAGAGCACCACCCGCGTCCCTGTACAGTACAACACAACAAAACAGGCCCAGGGCTGAGGATGCGCCCGCAGGCCACGCCCCTTTTTCCCAGGGGAAAAAGGACATGCACTCTGCACGTGCCCCGGGGCACCCTGACTTTCCCCTCGCTCGGAGCCAGCGGGGAGGAGGAAGCCCTGCCAGGGGAAAAGAAGGGGGGGCGAGGGGAGGGAAGCCAAGGGAACCAGGGGCGCTGCTGCTTCTCCCTCCTCACTGTTGTCGGGAGTGCGGGGGATTTGCAGGCTGGTGCCGCTCGGCGCCTCCGACCCGGAGCCCTTCCTGGAGCTGGAGCAGCTGGCCGAGTCCCTTCGCGGCCCCAGGCGGGACTCGAGCGGCGGCTGGAGGGTGACGGAGTTCCAGAAGGACTTGGCCAGCGTCACGTCCTGCTCGCAGGAGCCCGTGAAGGCCAGGAAGGCGGGAGAAGGCAGCGGCGTCGGAGAAGCCATGGCGGCGGCGGCGGCCGTCGTCGGAGGGGCCTCAGGCCTCGGCGTCTCCGGCCTCGGCGTTTCCATGACGCCCGGAGGAGGAGGAGGAGGCCTCGCGCTCTCCTTCCCGCCCTTGCGCTCCGGCGGCTCACCTGCCTCCCGCTGGCAACCGTCGCTCTGGGCCTCCCTCTGCCCCGGATGAAGGGGGATTCGGAGTAGAGGCAGAAAGCGGGGTGGCCGAGGAAAGGTGGCGTGGCCTGGGCCTCGAGATATTACTATGTGTCTCCTATTCGTTTCAGAACATTCATTTCTTTTATATATATCATAATTTGTATTAGTTTTCCATTGCAATCCAGTAATAGCCTCATTATAACAACGCCAAATTATAATACAATTACCAATACCAGTCATTCATATACCAAATTATAATATAAGCATAGCTGTCAACTTTTCCCTTTTCTTGAGAGGAATCCTATTCAGAATAAGGGAATTTCCCTTTTAAAAAAGGAAAAGTTGACAGCTATGAATATAAGTACCCCCCCCGCCCGCATGCTAGAATTGATGGATTGATGATTTACTTTATTTCTGCGTTCCAAAATCTTACTAATTTCAATCACACTCCAGTCAAAGTAACAATCCCTTATACAACAACTGCAATATTAACAACTTCCATTCGTATTGACACATTAAATGATTGATAAAACTACAGGCGAGGCACTCAAACTATATATCCTTGTTCTTCCTGTGTGTGGCAATTATTCTGTCCGTGATGTTCCTTCCTGTCCTTGTAAAATATTATGATGGAGAACAGCAACAACCGGGAAAAGAGAGACATAATATTTCATAACATTCATTTCTGTACCGCCTCCATTGTAAAGAAAAACCCTCAGGGTCTGTAATTATTTCATTGTTTCCTATTTATTAAATTCCATACCCTCCAATGTTTCTCTGATGAAAATAGGGATGTCCCATTCCATAATAATAACTTTACCATTTGTACTCCTCTCATCGGACCACGTTGCCCCAGCCACTCTGGGCGGCTTCCAACACATATAAAAACATGATTTAAAATGTTTCCTATACAGGGCTGCCTTTCAGTTGGCTCGGGGGTTGGATAACTCCACACCCTCCCAACACTTCTCTGATGAAAATAGGGGCATCCTAAGGAAAAGGGGACATTCTGGGATCAAATCAGAAACTGGGATGGCTTATTGTAAAATCAGGGCTGTCCCTGGAAAATAGGGACACTTGGAGGGTCTGCCCTTTACCCGCAGATCTCAGGGTGGTTCACAACAAAAAGATTGCAACCTCCCCCCCAAAAAGAGCCCACTTTTAATGGGCATCATCAGGTACACAGGGCACCTTTTTCTGGAAGAAAAGTACTGGTTTAAAATGTGGCACTTACTGTAACAACTGGTGAGTATTGGCACCTTTTTTTCGTAGCAGAATAGCACTAGCCATCATCGAGATGTTGTAGGAAAACAACTCCCATCAGTCCCAGCCAGCACAATATGCTACCTGGGACTGATGGGAGCTGTAGTCCAACAACATCTCGAGGGCACCAGGTTGGCAAAGGTTGCTCCAGAAGAAAGTGTAACCAACATGATGCTCTCCAAACGTTGGATTGCAAGTGCCATAATCCCTCACCATTGACCATACTGGCAGGGGTTGGTGGGAATTGTAGTCCACAATGTGGCATCATCTTGTCTGTGTTCAGGGGAACATAGGATGCTGACTGCTTTGTATCGAATTGGCTGTCTTCGTCTGTCAATCACAGTGTTGTTGACACTAACCTGGTGGCAGCTGCAGGGTTTCAAGCAGAGTTCTCACCCAGCCCTACCTAGAGAGTATTCAGAGTATTTGCATTCAGAGCAGATGATCTACCACTGAGCTAGGGCTCACTGATTCAATGAGGCTGTATCACCATCACTGAACTCATTTCCTGCATTTGTAGTTGGGCACCTCGTGAGCGCCACTGTTAACAGGATGCCCAATTGGTGGGTATTTGCAGAGTTTTCAGGAATGCTTTGGGATGTGGGTGGAGGTGTCTGTCATTTTCCTGCTGTTTTCTGGTGTAGTGTATTTCCTCCCATGTGAACTGAGTGTGCATTGGATACAGTAGCCGTTCTACAGGGATAGGGGCGGTGTATCTCTGGCCCACGCATAATATGAGTATAGGCTGGGCAACACATACATGGGGCCCTGTAAATTAACAATAAGCTAATCAATAATAATGGAGAGTCAGAATAACCATCTTGATAGTTTATCAGAATGGCAGGCAGGTTTAACTTTTTATTTAACAAAATGTATGCAACACAGATTCAAAAGACCTCTAAGCGATTTGCAAAAGACAATCTGAAATATTAATGAAAAATACCAATAAAAACATTTTAAAAGTGTTTACATATATATGCGTGTCTCTCTGTGTGCGATAAAACCAGTAATTTAAAAGCAATTATGCTTACTAAAATCACATTACACAGAAAATCATATCACAATTGTATGCTAAAATTACATGTCTCGTTAGGTGTGCTGGAAGATAAACATTTTTAGTAGGCACTGATAACAATGCAGCAAAGGTAGTTTCAGTGGGGCAGAGTGTTCCAAAGAGTAGGGGCTGCCACACTGAAGAATTGATTCCTTGCAAGTGTGGAACAAACTGTTCCCAGTTCCCAGATCTATGTGGTCTAGCAGGTTCATATGAGGTACATAGGTGCCATCTTCTGGAGGGGACCTCTTCAGCTCTTTACCTTCTGTGTTGATTTTTCTTCGAAGAATGCTACTTCCAGGCCTCAGTTGCCAAAGCTTCCATGCAAACAGTCGTGTTTCCTAGCCAGAGGTGAGACAGACCATTTTACCTGGCCGTGTTGTTAGTGACTGTTGCCTTCGTCAGTCAGCTAACTACACTGCCTGGTAACAAGGCTGGCGTTTAGACTCTTTCCAGCAGCCTAATTTCCTCCTTAACTCTGCGAGCCTCCCACATTATCTTAAGTGACAGCAATTAGATTTAAGCCTACATTTTGTAGTTAGATCTTACAGAAAATACATCCCACTCAACGGTTAATTTTCAAAAAGAGGGCTCAATCTGAACCCTGCGCTGAAGACAAAATGGTACGTTTGCACAGAATGGGGCAGGATACTTCCTCTGCATTATGTACGTTACACCTGTGTTTTAACTGAGAAGACATTCCGAAGGCACAATACCCTTTACATTAAAAAAGTGGAAAAAAGTGATGGTGGTCTTGCAATTGCTATTATAGAATTACAGAGTTGGAAAGGACCCATATAAATCTAGTTAAGTGTTCTTCAACCTGCAGCCCCCCCGGGCTTCATTGGACTACAATTCCCATAATTCCTGACTATTGGCCATGCTGGCTGGGGCTGAAGGGAGTTGGAGCCCAACAACATCTGGAGGCTGGCAGGTTCCCTACCCCTCCTTTAGCTTCTGGATATGTTTGCACTTCCTTAGGGTGAAGAGTGCATAAAATAACAACAATACTTTTCCAGGCAGCCACCATTTACTCCCCCATAAATTTCAGCAGTATTTCACTTCTATCTACTGTTTGCACATAGTTCTTCAGCAGGGATCAAACTGCTGGTGCTCCTTTTTGCTCTGCTCCCCAGGCATGTCGAGGAGAAGAAACGTCACCTTGTCTCCTATTCCCTTACTTGGCATAAGGAAGAAAACGAGCACTATCTTTGAAAAAGGCCACTCTGGCCTACTCTTTCTGCCCCCAAAACATAGTAATTCATGCTCCATTTCAAAACCAATACATTGGTTTAGATGCTGGAGAAAAGTCAAGGCTGGCTGAAAGGATGGAGGAGCCTTCAGTATTCTAGTGTTCCCAAATGTGTGATCTATAATGACTTTGAGCATTGCATATGGACAAAAGCTAGAATCAGATAGACGCAACCACGTACAACTTATTTCACTTCTGTCAACTCTTGATTGCAAAGAGAGCATCCCATGCTAACCAGGTTCCTGTGATTACTGCTCTCTCCTCTTGTGATAAAGGGGAAAGACACAAGAAGTGGGGAATATTAAAAGGGGTTGCGTATGCAGTGTGAGCTCCCCTACTCTGTGGTTTATTTAGCATAATAGGAAGACGAGCCCTTAAATATACTACGGTTGCAGGATATCTGTTCTCCAGCAGCAAATTCAGGCCAGGTGACCACTAACACTGGATCTGTAAGACAGTCTTTGCCAACCTGGTGCCAGTGTGCTGGCGGGGGTTGCAGTCCAGGAGGGCACTAGGTTGGCGAAGGCGGTGAAAGGCTAGGTCCCTCAAACTAGGATGCCAGGGCCTTGCTTCCTACACCATTTAGGCAGAAGGAGCATCTGTGTTATCCAGAGGTGACCCCTGAGCACCCACTGACTCCATCAGTACCCAGTCAGGTGACCCAGAAAACCAATGTAGCTCCACCATGCTCTATAAATGGCATGTCCCATATGCTCTTCCTTCCTGTAGAGAATTATTTGGCAGGTTCCGCTTCCTCAGGCACACGGCTGCTTTGGGAACCTAGCCTTTCTTGCCTGCCTTAGACTGGCACTTGGCCTCTGTCTGCTTCTCTCTCCCACTTCACCCCTGGTGCTTTATTTCTCCTGATCCCAGGGCTCTGATCCCTCCACCCCATCCCATTCAACCCTGGCCAAATTCTGCTGTGACAGGATCATGCCCAACCAGTGCTAAAATAGTAACAAGACTGCCAGTGTGTTCCTAATGTTGCGGGTCATGGAGCAACGCAGATTCTTGGCGACCATCCAGCGTACTTCCTTGAGTCAGCATCATCTCTTAAAAGCCCCTTTGTCTTGCTTGCTGCTGAGCTGGTGGCTTCTACGAAGAAACAGGATATTATGAACAGAGACAGATAGTAATTCTTTGGGTTCAAGCCGAGAACCAGCTTTCCGGATGTTTTCTGCAGCGCTGGTGAGGTCTGCCATTGGGGGAATTCTGCGCCTTGTTTTGATAACAGTGAAGCTAGTGATTGCTCGGGGAAACGGATACAATCAGCTAACTACACTGCCTACAAACCAAATGCTACTTCTGCAGCGTCCGAGCCTGAAAAAGACAAAACGTTTCCAGCAATTACACCTCCCGTTCGCTCGTTCCTTTGCTTTAAAATAATAAAGTGCACTGTATTTTGCATGTTGCGCCAGGGCTGTGTGTGTTCTCATTTTCCAGCTGCTGGCAAAAAGTTAGGTAATGAAAGCAGAATGCAATCTGCTGTGAATCCTCGTTTCCCATATTTTTTTTTAAAAAGCAAGTTTCTAGGCTAAGATGGCCACAAAAGATGGCCTTGAAAGTCTGAAACCAATACCTGGTAAATTCTCAAAAGCTAGAGGTGACTGGATAGTGTTCTGGTGGTCAGAGAGAACGGTGCAGTGCCCTTCACAATTTTTATTATATATATATATATATATATATATATATATAGGCATGGGTCTTTTTCTCAGAATGGAGTACACCTGGTTGTGACTCCTCACTGTAGCAGTCCCCAGAGTTCCCTCATGCTTTAGTGTGGCTGAGAAACAAATTTGAAGAATGCGTTGGGGGGTCTATGGAGAGAAACAGGATTTTTCCTTGGCTCCCATTCACTCTTATGGGGCCACAATCTTGGAGATTTGCAGGGAGCAAATCTAGCCCCAGCCCAATGGTGCCCTTAAACTTCTCCTGATAGGGATGGGTAAAAGGGACCCATCATTTGGTGGCAGTGTTGTAATGGGTGGGGGCAAAGCCTAGCTTCCACTCTTTTCCAGCCTCAGAAAACAAACACCCCTTCCCCTCCGAGCATGCAAGGTATCAGGGGCTCAGCAATGTTGAGTGTTGCTTGCCCAAACAAGGAACACGAGAAGAAGAAGGAGGAGGAGGAGGAGGAGGAGGAGGAGGAGGAGGAGGAGGAGTTTGGAGTTGATATCCCGCTTTATCACTACCCGAAGGAGTCTCAAAGCGGCTAACAATCTCCTTTCCCTTCCTACCCCACAACAAACACTCTGTGAGGTGAGTGGGGCTGAGAGACTTCAGAGAAGTGTGACTAGCCCAAGGTCACACAGCAGCTGCATGTGGAGGAGTGGGGAAGCAAACCCGGTTCACCACATTACGAGTCCACCGCTCTTAACCACTACACCACGCTGGCTCTCAGAGAACATAGAGAGCTGCCTTATACCAAATCAGACCATTGTTCCATGTAGCTCAATATTGTTTACTCTGACTGGCAGTGGCTCTCTGGGGTTTCAAGCAGGAATCTTCCCCAGCCCTACTTGGAGATGCCAGGAATTGAACCTGGGACCTCACTGCAGACAGGGCAGCTGCTGTACCACTGATCTATGGTCCTGCACCTGATCCTCTGTACCACCACATACTGGCTGTAGTCCAATCCCTTGTAGACCTCTACCAGAGACAAATTAGCAGCACCCGCATCAGGAATAAGGCCAGGTGGATGGGAAATCAAACATTCCTCATATATCTCAAAAGTCTCATTTGCCACTGAACATAGTATCTCCAATACACCTCCTCTGGTACAAGTTACGTAAAAGAAACTGTAGCAGTTGCCTGTAAGAAGCTTACCTTGCAGTAATCCCGCCAACTTTATAATTAATTACAACAGCCTGGAATCGGTTCAAAACTTGAGCTAGGAAGCGGGGGAAATCAACAACGCCTTTGAATTTCTTTTCCCAAATGGATAATCTCCTCCTTAACCTGTATTTTAGTTTCTTAAAGCTGCAAATCCTGTTGATGAAAGAGGGACTTCTTTTGGTGGAAAAAAAAAGAAAGGAAAGATCAGCCTGAAAAACTAACCTGCCCACCTCAATCTATCAATTTCTAAACCTGTATCACAGAATTGAAGAGTTGGGAGGGACCACGAGGGCCATCTAGTCCAACCCCCTGCAATTCAGGAATCTTTCGCACAAGAGGGCAAAGTTTGATTCTGATCGAAATAAGATGTTCCATAAGCAAGAGATCCCACCTGTTTCGTCCCTGTTCTCTCAACAGCCTTTTTCACCAGACTGGCCTCAAACAAGACATGGGGCAGTCCCAGGCCCGACGTTTGTGTATACTCTGTAGTCATGGATGCTCAGGTGTGGCGCAGGTGTGACTACAAATCAGCTTTCTGAAGGGGGTGGATTGACTTCGCTATTGTGGTGGTTGCATTGTGCAACGTTTCCATGGGTCATAGAATCATAAGAGTTGGAAGGAACCCAAGGGGCATCTAGTCCACCGCCTGCAATGAAGGAATCTCAGCTATAGCAGCCCTGACAGATGGCCATGCAACCTCTGCTTAAAAACCTCCAAGGAAGGAAAGTCCACAGCCTCCCGAGGGAGACTGTTCTACTGCCGAACAGCTCTTGCTGTCAGAAAGTTTTTCTGTATGTTTAGTCAGAATCTCCTTTCTTGTAACTTGAAGCCGTTGGTTTGAGTCCTACCCTCCAGAGCAGGAGAAAACAAGCATGCTCCCTCCTCCATGTGACAGCTCTTAAGATATTTGAAGATGGCTATCCTATCTCCTCTCAATCTCCTCTTTTCCAGGCTAAACATACTCAGCTCCTTCAAGCACTCCTCGTAAGCCTTGGTTTCCAGACCCTTGATCATCTTGGTTGCCCTCCTCTGCACACATTCCAACTTGTCCTTCTTAAATTGTGGCGCCCAGAATTGGGCACAGTATTCCAGGTGTGCTCTGACCAAGGCAGAATAGAGTGGTACTATTATTTCCCTTGATCTGGACATGATACTTCTGTTGATGCAGCCTAGCTTTTTCCTGCTGCATCACACTGTTGACTCACGTTAAGCTTGTGGTCCACCAAGACCCCTAGATCCTTTTCACAAGTACTGCTAGTAAGCCAGGTGTCCCCCCATCTTATATTTGTGCATCTGGTTCTTCCTGCCTAAGTGCAGAATCTTACGTTTGTCCCTATTGAAATTCATTTCGTTAGCTTGGGCCCAGTTCTGTTAAGGTCATTTTGAATTCTGATTCTGTCTTCTGCGGCATTAGCTACCCCTCCCAGTTTGGTGTCATCTGCAAATTTGATGAGCATCCCCTCAGTTCCTTCATCCAAGTCATTTATAAAGAACGTGGCCAGACCAGAAAGCAGCATCAGCACCTATGCCTTTAAAACAGAGCTGGCCCTATCATTAGGCAGAGTCTTGTGGCCGCCTTTGGTGGCAGGCACAGTGGGGTGGGCAGGGAGTATCATTGAGGTATATGGGAAGACAGCACTCTGTGTGCATCCTTTGCACTAACCTGTTGCCCTCAGGTGCAGTGGGAGTCAGTGTTGAAGACAGAATCAACTGCAAGGCTGGTCAGTTTTTTATACATGGAATGGGGAGGTCCTTTGCCATAGATAGGAAAACGCCTCAGGTCGTCTCTTCCATGAAGATCAAGATCAAGATAATTTATTATGGTCCAAGACCAGCTCGCATAACACAATAAAAACAGTGTTCATAGAGATAAAATATACAATCAGAGCAGATTGCAGCAATAGCTCATGAGTTAAAATTGAGATATATACATACACCCGTACAACTGAGATACCATAAAAATTGACCCTGAGGCTCCCCAAAGGGCAACTTCAGCATTTCCCTAGTAAGTTATTTTATTCTAGAGGATGATCTGTGTCTACAAATCTGGGTGCAGAATCTGGCTACCAGCCAGGTCGTCTTGTGATCTTTGCCTAAGAGGAGAGAATTAAGTTTAGACTTGTCTGAAAGATTGGCGAGCCTCTTCAGCAAAGGACTCTTCCATGAAAATATAGGCCTTGCTCTGCAGAGCTGAGTACCAGACCCTTTTCTGAAGGGTGGGGGGGGCAGGAATTGCCCCAGGCCCCACCCCATATCAAATTTGATAAACAGTACAATATTTGTACTGCATGGGGGACGGGGACATTGGCACAGGTTGTGGCCCATGCTCAAAAGTGGGAGACATAGTCATGAGGTTCACTGGACAACGTTGGCTCACTCACTGTCTTTCAGCCTAACCCCCCTCGCAGGGTTGTTGTGAGGATAAAATGGGGAGGAGGAGAACCATGCATGCCACCTCAGGATCCTTGGAGAAAAGGTGCAATATAGTTGTAAATAAATTAAGAGTTGTTCATTCATTTGGATAGCCATGACTCCACAGAAGGCGGGTGCTACTTGGGTTCAGAATGAAAACTTAGTGCTTGTGGCGCCTCACTCCCCTGAACGCAATTCTCTGAAAAGCCCTTCCTGTCCCCACCCCCAAACTTACCTCCAGGGATGAATCGGTCTCTCACGCTCTGCCTCATCTTCATCTACACACACATGAGGATTTTTCTTCCATGCAAAAGTGATGCACCTTTCAGGTTTCTGGAGCATCTAAGGCCCGGCAGAAATAAGATTTCAACAAGGGGTCATTTCCACAGGGTGGACAGGAGAGCTCCAGATGCTTTTACTCCAAGAAGTCCCTGCAGAATTTGCAACCACCATCTTCAGAATGCATTTAGGAGAGCAATGTTTGCTCCAGATTAGGCCTGCAGTTGCTAGAGAACTGATGGACGACTTTTTTCCCCCTTTCAGCATGCCTGGGCTTGCCCAGAGAGCAGGGAGACCCATTATTTAATTCAAGTAGGAATGCATGGGCTGAGGTTGGGACCCCATCCAAAACCTTTGGATAAGGATGGAGACCTTCACTAGGATTCTACATAAGGTTGGCTGATGTTTAGAAAGAACACACATAGGAATGTCATGAGAATCCTGTATGGGAAACTGCAAAAAACCCACAAACTTCCAGAAGATCTGGAAGTGACTCCCTGGAGTTCTTCACTTAGTAACCTCCAAAGCCATGAGAAAAGGGATGCACAGTGTAAAAACATTAATCTCTACTCCACAGTTCAACTCAATACAGTCAAAACCTTGGTTTCCGAACAGCTTAGTTGCCAAACAAATCGGCTCCCGAACGCCGCAAACCTGGAAGTAAGTGTTCTGGTTTGCGAATGTTTTTCGGAAGCCAAACGTCCAGCATGGCTTCCGCTTGAGTGCAGGAAGCTCCTGCAGCCAATTGGAAGCCGCGCCTTGGTTTTCGAATGGTTTCGGGAGTCGAACAGACTCCCGGAACGGATTATGTTCGAGAACCAAGGTACCACTGTACTGCAATGCAAGTTCTCTGGCCCTTCTGGAAGGCCTGTTTATTGATCAATCAGCCTGATTGGTTTTGGGGAGGTTAGACATTGATGCATCAAACTATTGTTATGCTACACTTTCCACTGCGTTTTCCTGAAACTTTTAACACAGAAGGTCCAATCTTCAGGGGAAGCAGGCTTGCACTGCAAGAGCGCCAAATTTAATTGCACAGCCCAAATTTGCCAGGTTGTGATTGAACCCTACCCAAAAGCAGCACCAGTCTGGAAGTGCCTGACACCAGCTACTTCTTGAGCATTCATTCTGATTTGTTTGTGCAAAGGTTAGAAACTGCTGCAGCAAAGCAAGTGCTATCCCACACTTCCCAGGGCGTTTTCCGGTCACTTTTCTTAGGAGCAAATGTCTGACCTTTTCTGGAAAGCAGGTTTGTGGTTGTGAAAGAACTGTCCATCAACTCTCATGTCACTTGAAAACAAGTCCTTAGAGACTTAGCACATAGCCAACAACTATGTAAAGAGACAAGTGTCTAGATGAGAGAAGTTGGAAGACTGGTGCAAAAGAAGCTTAAGGGGTCAGTAGAGAGAGGAACCACCCGAACCACGTCATTGTACAAAAGTGCCCAAATAAATTGCAAATTAAACAAAAACTGCATTTGACATCCAGGGCAAGTAGTATGCCTTGTGGGCTACAAAGAACATGGTTAGCCCAAGGACACCAGAAGTGCATGCTGGATCAGGCCAATGGCCCATCGAGTCCAGCATCCTGTTCTCACAGTGGTCAACCAAATGTCCATAGAAAACCCAAAAGCAGGATCTGGACACAAGACCCCTCTCCCTTCCTAGGGTTTGCTGTCTGTGACTGTGGAAGCAAATCATAGCTATTGACAGCCTTATCTCCCATGAATTGGTCTGATGCTCTTTTGGATTGGACAAAATGGAGCAGAGCTTGTTCTGCTAGCAGCGCCTTGGTCTCACAATGGGAAGTTGGCAAGGAGGACCTGAGCACAATGACCCCCTCCCACTTGTGGTCCCCACCAACTAGGGCATTCAGAAGCATGCCTCCTTCAATTCAGGAGGAAGAAGAAGAAGAAGAAGAAGAAGAAGAGGAGGAGTTTGGATTTGATATCCTGCCTTTCACTCCCTTTAAGGAGTCTCAAAGCGGCTAACATTCTCCTTTCGCTTCCTCCTCCACAACAAACACCCTGTGAGGTGAGTGAGGCTGAGAGACTTCAGAGAAGTGTG